CCCACTAACCCACTTGAAAAACGGATAAGTTTGAAAACGGGTCTCAAAGTGGGTCAGTTTTTACCCGGGTATCTTTTGATCCACCTGCGAGTTAATGGAAACGCCGAAACCCGGATAATTTCTGACCCACTTGCAACAACAGCAAGTCGGTGTCGATGTTGCTTCCATTGGCCTACAACGATGGAAATTGAAGAATTATTAATGCAAATACTGATTTCTCTTACAACTTTTCACCCTGGATACATTTTGACCCGGCTTAGTGGGAACGATCAAAAACGGATTAAAAACGGGTCGAAGAAAAATGCCGTTTCCATTGACTCATTTTAAAAACGGATAACTTTTAACCCAGGCTAGTGGAAAGGCTGCCTCAGTATCAATCGCATATTCTTTGTTTAGCAAACTTTCGAACCATGAAATCATGAAAAATGAATCTGAAGAAAATACAATGAAAACAACCCAAACTTTTAAATCGAAACCCCCATAGCTGAAAACGGTTTCTTGATGAGTGTTGCAGCCATGTTTAAAATCAATTTACTATTCATTACTTTTACCGCTAATTTTCCGGCCAGGCTGCTGTTCTCCATATAATCATCAGGCCGGGTGACTCGGCCAGCACTGGCACCCGGGCCAGCCCGCTCCACGTAATCAACCCCTAAGTTCCATCATTCTGAATTGACTACATCATTCAAGTAAAAGGTAGAATTAATGGGATTCTTAAATTTTTGTTCGTTTTCTCCAGTGTTGCCATACATAAAAACTTGGGTAACGATCAGAAAAAATGTATCGAGACGTCAGTTTCTCACGAAAGGTGCGTATCTTAACAAAAAAATACAATTTTGTTGCAATCACATTCAACTTTGTCAGTCACGATTGAAGGAGGATGACATAACTGCTAAGAAAACTATCATTTTTATTACGATTATCAGATAATCCATTATAGCTTACAGAAATCTCAAATTGTCGTTGATGAAAAAAGGAAATCGCTAAAATGACATTGACAATGAGATAAATGGTACCCCAATGAAAAAAGGAGAAACTATATGATTCCTTTAGTGATTGTCATATAAAAAATTAATAACCACAGAGCTACATTATCTTGTAATTTTACTCGTCCTATGACGTCACATCAAGCATGAATTTTAAAATCAAACAAATCATAGGCAACCACAGTTTCCTTTCCGTATTATAGTCGACGATCTCCAGGATGTGTGGGGGCATACAGCATTCTTAAGTCTATCAGACGTATTACCGGTTTCAAAAACAACGCTACCCACCAACCAAAAATATTTCAACACTGCTCGCTATTTCACAGTGCTGGAAACAAATGAATGAACAGGTGGATGCTTCTACCAATGATTGAAAAGGAAATTGACGATCGAAAGACAACATCAGATATAAGTCCCAAAAGGTTTGCGAATAGCGAATCACGTTGGATACCATGTGACAATTTGTTCATATTTTACCACACCAGATCACACCATACATTGATAATCACAATTATCAGCTAAATGGAATTTTATCTATACATTATAAGTTTGAGCTGGGGTTGGGTATCTCTTTCAATTAGTTTATTCACTACTAAAAGGTTGTTAAGTTATCACAGATGGCCGGGCTAGTCCTAGCCCAGTTAAGAATTCTTCCTTGCATTTTGAAATCGTTTATTCTACAATGACGTATAATATACAGTATGCATATACCACAAACACGCTGCATAGTGTAGTCAGTATGAAATGAAAACCATACATGGTCCTTAATGCAATTGATGATAAAGCATGTTTGTACCAATTACGTGAAAACTGGAAATACTTCATGTAACATCCGATTGGCAGAGGGTCACTCGAACTTTTTAAATACCGATGGGCTGCAAATGCTTTATCAGCAACATTTCTTAGAAGTACTGAATTGGTTTGTCCATATTCGTTTCAAGGATCGAAAACTTACACGCCTTTTTAAGTACTTTAAAATCCTATCGGCTGAACTTCAAAATTCCTTATCTTATCTTTGTTCTTCGTTTTACTTATAAAGATCTCAGTGGACAAAAAAATGAATAACTGAAAAATATTGACAATAAGCATTGTTTGAGCTGTTTATTCATGCTACAAACATCTATATTTATTAGAATGATCAACTCAAAAAAGCAAGTTAGATTTCATGAAAGTAGTTTCTGAAGTTGCGAAATTTTTACATTCCTTCAAAATCTTCTATCTACTAGCAATCCATCGAGAATTTGCCTATTCGAGTCCAAAATTCCTTACATAGCGCTTCCGTATAAGAAAATGCAGGGGTTAAGAGGCTCAACAAGCATGATGCCAGATAGACTACTGGGTGCAAAGTACTGTTAGAACACAGGGTTCCTATCCATTGCAGAACATTACATGACGATTGCCACATAAAAATTCACCTGTGTTTAATTTTGTGTATGCGTAATTATCATTTTAGGTGTTGGTTGATTATCAAAAAGGGGTTGTTTCGTATTCTAAAAGTAGTCTTGCCGCAAGATTGTCGAACTCTGTGAGTTTTATCGCTAGTTTGTAGAATTGTGTTTGCCGTTAGATTGCCGTCGTTAGCTGTTAAGGATATTTTTAGTCGTTTGCCGTGAATTGATGGAATTAGGAAAAGTGTGAAACATTAGAGAATTTGAGAACAGTTTTTGCCGTATTTATCGGGTACGTTACTGCGACGGATCTACGAACTCACATCTGTAAAACCGAAGGCTGTATCACTCCATGAAAAGGCTTACGGAATTTTTTTCGGAATTAATAATCCTTCGATTTTGGGTCCAGATTTTTTAGTCAATTTTTCCGTGTTTTGTATATGTTCCTTGCCTTGACCTCTCCCTTCTTCAAAATCTTAAAGAAATGGCTGTTAGCTACATCACACCTCTTTACTTGACCATCCTGGTTATCGCCAAATGCTAGCTAGCACATTTCTTTGATCCATGTAGTTCTCTGACCAGAAATTACATAAAAACAACAGTTATTTAGCCATGTCCGCTAGACTTAAAAACAACTCAACGCAACATATAATTCAAAAGCACAACCATAAAACATATTTTCTTCTTTATCTTAAAGTTAGAAGCGTTACTTTAAAAACGAGTTTACACCCAGTCACCTCAAGGGTGTGGCACCAAAATCCAATCATTATCTAGCACCCCCCCCCCCAAACACATGCCGCTTAAATCCGTCCCTGGACGTATACCGTTTGAAAGTATATTCTATCCCCTTTCCAACCATATCTAGTATGGGCACTTTCATTGAATTCAATATTACTTTAATGGACTTTTAGCTATTCCACAAAAGAGTCTGGGCCGAGTGTCATTTTATACACTATATTCTTTCATTGATCCTATAGGTTTTCCCCAAAAATTTAGTTCTTTATGTGATTTAACGCTGACATTGCCCGAGTTAGGCTTTTTGTCGGACTTTCTAAGTCTGAGTGGAATTTCGGATTTTTTAAGTATTTCTTGTGGATTTCTTGGATCTCTGGATTTTTGAAAGGGTTTTAGTGGATTTTTGAGGATTTTTTGAAGGGTGTACGAGGATTTTTGGAGTAATACACCCCTCGCGTAAAACCCCCTTTTCAAATGCTTTTACAATAAATTTACAGTGATAGAATTGCATTGACATTGTTAGCGAGAAAAATGCAACTTGAGGCTCTAGAAAAAACCTCTCTTATCCAAAGAGATGTCACAAACACAGATGAGTGTCATGTGCGTGACATGCGCAGATCTATCGTGACGTGAGAGATGCCTAAAGTGTATCCAGAAGTTGGGTGCGTCGGTGTTGAAAGCATCGTACACCATCACACACACGGACAATACACTCTTTTTTATAAGAACAATTTTAAAAGAGCCCGAGCCTCGAAATTGGACAGAAGTTAAGAGCAAATTAAGAACAAGCTGAGGATGAGGTGCTGTAAAATGTAATTTTGAGCAAAGTTGTGATACCCTCTTGAAAAAAATTCAATCGCAAAAACGAGGAGCTTTTCATTCTTTACTTATATAGAAAACAAGGAATACCGCAACGTGCCGAGTACAAACAACAACGAATACAAGTAAATTAAAGGTATGTTTTGTCGAAGAATTTTCAAACTTGTCACTCATTTTGTTGGCTAACGGGGACTGAACACAGGAGCTAGCGATTGCACTATTTAAGAACAAATTAAGAACAACCCAGCTTCAATCCAGCTTATAATTGATTACCAGGCCCTTGTTTGAAGAATTGAAAATCTTTGGGCTAGAACTATTGTCATACATGAAGTACCTCGGAGATTAATGTACCAAAAGCTCTTATTTCAACCATCCCTGGGTGAAAGGTAAATTTTTTTGATGTTGATTTTTTTCATTTTGACGTTTTGATCTTTAGCGATTTTTTTGCGAACTGTTTAAAAAAACAGAAGTGTAATAAAAATAATGATAACAATAATTATGATGCTCTGAAGAGTGTCAGATGAAAAAGCTTTTAGCCAATGTGTTATAAAATGTTTGCTTTTTTAAAAGCAATTTTCAATAATTATAATAATAATGATAAATATGAATGAAAAAAACAATGAGTTATCTGACAATAGGCAATTCAGGATACTTTCAAGGAATCAAAATCGGGCTTGAAAACCCAAAAACTGGCAGTTGTGAGTTTGTAACAATACTTTATAACTTAGGCAATTTTTTTACACGGGAAGGTAAAAAAGCAGGCACCGTTGAGCAGGCAGGGGGCTGGGGCTTTAGCAAAAGATTAAGAATTGAACCACCAGTAAAGCCTCTTTTTATTCCGTTTTAGCCCCGTGCACTTTCTTGGACCCACAACGTTTCTGTGAGAGGTTTCCCTCGAGGAGCTGAGATGCATAAAAAGACGTACATGTCACGCTTTGCCATCTCGGCAACAACTAACTTTTTTTGTAAAATTACTCACTTAAATATATCCTGTTACACTCCACGCCCTGCGGTGCCTGTAAAGTATCTATAAAGGTGGTTTTTGAAGATGTGATATAAATCTAAAGAATACCTTCTCCTTTCTGTAACCTCATAAAACCCATAGCAACCAAATGTTCTTGACAGAGCTCTTAGACAATTTCCAGGAAAGCTTGTATCTCCAGATCCAAGATTGCATTTCGCCAAACTTGGCAGCACACAAGGGCGGCTGGTTTCCTCAGCCTCAATAGATTGTAAAACAGATAAAGACTTTTTCTCAGACACTGCTGTTGAATCAGCCACATGGCACGAATTTTTAATGCAGCCCATAAGATGCATTTAAGATATTCCGAGTCTCAAGGCTGGGGGATTTACTGGAAGCCTTAGGCAAACTGGGTCATTATCAGTGCAATTCTCGGGCCAAGTGTCGTTGTCGATTGAAAATCTTTTTGGTTAGGCCTTCTTTACCAACCCGGTGCTGCCAAATCGTTGTAAAAACAATCGCCTTGAGCAAGCACAGACCTGTTACTAGGTCTTAAACGAGAGACAATAACAATTCTCGATTCATTTCCGTGTGTTGGGCGGCAAATCAACAACAAAGGAATTGATGTCAATCGGATTTGACTAATCGATCACAATATATCTAACCACAGAGACAATGCAAGCTGAGAGGCACAATTTCATATATACATCTTCCAAACAAAAATTGTTTCCAGCTCAAATGCACGGTTCAACGTCAGACAAGTGGAATACAAAAGTACAATGGTCAGCTCAGAGTAAACACTGTCGCTTTCTCACAGAGAGTAGACTTTTTCAACGGAAAGAAATTTCAGATGTATTTTCCCAAGAGCTTAATCGTAATAATGACTCTGATTATTTCTAATGAATATAGGAAATGAAAAAACAATAACAGGTTGCAACACAAATACGTAAATAAATGTTATTCACGTTTATGTTCCCGGACGAGGTATTCTCGTTGTCAAAACCAATTAAAATTTCACAAAATGCATTTGTCTTCGAAAATTTATTTGATACCGATACGTATAGATAAAGATTTTGATTCTAGAGAAAACTGTTTTTTAAACTGTGTCACAGCTTTCTCGTAAAAAAAACCTTCTCTAGAAGGGAGTGTTTCAGTTCTGTTACTTTAAGTTAAACTTTTTGGCATGGAGAGGAAATTTTTATAAAAAGAAAAAACAACGTCGAGGCCCAGTTAGCCAAAAAAAGAAAACAGGGAAGACGTCGGAAGAAGTAAGAACATGGTCGGCCTCAGATAACATAAGAACTTAAGAGAGAAAACTTTTATCAAGTAAATAATCGTGCTTTTGAAAAATAACACAAGAAACAGTTACACGCTGGCGGTAGAAACAATTTATAACATGTAGTTTGTAGAAAAATCAATGTTGAAATCACAGAAATGGTTGAAATAAGAGCAACGTTAAGCCTCAAATTATCCAAAAAAAGAACACGGAACCTTAGTAAATTCTCTGGCTCTTTTCAAAAAGGAGTGAAAGGGTTCGTTACTGTAACAGCACAGCTTTCCATCAACGAATCAATGTCAATTTTCATAATCCCACAAAAATTACAATAAAGATACATTTTGAATGCTACATAAGAGAAAGCAAGTTGGTACAATAAATGACGCATCGAATTGACTCACCAGTCACCAATACTGTGACAAGATAATATTCTCGGTAGTAATCACGTCTGAACCAGTTGACAGCATCAATAACTATAATGCACGGGGCCAAAGGGACAGGTGTAGTTAAGGAGAATTTGGGTACTGTCTGCATTCATACGCCATAGAAACATGTCGGTTCTATTTCAGACTAATAAGTGACTGTATCCGCTCCGGATACCCTCCTAGCTATGAAAAGAAACCATATCAAATCGAGTTGCTATACAAGATGCAACAGGAAGCTATATTTCTGTTAGCTAAATTTGCCAGCTCTGCGTGAACAGTTGACATATAAGTGCAAACCCTGAGAGCTGATGTTTACAACGCCACGCCAGACACGCAATACAAACAAGGGGTGATTTCTCACGTTCCTGGCTTGATCTCTACGGCAAAGAAGCCTGATAACCAGCCCACTATTTCTTATGACTATGATTATTCTAAAGCACGGGTGGACAACATTTTGGAGACTGGGCAAGATCCTTCAAACCTTTTCTTTAAGCGGGCCAAAATTATATAATGACAATTAAAACCTTTCATTTAAATTCAATTGCACTAAAATTACAAACCTTTCTTTATCATAGATAGTTTACAACGATTTATAAGTTCGTTACAATCGTAACTCGTAAGTGCAAACGGGAAAACTGAAAAAAACCAACCAAAATTGAAAAAGAAGGTTATTCGGGGTTTGGAGAAGTCATCCTAGGCTAGGAAGGAAATAAAGAATTATCCACCAATCAACGTTTAGTATTGGCTTTTTAGCTCAGAACATTCACTTAAATGTAGGTAAACACCAAATTATCGATTATAGGCCGTCAGCACAGTAGCAAACGAGACATAACAAAATAGGGACAACCGTGATCCCTGCTCAACTGCCATGAGTGCACACAGTAAGTTTCGTTCTTGTTGCATTTGATAACTTCGCCCAGTCCCTCAAAGATTCTGCTATCCTGTATTTAAGCTGGATGGATCGTTACAACAAATTCCTTATTTTATCTTGTTACAAAGGATAGCGTGCCAATGATTCCCAGGTTTGATGAAGATAATCTAATTTTGAATCGATACGCTTCATTCAAATCATCCCTTCCAACAAAAAAATTATAATATGATATTTTTCTTCTCGCGGGCCACAAAGATTCTCTCCCGGTCCGAATTCTGGCCTGCGGGCCGTAAGTTGCCCACCCCTTATGTTTATAGTGGATATGAAAATGAATCTGGGTTTATAATATCCAGTGCAATTGTAAATGAAAAAATAGGCTCACTTTCAATGATTCTGCGATCAAAGTATTGCAATAGACTGGCACCGCGCAGCCAGTTGGCTAGTAGGGGCTATAGTCTCCCCCCCCCCCCCAACATTTTTGCAATAATAGGTTAGAAATTTTGGAAAGTGTACTCTAACGGATCCTAAGTAGTGGCAGTTCTTCCTGACTGGGAACTCTTTTTTGTTCATTTTCTTGGCGTTTAATGTATACTCTCTGAATCAGACATTTTTTAAGTAATAAGTGGAAATAAGTCCAGTAGGGCGTGGTCTAGAAAGTTTTCGGGCGCACCTTTTTCAGGCCTCCCACTTTTAGACTGATGCGCAGTGTCTGGCAATAGATACAGAATCTACTAGACCTACAATCCCAGGCCAACGGTGAAGACTTTGCAGCCCTCTCCCCACCATTTTGATGTTGATTTGTCTGCTCTTAAATAACATATTCACCCACCCGTAGGAGGGGGTTGATGTAGGACTATACACTCATGCTACCAGACCTCTGTTCAAGATTGTAGGCCTTTTGTGTTTCAATCCTAAAACTTTTAGCTTTGAGAATATGGGCATTCAACCTAAACTTGGGAACAAGCGTCGTGTCACAAAGTTAGATATATTCTCTAAACAAGATTTTAATCGAAAGGACATTTAGAACAGATAATATAATCAGGTTTTTGTCATTGAGAATTCCAGATCTGGCTTAGTTCTTTTGCTAGAAAGGCTTAAAATTTTAGAATTGGTAAAAAGTGTTTTAATTATCATGGATCCAAGGTGAATCCGTTATCTTGCGAACTTCGGTAACCTTGTTAACATGAACCAGTTTTGACTCTTCAAAGAGCAATCTGACTGCATTACTTGAGTGCCAACTTCAATCTAGCCATTATTATGGGAGAAGAATCGTAACATGTGAATGTACCTTTGAGCTAATTTGGATGTTCTTTCTAGTTCTGCAAGAATCCCAGTGAAATGGCAAAACACCTGATGTATATTGACAGGCTTTTGTGTAAATGATTTCATTGTTATACGAGGCTAATCCAACATGACTGAAGCTTGCAGCTTAAAACTTTTTTCATTCTATTTGTTGTACAAGATTGCTTGAAAGAGCCATTTGAACCCAGGCTAACACCAAAGTACTATAAGAATCACAGGAACAAATATTTTTCCCGAGGACAATTGTAATTGATTTTGTTTAAGCCTTACTTCTTCTATGCTTAGTAATTTACTAAAATCACTGAATGAGCCTAATTGTGCCTAAAAATCATTAGGCAAGCAGCAAATGCTAAGTTATCCGTATACAAAAGACTGTCAATGGCATGGTCACAAATACCCACTCCTAATAAATTATGGTACTGTCGATAACAATATGGATTTGAGAAACAATAAACAACTAGTTTGATTGATCTGTTCCATATACTTTAATTTAATTGTGATTTGCTTGCTTTTCTGTGACATTTCTCAAAGTCTACTCAACCCTTTCTTAAGACCTAACGACATGATCTCCTAATGGCATCAGAATTTTCGCAAAAGCCGTGACAGTTCTCGTAACGTCCGGCCTCGTAGCAAAAAATATTTTATTGTTTAAAACAAGGGGAAAATATGCTGTCCAGCGTTTTGTGCATTCGGTCGTCATTCAGAGCCAAAAGAGCTCTAAATTATGACGTCATGACATTAAATATCATGATATTTTTTATTTTTGACCGCATGATTTGAAAAGACACCATGAAATATCCCTTAATACGTAAAGTAATGAAATATGCTCATTATTGGTCGAGATATGGCCGGTACAAAAGATTTGCAAGTTTGCTAACAGATTACTGATATCTTGGCTCTGTTCATAAGGTATGATGGGGAAATTACAGATGTTTGATGGAGAAAGAGTCTGTGCTAATGTGGCCATATCGCAGCCAAATGGTGACATGATCAGCCGATTTTGCACATTATATTCTGAGTCTAGGAATTTTATAATCTGTTGGCAGCGCATGTAATCAGTAATTTACCGCTGACAATAGGAACAGCAGTGTCAATGTCATTAGTTCTTTTGTCACGAGCCCCTTAAAATTTGGCCCTTGAAAATTTGGATTTTAACTGACAAATCCGAGCAGCAAATCACTCTATGATAGAAATCGGTAAATCCTGAGAAATAATTTTGTTTTTGTGGAAATCTAGCATTTTCTTTACAAAAGTGAGTTGCCCCTCGACAATACGGAAAGTACTTTTGTCCAAGTAATTTATGTTGTTGAAAGGCTCGTTTTACCCATAGCTCAATTTTGAGAATTTTCCGACATGGCAATGATTTTTCCGAAAATCCGTCGAATCGGAATGTATTGCTTCTAGTCCTGCTGTGTCATAGGCTAGTCCTTTCGTGGGTGGAGAACCTGTCGGTTTCAATTAGACAACTCCTTCTCTTGCAGCAGCTGCGCTCAAAAGACCAAATCTAACAAATCTATCTAACTTACTTGCTATGAGTGAAGAAATGAGCTATTTTTCCAAAATGAACAACAGTCTGGGTCATAAGATTGGGAAAAGCTCCTCTCTTGGCTTGTAAATATATGTCTATTACAAACCCTGAAATGAATTTGCCTCTTCAAATAAAAAAAGCATCGTATCATGTTTAAGATAATGTACATTCGAACACTACCTCCGGAGTTCATATGCATGGCGTCTCACTTGACAGCAAAAAATTATATGAAAACCAGATGCAATTTCTTAATTCCTTTCGAAATTGAAAAGAGCGACGCAATCAAATCTGTATCATTGGAATTGAACCTTTTTGTTGCAAACTTTATATGTAAACTCTAGTCCATGTAAATTTGCTGCCATTCTCATTAAACATAGAAAAAATCTTATTTTCTGAATTGAAACCATCGGAATCAAACTAATCAAAATAAACTACAACTTTTAAAAAATGATGACATTAAACTGACTGATTTTATAAAACTGACTGATAAAATTGTCATTTATATCTAGTATAAGCTAATGTTAAGATGGCAAAAATACCTCAGAAGCAGTTCCATCGATGAAAAGTTTACAACGAAGGACCAATCGTTTAGCAAGTTGCAGCTTTGGTATGTTCACCCGTATCGGAGTTGCTGCGAACAGAAACGGAATTAGGTTAATAGAAAATAGAAATCTTGACAAAAAAATTTGAATTTCGAACCATTCAATCCTTGATTGGCATGCGTAGGTTTGAAATATGCGATAAAAACACAAACTCATTCCATGCAAAATTCATGGAAGAAATGTGCCTTAAAGCTGATTAAGACACACACCAGTGATGTGAATGCACACAAAAACGTATACAAAGAAACGAGCTATTGAGGAAAATCACAGTAGTAAGTGGGAACTTCAAGTTGGAAGGCTATTTCTCGGTGCGTAGGTTTTAGTAAATGACTTGGAGTGGGTCACTCTTATTATGAAATGCAGAATTCACGCCAGGTTATTTTACGAAGTTATTGTCTTCTATAATCTCAAACAAGAACACCTGCCGGAGAGATTCTCTAAATATCCAGCTTTACGACTATAAACTCTAGATGAAGTGGGTACACAGGATAAATGTGTGTAGAAGATACACGTTCAACACAGAAAATGTTTACCATATTAGTTATAACAACCTAGCTGATTCTGTTTATTCAGCAGTGATTTTCCAGCAAGGAATAACTCATTTTTACAGTATGATCCGGTTATAACGTATTTTAAGGGACCAGCGTATCAAGTACGTTATATCCGAAGTACGTTGTAACGAGGGTAAGTAAAAATTGATCAAAACCAAGCACACCTTTGCCGGGACCAAGCACACCAGTACGTTATATCCGAAAGTAGGTAATAACCGAGTACGTTATAACGGGATTCTACTGTATTCTGTGGTCAGGATGGTCCATGCCACGCCTCTTTTGAATTAAACTAGTAAGATCTATAATCAAACACAGGGCTAAACGAAGCACTGTCTGAAAAGATCACCGCGGACTAGTCAAAGCCAAACTTGTGAATAAATGGGGAGGGTTATTCTCTTCCCCCCCCCGCATTGATTCCAAAGGAGTGATGTTCTGGGAACCATTTCATAAGCACAATAAAGCTTTTATAAAGCTTCTACAGCAAATAATTTTAGAAATTGCTTATTCTGTTACTTGGAAGTTACCGCAAATAAAGATCTATTTCTAATGCGTTTTGTATCCAAACAATGTTAACAAAATATATGGTGCTAAGAGGGTTCTAGCTTTGTTTCTTGTGTTACTTAAAGTCTAAAAGAGTAGTTTTCTTTTGTTCTTGGGTCAATTTATTTCCACAATTCTACAAAAGACCAATACATTGCTAAAAACCCTTTTTAAAAAATAACTTCTCTTTTTATCATGGCCAATTTGAAATTTCCTAAACTCTCTTCTTAGCCCAAAATTTGTGCTTAAAATCATTGTAAACAGGTAGCAATTGTAGAGATGACCTGACCTTTCTTTTCTATGGCTACATCAAGGAAAACTAAGTACTGGCAACCTAATTATGATAAATACATAATGAAATAGATACCGGAAACTTTTCAATACTTCAAACTTTGTTTCGCTAATTCGCTTTAAAAGGTGAGGGCCCTCGTTTTGGAGTGGTCTCGTTCAAGAGGGAAACGAGCGTTTTTTCCTCGTTTTGCGGACAAATAAATTAAGAAGTTGGAAAGATGAAGCATCTGAAGTTTGCATTATCGGTGATTTTGACTGTCAATGCAATCTTATATCTGGACAGAGTTTTGATAACATTTTTGTTTACCATCTAACTGAGCTGGAAATTTGAATTCATAACATAAAATTTGACTAGCCACATGGTAGAACTTTTATATTGGCTTATAATCATTATATTTCTGTTAATCATTTGCGCATTGTGTTTTTTAAATCTCTAACAATCAGGAGGTGACCAAAATACCAGGCCTCTTACTTAAAATGATTCTCTCTGGGAAGACACCCCTGGAAACCGAGACTGAATTGAGCACCATAACAAATTTTGCGCAAAGAACTTTGAGACGGTGCCAACCACTACCACAATTTTAGTTAGGATTTTTGCAGAAAAAACATCAGATGCTCGGAAGCACCCACAACCGGTTCAATCCACTTCTATTAAGAATTGGGTATGATATTCATTAATGTCTGAATAACAGGCCTTAGAATTGCTTATTAGGGCAGGTTTTGGCTCTTATCAAAATCCCAGCTTTATTTTTACGTTGCATATTAACAAGATGTGATCTGAACATCAATGGAATCTCGCTGATGTTTCTCAGAGATGACGTCTCTCGTACATTATTCAACGGTAAAAGTTAGGAAACATGAATTACAGAATGACGTCATTTAAACATTGATCATATGTACATTTACAAATCTAGATATACATGTTAAAGACATTATCATAAAACATATTTCAAAGTACAAACATATGTTCAAAATTCTTTCTGCTGAGAATATAATGATATAAGAACAATATAGCCATCCTTTTCAATCAGCTACGATCTCCTTCTCAAACAGAGGTCAGCAGCCTGATATCTACGAAGATAGATGTTGACATGTGCACAACTGGCAAGCTGATAACGCAAAAAATGGCCAATGCTAATTGATTTGAATTGCAATTCCTCCAGTTACTTATCATTCAGACAGTAAGCAAATCATTCAAGCGTGGAACGTAGATGTGTTAATTTTGTCAAGAATTGAGTGAATCAATTTTCCGTTGTCGACTAATGGCATGCAAAAAATCTTTCCTGTCTTGATCTTAACAACTATCTGGTAGAACAGAAATGAACGAAAATTTATTTCCTTTTACATTACTGATCCGATGATAAGATAAAATGTGATGTGGCAATCGTTTCGTTATGTCTATTTTCCTTACAAAAGAAACCTTTTCAGATATTCTGCTGATGAGCATATAGGTGTTAGCAAAAGACGATATTCTCGGTGCGTGCCACTTATCCTGCTGTTAAATGAATTCAGCTTTGTTTAAAGTGCCAGACTTTGGAGAGGATAGAGAGGTCCCGACTCTGTACAATCTCGACCATTTTATGACACTGCACACGTTTTTGGGGAATATTCGAACACCAGAGTGAAACATAAAAGTTTCACTAGCCTACTAGTTTAAGAAAAAGTTGTCATGTTTTGAATGTCAAAAAGTTTTGAATGGTTAGCTCTTACTGTTAAAGATTCGTTTCCAGAATTCAACAAGAATGAAAATACAACTTTTGATAACAGACGACTACAAAAAGCTTGCTGGGGGCAGGCAGTGGTAGATGACTTGCTGTGAACTCTCGTTAAAATTGAATACGTCGGTTGTTTTTCTACTATCTGATACAAATAACTCGGGCTTACAGAGGCATGCGGCCGTTAGGTTCTCGCAGCTAGCAACTCGATTATTGAAGGAATACTTGAAAGCTTTATCTTCAGACTGGGTGGAAACTTGTCCGTTCTGCCATACCTGCAGGAAAATACATGATTTGATCACTGACTGGACAGGTAGAAGAAGTGGCGAAGCAGCTTCGATAGAAGGTTCTTTTGTCAGCAGGAAAAAAAAGAAGGGGTAAAGAAGAAGGAGAAGAATGGAAAAGAAATGAAAAGGAAAGACAGGGGGTGGGGAGAAGGAAGAATGAAAGAAGGGAAAGGGGAACAAAAAAAAGAGCGTAAATAATGATGGGAAAAGGTAAAAGTAGAAACATTAAAGGAAATTAAGGAGACATAAATTTTACTGTAGCTTTACTGTAGCTTTACTGTAGCTCTCTATCAAAATCCAAGGAGAAAGATTTCATCTTGAAGCCACTTAGCAGGAAGGTAAATTTTCAATTATTCCATGAAGAAAGTTTTAACGCCAAAGTCAACTTCGTCACGACCAATCAGGAGAGCATAGGAAGAAGCCTCAAGAGGTATCAGAAATGACTGAGAGGCTGCTAACTACCCATAAAATATCTTACAGGATATTTATGGGACACTTGAGAAATGAAATCTGGGAGGTTGTCTCCAATTTTGGCCTCTCTCTTAACACCCTTACTAAAGCCGCTGGTAACACAAACACTTGAAACTCAGCGAATATCAATTATTACCTTGTGGTATTTCCGATAGCATCAGAGAATGATATCGATTGCAGTCCTCTTTGCAGTTTCAATTGTGTGCCATCGTTGTACTGAACACAAACCTCGCCGTCCTCAAGCTGCCAAGATATAAAGGAAATGATAATAACATAAAATTCTACGGAACTCTATATTTGCAGCAGTTCGAAGGAATGGACATCAATAAAGAAACTGCATAAACCTTTTAGATCGTGTAACCCGATCCAAGAAACTGTTATGATGGGACGTGAAGTTCAATGAAACGTGCTGGCAGAGAGATGAAGACACGATAAATTTGCAATCCATTCAAGTGAACTACATATGCTATATGAAATTGTTCTGAAAATATCCTAAGTAATTCTCGTTAATTCTGAATACGTTTTCCAAGTACAAAATCAAAACATGAAAAAGTTCAAGTATAAAGGATAGCTAATCCTTGGAATCTCTTGAAAGACGTATTCACCGAATTGAAAAGGCTTTGTCAAACTTTGATGTAATGCAAATTGGACTGGGGACATTTGGGACAAAGTCGCAGTTAAAGCTTACAACTATTGTCGCAGGAACTTTGATCTTTAAGCATTTTGCCAATTGGAGCTCATCTTCAATTACGACTTTTTAAAATAAAGCATTGCTCGCTTGGGATGAACTTTTTTACCTTAGAAGATTTTAGATTGACATATACTGGTCCTGCATAGAAGCTAAGTCAAAAGAAAATACCGAAACCAGCGTTTTAATTATCTTTGGCCTGAATTCGCTTCCTTTTTTAATGCTCGTGTATTCACTAAGTTTGTACAAATTAGCTAGTTAAAGAAAATGGGAGACTTGATTTATGCCTTAAGACTAATCGACTAGTTGATTGGCTTACTTGCTCTGGCACAATTTGGAGGCTCTTAAAACTAGCGTTTACATAGACCAGCGCCATATAGAGGCTCTTAAACTATCGGAAAAGCGGTGTCTGTTTTTTTTCTTTTGAGGTTCCATTCCTTTTCGTATAGGCGAACGATGTTTTCGGTGGCGCAAAAAGCTGTCTGTTTTGCAATGTGCTAAATTAAAGGATCGCTGAAGTAAAATCCATGCTTGATCGCACTTGGTGAATAATTAGCGACAGTAGCCAATCAGAGGGGACATTAGATAGTTGGTTCACAATTCAATGTTCACATCAGCCATTCGTTGAAGGGGTTCACTGCCAAATGCCGAAAGCTGCCCAAAAAAACATTGCTAAGAGTCCTCACCTGTGAGGCCCAGCCAATTCCAGGAACAAATACATTCTTTGATGGCAGCTTTCTGCCTCTAGACGACTGATCAGAGGGTGCTACGGAGGGCGATCGCTGTGATGGCGCCGAGGGTTTGCTGGGAAGAAGTGATTGGGCGTTGGTTCCTTTCTCTTTAGACATATTTACTGAAGAGGGTGATGATTGCGAGGTTCTTGATGACTGCGAGGCTCTCTGCTGCTTGCTTCTATTCTCAGCTATAACGGTGCCTTCGTATGACATCACAGAAACAGAAGAAGGCCCGCATACTGGAGGCGAAAGTGGCGATTTCGTCTCAACAGCTGATCTGATCATAAAGGGAACAAATTTTGTTGAGGTTTGTGACGCAGTATAAAGGGGGCGATATAAACACGTTACAGCACAACAGTTTGATACTTTAACTTTGTCGTATTCATGTACTTTAGCTAAAAGGGGACAATTTTCTAATGCTTGCTAATAAATGATATTTATCATTTAATTCCAAATATGAGTTATCTTATCACAGAATCAATTATAGGCTATAAGCAAATTCAGTCCATGAAACTAATCCACGAAAAAACATATGACATTCTAAATTGCTTATGAATGATGTATTCTTCAGGACAAAGGGACGGCCATTCGTTCCAATGACAACAGGTAAAATGACATTACATAGGCCTAAATACAATTAAAACCGTGCAATTAATTAGCGACAGAGCTAGTGACTCGCCTGATTTACAACGTGCCCAGGCTCCAAACTGTAGTGTGAATAAAGAAAAATATTTTTGCTTATATCAGGTTTCCCTAATGTCAGTAACAAATCTGTTTCCGTATTCCTTAGCATTCTCAATGCATGCACGTTTGCACCATTGCAGCAATTTCATTGGTTATGCCATATATAAATGATATTCGACGAATCGAAAAGCTTTGGATGAATCGAATTTACTATTCGTTATTATTAGGGCTTTATCATCTTTTTCTGTAGTTTTTAAATGGTTGGCAACTTTGTCGCTCATTTAATGCCCTTGAAAATAGGGCCATACAGTGTCCTTTTTTAAAAAATTTTACACAATGTTTTATGGTAATTTTTTAAAAGAAGATCAAAAGGTATCTTACTCCACAAACCGTAGAACATGTATCGTCAATTTTTCCCTCAGTCAAAGTTTCTGTCAACAATCAATCCTTGATATTTGCTATGTTATAGGTTTTCAACTTCACCAAAAAAATCAACATTTTTATTTCATTATCGCCGATATATAAGGTATATCGTCTATATATTTCTATTTCATGTATCGTCTATATCCTGTCATTAGAGCTTGCGTATTTTTTAACCCAATTGAAGATTATTTTCATTTAGCCAATGCTTCAAAATACTCCATTCGTAACTGAGAGACTGTTGATCTTTCTTAGTCCGGAAAGCTTTGGCTATAACACGTATTTTTCGATCACACAAAGATTTTGCTAGCTAAGACCCTAAAGGCACATTCAAAAAGAATGTCTATCTACGCAGCCCTGAAAATGATAACAATTAAACAAGATACTCAATCTTAGCGTGGGATCTTACCTCGATTGACTGGGAGATTTCTCTTTAGGGCAGTGAATATTTGCCGGTCTCCGACTAACGGTAACTGGGAATAGCGAATTCTGAGGAATTTCATGCTGCAGCTGTGTAAAACAGGATTCGAGTTTCTTGCAGTGTTCCAGGCAAAGTTGAGCGTGCGTCAGTAGCTGATTCGCATCACTAGACAAATTATAGGTGTCTTCTGTCAGCTTTAACTCGTATGATTTGCCATCAGAGCATATTATTCTTTTCTTTGCTGCTGAAATGTGGACTTTGGCACCTTGGTAAAAAAGAACTACATTGTCAGAGAAAAGGTACTTCAGCTGCATGGGGGAAAATGCATATGTTGTTAAGAATGATGACACTAGAGAAATATTTTGTGCCACAATAAATAAAAATGCGATTTTAAAAGAGGCACCGTCCAGTCAGATAAGAATTAGTGGTTTAGATCTAGTGTGTTTACCTTAACAGCACAGGCCAGGCTAAATTTCTCTGTGGCCTGATTTTAGTCACAACGATAAAGATCCGAACCATCTTCCCAGTAGGGACTTTTCGTGATACCCAAAACCATGACAATCTTCCAACTTTTTTCATTGCTATGATTAAGCACTTGTATTACTCGGCAAAATGTCATGGGCGCAAAGGTGTTGCTTTTTTAGAGCATAATGGAAAAGTCCGCTTATGGAAAAGACGACAAACGATGGTTAACAAGTCAGTCATGGATACTTAGAATATAATATGTTTGAAATTTAGCAAAATACGGGTTAAACAATAAACTATTTTCAAAAAATACACTGGAATATTGAAATTGGTTTGGTTCAGGATTATTCTTTTCCTACGGATTTAATGTTTTGCATATATTTATTACCTGTTCTTAAATTGCTTTGCAAAAAGCTTACCATAAACTCAATCATCTGCATTCGCTAGCTGCAAGGAGGTTTTTCGGAAGATGCGAAGGCCCAGAGAGCAATAATAGGTTGAGATTTTTTCATGCCTGTTAAGTTTGCTAAATTTTGATAGTTACACATTTTGATGACCAAATTCAAATTTTTGTTTACGAATTCAATTATAACTTTCCTTCCATGGCCAAACTAGTTGGTCTTCTTGAAACAATCAAACAAAATCCTTTACTTTTCAAAATACCTAATTATAATGAAAAAATTTCTTAAAATCTTGCAATTTTTCCTTTAGTGGTCTCAATTCTCGTTGTTAATAAAGCACGTTTGATTGAAGTTTATTCCGCAATTTTAAGATTATTTCTCGTAATGTCAAGAAAGAGCGCCTAAAGAATTGAAAGACCATTTTAAAAGGAAAGCTGAAAAAAGCGGTTATGAATAATTCCAAGCCGGTTGATTCAAGCTGAAGACGCGACGAAATCGGTACTCATCGCCACAGATTGAACTAATTTGCTCTGTTTTATCAGTCCAATTTTATATAATCGAGTTAGTGATCAGATAGATAGCTTCATAACATTATTCAATGCTAGTACTTCAGGAAATGAAAACAGGGAAGGACGTAAAACCTGTCTCTAGATCTGCACTTTATACGCTTAGCAATTCAAATATTTTCACTTCTTTATGCAATTTTCCATTCTAGCACCTGATAATAAAACAAAAATTGGCTATCATGAATTGTGACCTACTGCTTCAAGTGGTGTGAATGAAAGATCCTTTCGGAAACGCTTGATTCACATTTTATCTGTCCAAAAAAATCGATCCTTTTTTTAAAGAAATTTTCTTACAATCTCCATCTGCTTTGCTAGACAGTAACGAAAATCTTATGCTTACATCCATCTTTTGAAACCTAGCAAAAAGCCAGTTAGCCTTAAAACAATCTTCACACAGGTAGATTAAACACCCAGTGGCAAACCACTGTAATTTCCTTGGTTGTTGAGTTTAGCTGAACAGAATTCAAGAAGAATTAGACTTACCGTTATAAAAAGTGGCTTCAAAATCCGGGTTAGGAGAGTTTTCCATCAGTACACACTTTGCTTCCTCAGAGTAGAATGTAATCTGCGCAAAAATCAAAATGGCGCATTCCATTAATTATACGATCAAATAAACCAACAACCTATAAATCTCAAAATACCAAAAAAGCATACATAATTTTTTGCTACATTCATACAAGCATATTTTCATGTCAAATTCAATCAATTCTTCATTTGACCCTACAGTCATAACTGACTTCAGGGCACGGCAGTGGCGTACCCAAGGGGGGAATAGGGGGGTCCGGACCTCCCCACTTTTCTAAAATATGGTCCTCGAGATTTGTCCAAAAACGATGTAAAACTCATTGGTAGTATACTGTATGCTTGTGTCAATAACAATTGTAAAATACTTTGCTATTTACCGTAGCTAAAATGATCAAATAATGGGGGGAAATTTAGCAAAAAGAGCGTTTCCCCGCATTTGCGAGTGTTTGAAGGGCATGGCCCCAAAAAATGCGCCCCAGACCCCCTCCCCCACTCCTGCAGCCCTGGGTACGCCACTGGGGCACAGTCATTCAAAATTATACCAAATATACCACTTAGGCTTCAAAAGGTCATTTATACATGATACCTAACTCTATAACTTTGTTATAAAATCTTTTTCTTTTTCATACGTTTTGGAATATTCTGGTTGGATTTAAGAGTGTGCTCAGTAAATTTTTATTCTCAGTTTAGGCATCAGTGAACCCTAATTTCTTTAAAATAATAAGTATACCAACGCAGAACTTTTCGTCAATAAATATTGGCCAACTGACCATTACAAAGCTCCAGTCTACTTTTAGCGTACATTAGAAAAAGACTCGTTTATCAAAATGATTTAGTAAATGTTAGACCATACATACTTCCACGCAGCATATCAATTCAAATAATCTAAATTTAAATGCCAATGAAGCTAGGAGAAATATGCAATGTTAGCAAGACCCCGAACCAAAAAGGTTCACTCAGGTCGTTATCTTCAATTTTTGTGGGGAAAGGCAAAAGTCTTTTTACCTTGGGAGACTTCATGCGAACGAGACGGACAAATTTATCTGCGTACTGGTATTTCTTCCACAGCTTCTGCGGTAGGCCACTAAATGCATAGCTAACGGCTGATTTTGGGACTTCACCCGGTCGATCAAGAAGAGGAGCACCGTCTCTTCCATTCGTCTGGTACGTGGTCACTTTATTACCGTCTGATGATACTCGAAAAACTTCCGTTACGCAAAAGTCTTTCCCTTTTGATTTGATGAACTCAAGACACACAGTCTCATCTTCCAAAATGCTTAGCACTACATTTCGAGTTTTCTGTCGTATTGGTCTTAATCGTCGAACATTCAATGGCTCCATAACAGTTTCCAGAGTAGACGAAATCTTTTTTTTCCCAACAAAGTCCAAAGAACTCTCCATCTTTCCTAGAGGCCGATTCTCTTTATCAGTAGTCTTTGCACCAAAATCTCGTATCGGTTCGGCCATGTTTGGCCCAGCTAAGCACTTATTGGTAAGATCGTTGAAAACATCACGCTTGACAACCGTTTCCACACTGTCATATACATACTTTTTCTTCACGCCAGAATTGCTGCCTTCCGTGGAAGTGAATTTTTGATTATCCAAGCGCCCTCTCGAGCAATCGCAAGACGAATTATCTGATGCAACAGAAGTGTTTGTGAATCTACTGCGATTTCCATTTGAAGTTCGCTGGTAGTCTTGGGTATCGACTTGTCTGTGTTGGCGGTAAAGGTTAGAGTCACACGCAGGACCAAAACTTGACTGAGTACTGGTTTTAACGACTTCGTAGCTGCCGCTTTGTGTCGAGCAGCCTGACGTCGCTTTGTGTAGATCGCCCTGGTAGGCAAACCTATGCTGGTTTTGCCTGTAAACAAAAAATAAGAAGAGTTTACACATTTTGAATATAAAAATCTCAAAGGCACTATGTCCCGACGCACTTCGCTGGCCATTTAAATTTCCCATTGGTTGGCCTTCACAATAGACCTATTGTTACTTGCCCAATCAGCAACGTAAGGCTAATTCACAATGTTTTCTCGAACATAAACGCGCTGCAAAACCAATTTGTCAACTATGAGCCATTGACTGACGGGGTATACACATGATGCCTTTAAGCTGTTTTACCTAGACTAACAACAAAAAACTTGTTTTGTCAATTATGTTTTGTCTATGTAGACTAACAATGTTACAGAAGTAGCAAAGATCTGCCTGTTTAACCATTGGTCTGCTGTCTGTGTACATAGAGTTGTTTTCAATTTAATGCAACTTTGGCAAGTAATAACAAAAATACAAATCATGAGACAAGATTAACTGTACATAAATTAAATCAAAAACAGATTTACAAGGCTTTAACTAGCAACACTCAAGGTTCCCTTTCTTGAAGGTCAGGTGCTTTTAACCAAGAACCAAGAATATTTATCCCAAAATGTCCATCTCGAAAGGATGGAAATTGTTCCAGGTTAATAATTTTCGAATTATCAAGGATTCGAATCATCCAAGGTTCGATTTATTGAGATCACAATGTGCTTTCATATTCAATCAAAGTTTAAGTCAACATCATGTCTAGTTGAGGTTCAATTAGATAACGAACGTGCTCTATTGACAGAGGATTTCGACTCGATCACTTATAGAAAATAAAATAGCATGCTAGCCGCGCTTCTTATAAATTCATATGTCCTTGACAAGAGAATGCCATTGCGAAGAAATGCATTAAACTTGAAAATAAATATTTAATTAAACGTCTGTTTTAAGCTCATTCGTGTTTATGAAAACTCAACTTCGGCAGCATACATTGACAAAACGGCGAAACAGGTGCAAACACTTGTGAGGGAGGCTTTCCTCAAAGTATTTCTTATGGAAAAGAGCACCACAAAATGGACTGCCTTGGGAGCTTCGAGAGTTTATCAGCTGATATTCGGATAGCACTTTGCTTCTTCAACGTGATCATTAGTCTTCTAGCAACATGGGGCAATCTTTTGATTTTCTATCTGTCCCTGGCCAATCGTACTTTACGGACACGGTCAAATTGCTTTCTACAGTCACTGGCAATGTCTGACCTACTCGTCGGTATTCTTATCGAACCTATACACATTATGCAGACAATCTCCTTAGACTTTGCACAGAACTGTACGCTGAACGCAGTCAGACGATACCTAACAGCCCTTGCAGCCGGTGCTTCAGTTGCAGCTCTTGTCGCTATCAGTTACGATCGATATGTTCATTTGTCACATACGCTCAATTACAACGATTACATGAGAAGATGGAAGGTCGTCGCCATTATCGGCATCTGCTGGTCCGCTCCATTCCTGGCAAGCATTCTCACAAGGTCCATAATCAAGACCGAATTGGCAAATTTAGTCTCTATCAGTATATACGGAATAAGTGCCACAGTGCTCGCTATCATCTGCTACGTAAAGATTTTTCGAATAATCAATCTGAAAAGGAAAGAGCTGGAAAGATACCAAGAGGGTACAGCTGCAGCCGAACGACAGAGGTTTCAGAAACAACGTACTCTTAGGGCCAACGAAAGAGCAGTGAAAACAATCACAATTTTAATTGGCTGTTTTTGCATATTCGTAGCACCAGTTGCGGTTTTCATGGGCTTCACTGCCATCAAATCAATGATTCAAAAGCCTGGATTAAAAAAACAGTCGCAACAAATGACTGGAACGGATGTAGCATATTCTGTTGTGATCATGGTGGTTATGGCAAACTCAGCACTCAATCCTGTTATATATTGCTTTAAAATTCCTGAATTTAGGCAAGCGGCAAAGAGGCTGTTTCGTCACATGGTATCGAAAATAAGTGTAAACGAAAATATAGAATAACCGAAAGCAGAGGAGGCGAAAAAAAAATAATAACAGAATAAATCAAGAGAACTCTTGCTGCTGCAGAAAGGAACACAGTAATGTGAATGGCATCACATTTCTAACATTCCAAGGCAACGCCATGGAAGCAACAGAGAAAAGGACGTGTTGGTGAAATAACGTTACCAGAATATGATCAGGGGTGGAAAATTCCGGCAAAAAGGTCGTCTCCCGGTGGGAGACCAATAGGTTTCTTAGTGGGCTCATGCATATGGCCTGTGGTCTCCCAAAACGAAACTCTGGCGACTAGGGTGGAGATTTTCCAGTAAAAATTTGGTCACCTTGGTAACGGTAAGCGTTCTCCTGCAGATAAAAACCGGTCGTCCAGGGTGCGCAGTAGACCGAAGGATTCACCCTTGATGATTCGGGATCCCCAAATTCCAGTTTTCACGTATTAAGCAGTAGAAACCTCCAAAAACTGTGCCCAAATTTTTCCTCTGAACTAGTCTCTTTTCATAGGTATTTCTATCGTAGTTAAAGCACCTATAACATACTCAAAAAATGGTTTACATGACATAAATAGAAATCTTATTGGTCTTCAATCCTTTGAAAGGAAACGTATCAAGAACCTGGGTGCAAAAGCAACTGTTTGTGAATAATGTTTAGTGGATTCGATTAACTAAGTTGCTGATGCATTTTCTCTTTGTTGGGTGTAGCATTGTGCACGTCAGTAACCGAGAATCTATGCCGAAATGTAAACAGTTCGAACTTAGTTTGTATGGTGTATTCCTAATTGACAATTATGTATTTAAATACAATCTTTAGTGTTTAAGCAATGTGAGTTTTTCATACTCCCTCCCCACCCTCCCCCTTATAACTTGGGATGTTGGTGGAAGACCAGGCCTTAGCTCCTTTGTAAACGAAAGAATCTTGACCAGTTGGTGCTTTCGACCTGTTTTCGAGTTCCCCTGTTGATGATCAGTTAGTTGATCATCAGCCTGCAAACCGAGATATTTGGTTTTGTTAACCTTTATTTTAAGTGTGTATTTCTGTAAAGAAATATATTCTTGAAAGGTAGCTCGTCAATCATAATCCGTTAAGAAAATAATTCATATCATACTTGATACTGTAAACAACAAATAAAATTACCCTGAAGAACTTTGTAGAATAATCAAATACCTTGATCTCAGGCGAACAGGAGGTGAAGGTGGATGCTTCAGATAAGGTGGTAACGGCTCAGATTCGATTTCTTTTATTCCAGTTAAAACAGTAAGCGGCTCCGGGCGCTTGGTTTGATTGGCCATCTGACGATGGTCCGTGTTGGTCGCTTCAGTCCTCATTGTTTCGTTGCCGCTGTCCATTGAGTGACTGGCTAGCTGCTGGAAATGGCAATAAAAACACGTGTATAGGACATTTGTATTCATCTCAAAGTATTAGGACCGCAGAGAACGAGCCTGGTTTTCGCTACTATCTCAGTGACGTTTACTATGTGCTAGAGTCTCTCCGAAAACTGTATTCCCAAGACCCAAGATTACGGCCAAAAGGTAATTGCTGTAATAGAAGGAACGCCTAGCTGCAACTTACAAAATGTATTACCTTCTTTTAAGAGGGGGGCATGGACCAGATATGGAGCCCCTTGACCGACACTTGATCAATAAGGACACAGTGGGGCGTTGCTTACAAACAGATATATCACGGATCTATTCGACATATCAGGGGCAAAAACTCTCTTGAGTATCATTATAGAAAAAGCACTCCTTGCGAAAAGATGAACTGGCCGTCAGTTAGTTATCTCAAGCAAAACAATTTTGAATTTTTCAATAAAAATCAGGCCGGATTCTTTTACCTGTGAATTTTCCTTCAAGTACATTGGCTTTTGTGTCATGAAAGGATGATCCAAGATTCCTTAGTGAAGAGAAAGAAATACGAATCTAATATTTCTATGTTACATGGATGCATTCTACAAAATCAAATCAATTAAACAAAATACTTTTAGCCTTAAGTCCATAACAGAAAAGAGGAAAGTTTTGGCAGTAGCGATGAGCATCGCCGATGACGATAAAAAGATGATCACTATGATTGATGCCAATGATTGGTGGTGATCATGTTGATCATCTTGATTGATGCCAATGATTGGTGGTGATCATGTTGATTATCTTGATTAATGAACATAAATGATGGTGATAGAATTACTGATTAACTTTCGAAACAACGAGGATCAGTGTGCTTAAAGAATCCTAATCAAAAGAGGAGATTTCTTGAAAAAATATGCCAAAAAAGGTTTAAATGCAAACATAAAAAATTTACCAGCCAAAGTGATTCTCTCGTTCGGATTCTGCAAGAAAAAGAGCATAATTGGCCTGGTTGATCAATATTTACATTTTCATCACAGCATCAATAACGACACCAGCTGTTTTAATTTCAATGACAAAGTCAGTACTGAAGAAGCCATCTTTGAATTTTGATTTTATCAAGCACATCATGAAGCAGGGGACGATTACATCATGAAGCAGGGGACGATTACTTTTATAAGAATGAGGGAAAGAGTACAACAATAGGTACGAATTACGACATTATCTTATGATTTTCTAAAAATATCTTACAGCAGGAGCGCAATCACACTACTAGGATGTATTAAGAAATTTTGCAAAAAAAGAAATTCTGTTAAAAAAGCAGTTATTTGTACCTTACGTAAAAGCTGTGTGATAAGATTAGCAGCTTGTGGGGAGACAGATCTAGAATGAATGCAAAAGTAATACTTTGTTAGAAGCAAATGCGATTGGAAATGGCAGGTGCAAACCTCTTCTTGTAGAGGTGGTTTGAGAAAACGTTAATTGCGAGGATGGATATAACACCAGAACAGAAACAGGAAAATATCTCTCTTTAAATCAAATATATTTCTGAATATGAGATGTACAAAGGAAAATAGTAGCGAGTAAAATTTGTTTGTTGAATAAATTATAATTTTAAGGTAAAGGATACAGTTAATTGAGAGAGCAATACTTCATTCAATAGAACAATAGAAATGCCACTACATTTTATAAAAATACATATATACCCCCATTGTATCATAACACTCCTTGGTATAAATGTCGAGGCATTTTATTTTCTTCAATTTTTTGACATTTCATACTATAAATAGTGTCTATGAAAAAAGGCTTTAAGCAATTAAAGAAAAACGCTGTTTTGGTGCAAGAAATATCATATGACTAGAAAGTTGTTTAAAGTCATTTGACACAGGTAAAAGGTCGATTGGCTGTAACACTCTTAGAACATCATGTGAACAGTCACCGCCTTTCTGCAAAGCGGCAAAATCCAAGAGCGGCGCACAGTGGCTCAAGATGGCGGACAAAGCTATAGCTGCATGTCAAATGCCTTTAAACATGAGGAAGTGTGATCTTTAAGAAAATATGGCTTACTTTGGTATGACGTAATCAGCCAAAACGACTTTGTTCAATGTACTCCTGACAGCCTCTGTCTGCGGGGGTAAGAAAAAGCAGTAATTTTATCAATAGAAACTACTTGATATGGCAGCGATGAATAATGAGCAGTGTTTATCAAAAGGAGGCAATGCAAATGGGGTTAATGTTGAGGAAAGAAGTTGTTGTATGATAGGCTATAAAGTCACCAGTGCACCAGCTTATATAAATTGGCATCTCAGAAAAACTTAATCTGTATCCATGTGCAAGAAGCGTCGTTTGCACATTAAAGCAAAGAATATGAGCTATAAATACTGGTTTGGAAATTTATCATCGGTATAGCAAAATAGATTTGAGCTGGCTAATAGCGGAGATGCTTTGTAAGAAGAAAAAAGGCAGAAGTTGAATCAATTAATATCTTAAATTAAATTATTAACAGAAAAAGAGAAAAATACACCTGGCTGAAACACGGATATTTACAATCTTGAAGCTGAATACTCACGTCGAACGGAGGTTTGCCAACAAGTAGGTTGAATAATAAGCAGCCTAAACTCCATACGTCAGACTCCAGACCGTGGGGGCTTCTCGTAGCTATTTCCCTAAAAAGAACAGGGAATAGTACTGAAATCCTTTTCCTTTGTCAAGATTGAACATTTTTGTATTCGTCTCTAGGTTGGAACAGTAAGGAAAACGACTTAATCTTGGTATTTAATCCTACTTTTAAAGGCAAATTGGTATGGGTTCTTAAATGAAACGCTTTGGCGTATAGAACAAAATGGTCCAAGCTGTAGCACTGAGTTTCACGCTTAAAGCGACAATGGAGCTAGAGTTCCCTGATGATCGCATACATATGAAACTCTGAGTTGCAACTTAGAACCGCCCTGTTCTTAGAACCAAAGCGGGTACAGCTATGTCGATACGGCATCGACCACTACATTACAGGCTGTAACAGCAATTTTCATTTTCACAGTCCTGTCTGAAAAGTCATTGGGCAATTTAAGGATCAAAGGAATAAAACTCAAAGCATGATTATTAGCTGGAGAGCAAAATTTGCACAACTCAACGGACACATGGAATTGAAAGTTCGAATCACCAACCACTGGCCTAAATTGAGATCATCCAATTCGGGAAAAATTGTATTGTCGGGTATTCAAATGACATCGAATGTCTGTTAGGGTAGCAAGGCTAACACATTGGTCATAATGCCCGAATGAATTATATGTTGAACAGCAACTCCATTTGTCTTGTTACGAATTAGTTTATTATATATCAAGGTTAAAGATAATTGAAGAAATTGAGAAATAGTGAAATATATTTAATTCGGTAGTCAGATTATAGGCCCAAAGTGAAATCTTTGTACAATTTACAACCTTTCTGCAAGCCCCTCTCCAGCAAGCTACCATTAGAAAATTCAGATACAAGGGTTCTAGCTCAAGCTGAACTGAACATGTTTTTTCTGTGCATCTATTGAATAGACAAGTCATGCTTTAGCAATTAAAGACAATTCGCAAACATGATACCTGTGCTAATAAGATTCAAGTAATGTACTTACGGTGAGATGAAATTTGGAGTTCCGCACATTGTGTAATGTTTCTCGTTCGGTAGCTTCAATTTAGCTGCTAAGCCGAAATCGGCTATTTTCTACAAGATAAGACAATTATTCTGAAATGCTCAGGAAGCAACAAGGAAAAGAGGAAGCTGGTAATACGTTGAAAAAAGGTAGAATTATTATTAGGGCCTAAGGTTTGTAACGGTCTGCATTGAGCCAAAAATTGAGGCAGCATTAGACCATAGTCAATAGAATAGAACACTATTCTATTGACTATGATTAGACTTGTTTGTTGTCATTCAATTGTTGCCATTCCTTTTGGTCTTTCCGTTTATGTGGAAAAAACTAAAAAAGTCCAAAGATATTTTCCTATGACGTCACCACGTGGTCACTCTATTGGTTATTTACATAAAATTATGCATATGATAAAGTTTGTATATGTGAAATCTATGGGAACAGAACTACGGGTTTGCCTGCTGTAGAGAGGTGTCCGTTCTAGATAGGTTTCAGTTTTAGACAAGTGTCTCTAAAACGGATAAAGATATTCGAGCTTAACAGTGTTTGTCCAATTTTTAAGGTTCGTAATGGGAAAGTGTCCATCGGTTGAGGTTTCGGTCATTCTCAGAACGGACACTGCTGATATCGCATGGCGGCAAATTTAAATTATATCACAAGTAAACAGTCAATAAAATCCATTAAAAAAAACATACAATTTGCATGTCAGCCGTAAGAAGCAGATTGCCCATGGTCAAATCTCTGTGCAAAATACCATGCGAGTGTAGATACAGTACACCCATCAGCACTTGAAGAAGGATTTTCTGAGCTAAAAACGAATTGGCATCGTTCGATAAAACACTGATTATCAATAGAGCCTGAAGATATCTTTAAATAGGGGGGGGGGGCAGCAACGAAGAAATACCAGCATGTATAACAGGAGTAATTTCAAATTAACACAGAAATACTTACTTAACACAACTGAAAACCATTTACCTTAAATCTTACTCATATTTCAGTACCATCCCCTTAACAATCTTCCTCAAACATCAAGAATTTTTACAGCTATACTCGATCTTTCAGAACTTCTTTTTGTTTGAAGGAGAAAACAATTGTCCTAACTTTCATTTAGATTGAATTCCCTTACCCTCTCTCTCATTCAAAGGCGATCCCCTGTTTTCCAAGAACTTTTTAAGGTCACCATTATGGCACATCTCCAGAATAAGGTAGACATGGTCATCATCTTCAAGGTAACTGTAAAGCTGAAAAATGAATATATGAAGATTACTAATCACCTGTCTGTTGTAGTACTCAGTGCCATGTAAACAAAGTTGTACATGCTTTGGGATGCAGAGCAAAAAATTATAAATTGCAACTCAAAGTTTCATGCTTGGTGCAATGATCAGGCAACTGTTGATTGCCTGATGTACACAGGGGTAGGAAAAGAATCGGGACATGGGACCATTTGTCTCAAAAAGTATTTTAACACCTAAAAACTACACAAAGGACTCACAGTTTAACACAAAAACTCGCAAAAAGAAAGAGCTATCAAAATGAAAATTAACAAATGATTAAGCATTGACTGTTGTAACAGCTACTTTTATTAAATAATTAAATGAACTACCAGGTCAGTTCATAATAATTTTGCCCTAGTTACAATGAATGCTTCTTTGCTCCTAACCTGTGATGGCAAAATGTCTTGTTTCCTTTATTTATACTTCAATCTACCCTTAAACCACAAGGTTGCTTTTTAGAATCGGCTACAGTTCAATTATTCACATTCATAAAATTCAGAATAAATAGATTGTTTCTTTATTTCAAAACATTTATAAAGTGATTACGTTCAGCACAGCAGACAAGTGAAGCTTTGCAGGCATATGTGCCATTTTACATTTAACCTTTATGATGGCAATTAAAGAGGCATTACAACAATACAAGACAACAACAACATAACCCAATTAATTAGTAATAGCAAAATTTTGAATTAAGAGAATGAACAGATAAATATATATATATGTATTCAAAAGCCCATAATGTAAAATGTTTAAACGATATTTACATGTACTTAAAAAATTATGTGACACAGTTAGTTTTCTAAGCAATTGACCAGGTAGTTCCATTTTACATCCTTTACAAGCTGAATTTCTAGTTGTAAGTTGGCTTCCCTTCTACTGTGAAGTAGAATTTTTCAGTGCTCTTTGTGGGGTCCTGGAAAAATGGACTATCTTTCCAATGACCCATTAAGGGTGAAACTTGGAGCAACAACTTACAAGCTATTGTTAAACTATCTTATTCTGTGCTGCCTGTTTTAGCTCCTTAGGTACTTGTTCATTTTTAAGGGGTTCTAAAAATTTGGATTTTTTTTAACAACAACGTGCTTTGAATGCTGAAATTGTTATGAAAATTTAGGCAACATAGCTACAAATTAGATACAAATTTCACAATACTACTAAAAACAATTTCAAAAGGGACTTTTAATAAGGATTTCTTTTGGTAAACCTTCTTTTTTTAGTTATTTGAAAATGGGAGGAAAAGGAATTTAACAGAAGGAATGAGAATTCAGAAAAAATAAATGAAGTTTTGAATTACTTATAGAAAATGACAGGCTTGAAAAACCAGTGAGGAGTACATATCATTGGAGAATTAAGACATCAACAAAGAATGTTCAGAAAATATTTTGCACTCTGATAAATACAGATTTACAACTACATACCTCTAATATTGAGGGATTTTTGAGCTGACAATGAATTTCAACCTCATTTCTTACTCTACTTGCCATGCCATTCTTGCGTAATGCAATTTTGTCAATCTAAAATGAATCATATAACTTAAATTGAGCAATTTCTTGATTTTCAGCAATAAAAAAATGACTAAATGAAATTAAATTAGTCAGCATAGGCATAAGATCAATAGTGGTGCAAACTGCAAATGAAGGAACAAACATGTATAAAAATTTATAATATTTTTCAAAGAACAGAAAACTTACAATTTTAATGGCAACTTCTTTCCCTGTCGCTTTATGATATGCTTTGTAGACATGGGCAAAACCTCCTTTTCCAAGAAGTTCAGAGATTCTGTAGTTCTAAGGAAAAAATCTCACAATTAAAAACATCTTACAGCTTTATAACTTATGCCATTCCTTGAATGTCAGTTACATTAAATACATAGATACAGTATATATAATACCTCATAGGAATCATGAATGAAAAGGAAAAAGAACATATAAACTATTTGCAAGGCTTGAAAGCCTTCTAGTTGGGAACTACCCTGGGGTGACTTTCAGTTACCTTCTAATTATCTCAAAATGGTGTCATATCACTTCTATTGCACTTTTGTATGACCATTTTGTGGTCTTAAACTTAGTCCTAGGTAATGATATGTTTATACATGGCTTCTGAATAATCAACAATTTTTATATCATGTATGGCTTATTGGGTTCTTTGATTTATGCAATCTTGAGGTGAATGTTGAAAAATATACAACATTTATAATGATGCATTAAACATAGAGATACTTACTTTTATTGACTCTAGTTCATCTGAGCTTGATGGTGCCATCTTGGACAACCTTTATTTCAAATAGCTCCTAAAAAAAATTTCAAGAGATATTATAAATAGCATCAGTTTTTGCCACTGATTGATTTTTTATGCTTTATCATATTTTAAGATATTCCATTCTGCCAGCTATTTCCATAGCCAAATAAGCCAAACCCATCATTCTTTTTATAAATGCATTGTTGGCTATGGCATATAAAACTTCTTTTTCTGCATCATCTGATAATGCTGAATACAACTTGTCAGACAATTGATGATATTCCAGATCATTCTTCTCAGTAACATTGTTGTTATTAATTCATGTTGGGATTGAAAAAAGGAAGTTACTTTTGTGGTTGTCTGTAACATTTGAAAGACTATAGTTGGTACCATAATCCCACATATAATGCTTTTTCCTGTGTTTTAAACCTTAAGTTATGAATAGCACAACTCAATGAAAAATGTTGCTTCCAGATGTGCAATTACCAATGTCTACTAAAATCTGTACAGAAATGCCTGCCATGGAGTTGACAATATCTTGGTTTTGTTGCAAAAATCTGACAAAGGAATTTCATTTGAGAAAGACCTTCAGAAAATAATCCAACTTACAAAATCCAACTTAATGCAATGAAAATTGACATCCATACCAAATGGACTGAGACTGGCACATTTGTTCAAGTAAATAAAATCATACTTTTACCAGCCCAACTTATGTGAATTATGACTGCATAATAAGTCAAAATGTGTAAAATAAGCTGAATATGTCCTTTATCCTAGTTATAACATTATTGTGTTTCATTTTGAATTCTTCTGTGTCTTTGTGTTATGTAGAAGTTAATTGATTCCATATGCTTCATGTTGTAGTGATTCCATTCATTCTAATTTTTCCTCACCTATCGCCATCCATTTCTACTTTGTTTATTTTACCTACAGTAATTTCTTCACATCACTACCTCATCACTACACTCTACGAGCATATCACTATGTCAACATTTCCTCTCTTTTGTTTAGGCCATCATCAACCCTACACATCTACCTAAATCTCAATTCATAAACTATTCACACTTAGCCTAGCCCTTCCTATCCTTTGTTTTCCTTACATCATTAGTGTTAATTCTAGATATTCATTTCTGTATATAAGCATGTTAATTTTTATGTAAGTCAGTTCAGTTCAGAGTTCAGTTACAATCAAGCAAACACTGTCTCTCTCTCTGGCTCCGTGTTCTCTGCACGTAAAATAAGACTCGCTTGGTTTGGAAATGACACGATAGTCAAGGATGGTTTTATTAGTGAACGAATCGCACATAACAAGGCTCAATTCTCGTTACACTAAAAATGGTGACCACGACGTGACCGACATGGTTAAAAACAACATCCTTCGACGTTATTTTCAACCCAACTCAACGCAACAGAATTTGTCAGCTACATTCACTCACTCAACTGGATTGTCACACACTCGAGCTCAGCTAGACAACACAGCACTCGGACACAAGTGTCTCTATTCGCCTCACATCCTCGGCAGCTCCACGGCACTCTCCGGTGCTCGGCAGTGTCTCATGCTCTTCGCAGGTTCTTGGTTACCCTACTCATAAAACCTTGGCATCCACGCACTCGACTCACTGCAGTGCCCTCGCATCCCGGTTCCTGGTCATCCGACTCACAAAACCTTGGCAAAACAACTCTACCGGTTCTTGGTCACCCGACTCACAAAACCTTGGCAATTCACTCATCGCAGGTTCCTGGTAAACCTATTCACAAAACCTTGCTCAACATCGGACTATGTCGCAAATTCAAGTCAATTTTCATCGCTGCTTGCAGACCCGCACATGGTACACGAAAGCAAGTCAACGAACAAATTGGACATTCGAACATTTAAGTAATTTTTATACGTATATTTCTATCGTCTTAATTATTCGCAGCTAACCACATACTAACACTTATCGAATCCTTCGCTATCGCTTGCATTCTAGGGGGGGAGCTATGTAGTGATTCCATTCATTCTAATTTTTCCTCACCTATCGCCATCCATTTCTACTTTGTTTATTTTACCTACAGTAATTTCTTCACATCACTACCTCATCACTACACTCTACGAGCATATCACTATGTCAACATTTCCTCTCTTTTGTTTAGGCCATCATCAACCCTACACATCTACCTAAATCTCAATTCATAAACTATTCACACTTAGCCTAGCCCTTCCTATCCTTTGTTTTCCTTACATCATTAGTGTTAATTCTAGATATTCATTTCTGTATATAAGCATGTTAATTTTTATGTAAGTCAGTTCAGTTCAGAGTTCAGTTACAATCAAGCAAACACTGTCTCTCTCTCTGGCTCCGTGTTCTCTGCACGTAAAATAAGACTCGCTTGGTTTGGAAATGACACGATAGTCAAGGATGGTTTTATTAGTGAACGAATCGCACATAACAAGGCTCAATTCTCGTTACACTAAAATGTGATTTATTTTACTTCAGTTATCATTAAATTTAGTCAAATTTCAAATACATTCCCCTCACGTAAGTACCTGGACAGTTTAAATATCGATTGCCCTTTCAGACAAATAGGCTGGCAAATACAACTTTTTAAATTAGTGATAATAATTTTTGAGAAACCCTTCCAAAATATCCCATTGTGTTAAAATGCAGCAAAACTTCTGTGCTTTTTATATATTATCATTTTATGTTTAACTGAGAAATCTTTGCTCTACAAGTCTTATGCAAATCAACTGATGTCAAGTAAGTGGAGAACATCAAAGTCAGGTGACTTGGACTCAGTTAGAATGGGCCAATGAAAAACCATGGTAATTTTTTAACAAATAGTTCTTGAGACACAAATATTTTCGAATAAAAAGAAATACAACATGTTTACTCTCTGTTGGGAAAAAATTTTGCATGGAGATGCCACCAATCGATTATAAAACATGGCATTTGGTAACATTTCATTATATCTCGAAAGCTGCAGTCTTTATGCATCCATTGATACTAGCAATTTAATGCTAGCCTTTTACAGTCATTGTGATAAAACATTACTTCTAGACACTGCTCAGAAGTCAATGTTTTTGTTTGGGTTGCTACAATCTTGTGGAAAAACCCTTACAGAGTTTGTTTACATATATATAGATAAGATAATTTTTCGAATAGATAGATTTAAGGCCAAAAAGACATCACGGAAATTGATAAAAACGTTTTCATGAAAACTGACTTTGAAATTTTTAAACAAATTTCTCTAACAACAGATTCACAACTGAACTTTAAACTGTCTTGATACTTTCGTAAGGGGAGTGTATATCAAAACTTAAACTAATAGCCTTGTGTATGAATTATGTATTATTTTTATAAGAAATGTTGAGTTTTATAGGATAAACCTGAATTAAAAAATCAAAATAAAGAGTTAAAGCTTTATCTTTAAGAATCACTTTAAAAACTATGGTTGAGAGTTACTGTGAGAAAGGTTGATTTGAGCTCCAGCTTTATTATCCTGAGAAATGGTAAGTTATTAATATTATAATAATCAAAGTCCATATCAAGGCATTAATGATTGTAGAAGACTGGGTGCATCTAGTCAAAATGCCACAGAACATGATTGAAAATTAATTAGAGCGTCATCACAATTCCCAATAATCCCAATCATTTGTCAAGAAATGAACCATATAAATAGGCCTTTCAAACAAAAATATTGTCAATTATACAAATAAAACTTCCTACTGATCTTATCAATATTTGGCTGTCAAAATGCCTTGGAAAATGGCAACTTAATAATGCGAATTGAACTTGAATAATATTCAATAGATAGAGATTTAATAAAATATAAATCATAGGTAGAAGGCCATCAATAGAAGACAGCACATACCATCAACATCAACAATGTGCTTCATCGTATTTGGCCTAAGCACCTTTGCTAGTTCTTTATTCTTTTTTCAAGCTAAAAAATTCTAATCCGCTTGAACAAGAATGGGTAATATTTTTTACTTACCCAAGAAAAACCACAATCTTCCCCATAATGACGAGATCGTAAATTTTTGTATTCAGTTTCATCCTCTTTGAAAGTAATTTCTCGAATGGCGCCAAATCAACGGACACTAGTGCCTAGACCTCCGATGACACGGACTCGGTCAACGTTCAGAGTCGAGACTCGTGTATGAGCAATGGGTTTGTAAGCAGAGACGATGCAGCAGAGAGTTTACCAATACAAAAACGTTTATAAAACTAATTTGTGAAGATTAAAAAAAAGTCTATAACCATGGGCATTCCAGCCCCTTTTTAGCAACAAAAGTTTTTACGAAAAATTGTAACGATAAATCAGAAGAAAATAATATAGCAATAAATCTTTTTATTGCTAAATTTCAAAGGGATAAGCCGAGGTCTACGATACCTCAAAAAGTAATGATTTTCATTGGCCTTTCCAATCAGGGGCGAAACTACTGGGGGGTATATGGGTGCTGCACCCCCCCCCCCCCCAATCTTCAAAAAAGCAGATTTTGTCGGGCAAATTTATAACTGCCAGTGTATCTGTCGGGCAAATCTGGAAATTTTCTTTTGGTCGCACTGCTATTGCTACTTTTTGCTCTAGCTTGGTTTTTTAATTCATGGTCTTTTTTCCCATCTTTTTTCAATCTCCTCCCAGTTGGGAAAACAAAACAGAAACGAGGCTAGGGACAGCAACATACGTATATTTATTTCTGTCTTTCGTCCACTGATCAGCGCTTTCGTCTCGAGCTCGACGTGCACATGTTTATCTTCGCCTCGACATGAAGTCTGAAGTATTGATCGACAGCGAAAGTATAGACGGAAAGTAAAGTGTGTTTGGTGCGAGAAGGAAATGAACACTGTGCATACCCCTCCCCCCTACTTTTTGCAAAACAAGAAAGCTTTTTTCAAAATCTTTTGTTTTGATTTCTAAATTTTCCCTTGACAAGCCCCCGCCCCCCTTTCCATTCTGCCTCGGAGCCCATGGAACACTGACAGTTTTAGAAGCATCATAAATCAAAGCATGAAGGATATACCATCTCGGAATACGTTGTTGAGAAAAATCAATCAATACTTTCTTTTCCGAATGTATGAAACTTTCATCATACATTCATAAGGAGTTATGCCCCAAAATTATCTTGAGGTTTTACCCTTACGGTCCGAAAGAATTGCACCCTTCGCTAGAAAATGGTCATAGAAAGTTTTAATCAGTTCAAGCGGGAAATAATTTAAAATTTATCAAGAAATTGTAGTTAAGATATGAATTGCAAAAAACTTTCGAGTTTATTCTATTTCTGAACATTATCCATGATTACGAAAACACCAAAATTGAACTTTAATGATAGATGTACCTGTAAAATACCTCCAATGAAAAACTTTCCTTTGCTTGAGGGATTTTGTTATGGTGAATTTAGAGATACGTACTTTGTGCTTGGGTGTCTAAAAATGTTGAAATTGCTTCCGGAACAACCGAAATTTGAAAATGAAACTCAGATAATGCAACTGAAGCTCTTTTTTGTGTAAACAATGTAATCTGCGTAGCTGTTTCTAAATTCCGAAATTTCCTAGCTGTGTTTTGTTGTTCTACTTTGATAAAATTGAGACCCTACTTCAATCCCCTTTTTTGAATTGCTCTCTTAATAGCTAGGTGATCTAGAAAGTGAAGACTTTTTTTCTTTTATAGAAAAGACAGGCCTTACAAATGCTTGCTTTTCGGAAACAAATGTTTATAGCCAACACCAGAAAAACTAGAGGCATATTTCTTGACTTTAAACAAACAGCCTGAGTCTAAAGACCCTCTCTCGGGCTTCCCGATGATTTCAGCCCTTGAGGCGATGTGCTCTAAAAATGAAGTTCATGTATGACACGCCCTTTCGTCAAGCATGCCACGCCCTTTCGTCGGGCATCTAAGCTTCATACCCCCCCAATGAAAATAGTGAAGTTTCGCCCCTGTTTCCAATGTATCGCTAGCATATCGCGTGTCCATAAAATCATAGGCATAACATATCGTGAAGCATTTTAATGCCATTTTCAAAATTTGGTATTTTTAGTCAAATAATGCTATCAACTCAAGTCCCATCCCTTTTTTGAATTTCTTGACGCCACCCCTGATGTTCAAAGAGGGCGAAACAATAAAAATGGTGCAAGCAGTAGCAATAAAAATGGTGCAAGCAAAGGGAAGGGGAGCATGAAGGGACGGATCCCCCCTCCCCATAGCAGAAAATCTTTTTGAAAAAACGGCATTTCCTGGTGTTCAAAAGGGCGTAGAACCCCATTTTCCCTCGCTCAACCCGCCTTTGCCCCCCAACCTTACCACCCTGGGTACGCTACTGGAGGCAAGCCAAAGATATCAAATAAGTTTAATTTATGTTTTATGTTAATTCCATTATTATGCTTTTTTGGGGAAATTTCTGGAAATGATCTTTCAGGGAGGGTACTTATTTCCATATTCCTTTTAAACAAAGAAGGGACGTTTGAAAGCAAGTAGTCAGCATTGTTGCAGTCATCCTGCGCTCTATTTAAACTTTGATTATGCAAAATTTCTAAAAGGTGAAGTTTACACCCCCCCCCCCCTACAATTGGGAACTTGAGAGTAAGCCACTTTGATTAGGTGCTGCTTTGAATTTTCAAAATCAATGCAGCAATTTCAAAAAAGTCCTTTTCTCTAGAAACACGACAATATATCTTTAAATAGAAATACTTTTCTGAAAAGGTGGCACTTCAACATCTAAGGTGATACTTGTTTCAGCAAAAAAATGAATCGCAATATACCAGTATGAAATACAATAGTTGATAATTCAAAAAATTAGATTGATATCTAGTTTTAACTGCTTAAAAGCTTTGTAAAATTTATCTATATCAATACTTTGCAAGATCATTATGTTAGAACACAGGGTTCCCATTCATTGCAGGACATCACATGACAATTGCATCATTGCGCTGCAATTGCATCAGCTTCTGTAAATTGTATTATTCTTAGGGTATATAAGGGGTGGCTTTATAGTTAGGTTCAGTCTTGCCGTAAGCTTTGTCGAACTCAGTATACCTTGTCGCTAGCTTGCAGGATTGTATTTGCCGTTACATTGTCGCCGTTAGCCGTTTAAGATATTTTTAGTCGTTTGCCGTAAACTGATGAATTAGAAGAAGTGTATAGAGAATTGGATAACAGTTTTTGCCGTATTTATCGTGTACGTTTCTGCGAACGACCTACGAACTCACATTTGTAAAACCCCCTTTTTAAGTGGTTTTACAATTATTTGGATGGAATATTGTTGCGAATATTTTCAATTCAAAAGGAGACTTTTCATGAAAAGGAGCACTTTCTGTAACCCATTGGGACAGGGCCTTTGTTTTTCTCAACAAATAAATCATTCCAAAATCCCTATCAAATAATCTAACAGCGAGGCCAGTCAGCAAGTACCTGTTTCAAAGTACTTTACCAGAACATTCTTACTAGTTTGGACTTGATGAAGGATCTTCCTGCACCAGAGGTGGCGCCAGAAATCTTCCGAAAGAGGGGCTGGAGCTTCCGACAGGGGGGCTAAAATGACTAAAACAAGCAGTTTTCGTACGTTATTTTGTCAAATTTGCTCCGACAATAACCTAAAATTTCCTCCGATAGGGGGGCTAGATGCTTCCGACGGAGGGGCTGTAGCCCCCCTTAGCCCTCCCCTGGCGCCACCACTGTCCTGCACTGAAAAAAACACAAGAATAAGACTCTAGAATTTATTGGATTCTTATCTTAACTTTGTTACATTTGTGAATAGTACATATATTTTTTACAGGCGCGAAAACCAAATTGACAAACAGTTGCTGTGTTTCTGTCAAAACACAGCACATCACGTTCTTTGGTCTGTGATGCAGGCCAATGATGCGGGGGTGTGTCTGCCATATTAACCAATCAATGAGCGAAGCAGAAGCCGCTGTTGTTAAGAACGACGTGAAGGGAAGTCTACGTGGCGGGAAAGGAGGTTGTAAAACAGCGAAAAATGGACTCCAATCTTGAAGTATCTGATGATATTAAGAAACTAATTACTGCATGCGTGAAAGCAAAAGATTTTTCCTATTCACCTTATAGTAAGTTTAGGGTAGGAGCCGCACTTCTTACAAGTGATGGGTCGATAGTAACCGGCTGCAACGTTGAGAACGTTAGCTATGGCCTAACCATTTGTGCAGAGAGAACAGCCCTCGTGAAAGCTGTAAGCGAAGGTCATCAGAGATTTAAAGCTATTGCTATAACGACTGATGTAGTTTCTAATTTCACCTATCCTTGTGGAGCCTGTCGTCAATTCATGGCGGAGTTCGGTGACTTTGATGTCTATCTGTCAACTGATGACAGAAAACTTAAGAAAACTTCACTGAAAGAAATATTGCCGTACACGTTTCACAAAGAAGATTTAAAGGAAGGACAAGATAATAACAGCACATGAGGAATTTCGATGCCTTTTTATACAATTGAGTTTTATCGAGTGTTGCAACGTAGACATGTGCATAGTTTGACAAATTGATATTTCAGGCCTAGGTGCTTATCGTGTATAGAAAAAGGAAAGAAGAAACAGAAGAAAAAGGAATAATAACGCAGTATTAATTATTTAGACAAGTGTGATATTGATTTATTAAAAAAAAAATTATTTATATCTAAATTTAAAAAAAAATTACCTTGTATTTACTTTTATCAGTTATATGAAAAGAACAATTATTAGTATATCTAATTCGCTTCCACTCTTATCTTCCCTTTACTAGTCAGCCCATCACTAAGTTGTAACTTGGAATGAAGTTAAGGTCAGTCATTCAATGAATAGTTTTAATGAATTATTCACAAACGGCTTAAGCTGTTCTCAGAACTCCTCCTAATGTTATTCCCCTGCTCCCTGGTTGCTTAAAACTTTTTGTAGAAAATTAACATTTTTTAATATTGCTTTAAAGGATCTTGTGCAGCTGGGATGCTTTGCAACTTCAATGCCAAAACAGGCCTTATATCGTACTGCATGAAATAAATAACACAGAAAATACAAATCATTTCTCAGGGCAGCTGTGGCTAAGCATGCCAGTTGCAAAAGAGCCTATAAATAAAAAAAATAATTATTTGACAAATAAGCTGCTCAAACATAGTTTGATGAAGTCAAACTTGATTTTGTTTTGCTAGGGAAACATGTCACTGTTTAGCTTTTTTTTCTGTCATTTATAAGAATTATTTAATTCCATTGTTTTAGTGAAGGTCAAGCACAATAGAACTTGATGGACTCCATATACTTATAAGATATATGAAAAATAAGTGTTGCATGTTGTTGCTAAGCACCAAATTAATCATTGTGTGAAACAAAAGTTTACATAATGTATTCAGAACCATATTGAAAAAAAATAATTGATCCTCAATGGCTATATAGTATCAAGTAATAGTAGGGTCAATACTTGTAATTACCCACATACACCCAACACCTGTCCAACAGTTGATAAAATTCCTTAGAGAAATACAGTTTGTATATGGTACTGAAATGGTGCCAATTGGCGATAGTCTCAAAATTTCTTATTGACTACTCCCATCACCCCCTTCTCCAGTAAATCAAATTTGACATCTAGCTAAACTTTGTGTGACAGTATTTAATTTGTAGGGACTTTCTATACACAAGTAATAACATTCTTTTTTTAAAACAGAAAAGTTTAGTTTGTTTTGCATACAAGTTTTTTTCCTTGTGAAATTTTGTGTTGTTTGAATTAAACTCTTAAATCACCCAACTCTGGTATCAATTTATTGACAAATTATTAACAGTCAGCACAGTGGAAGTATGATCTTTCTGATAAACTTTAATTTGGCTGTTAGTCCACGCAAAAGAAATAATGGAAAGAACATGCCTGATAAGTGCAGATCTTGACAAAAAAGTGAATCCAATTGCTTTAAAAAAGGCTGAATATTTGAATATCAATCTCAAAATTTTAGCAAGAAAAAAAAATTGGATTGAAATAGGCCTAGATGTTTAAAGTGATGTTAAAAAGGCATAGGGGCCAGAACTTTCAGGCCAGCAATGCCGCTATGGCAAAATAAACTTATGTCAATAAAAGGAGATTAAAACTACCAAAAATAAAATAAAAAATAACTTGGAAAAAACAAACTTTTTTACACAAAGTATGAAACATTTACAAAACACAGAATAATTCTATGTCATATTGTAGACATTGCATTGGGATTTAATATTATGCTTTTAAACACATAAAGAGTGAAATGAAATTGGTTTCTCCATTTTCCATTCCAAAAATCTTTAATCTGAGTGTTGTCAGAATTAGAGGCAGGCTAAATGTCACTTGATTAAACTTTTATGTCACATTGATTTTTTATACCACCACCCGCTTCTTTTTTTTGAAGACAGCAAGTTACCTTAGTGAAATAGACATTGGTGGCTTTACAAATTTTGTAGAATATCTTTGTTGAGGATGATAATAAACATTTGGCCTTTGAGGTTCATGTTTTACTTCTGCTTTTTGGGGCTCCAGATAAAATAGGTTGGCTGTTGGGAAGCATCACAAAAACATAATCTAATTTTTTTCCTAAGCTCTTGCAACTATTTCATGTAGTAAAGTATATTTTTAACTTAATAATTTATAATTGATCAACTCACCCATAAACCATTCAAGCTTTTTATGATTAAACAACTGACAGAATTTTTTGAATAAATATATAGCATGATTATGTATATAGTGCTTTGTTTTCGTTCATAATGATTAAAATCAAACCCTAGTTTAAAACAAAGGCCCCTTCCAACATGGGGATTGTGAGCTTCTCTGAGCAACCTTATGAAATGTGCCAAAATTAAATGAGTTTGTATGTCTCTTGAGCATCTATAAATGGTACATAATTAGATCTGAGGATAAATGTTTGAGGTTGGCAAAAAGAAGAAACACAAATCTACTGGTTAATGGATTTTATCAAATATCTAAAAAATCATATGGCTGCATCAAAATAATTATTTTTAAAATTAAATTAGTTAGCTACGATATTTGATCTTATTTATAAAACTTGCTGTGGGATAAGTATTTATACATATGTACAATGTTTGAATGAGTATCTGTATGAAATGCTCTGGAAATATTTTGACTGAAATGCTTCACCAAATCAAACCTTCAACTAATAAAGAATAAAGCTTCCAGAATTCTTACTTATCCAATGGAATGCCATTCACTATCATCATTTTTGCAGATGAGCTTCCTTTACTGCATTTCACTGCAATAAGCTGCAAAAAATAAACTTATAACTTAGACTGGTAAATTTTTAGCCATGGATTTCAGATGGTTCAGTTACATTAACCATGATATATTTGTTGAGCAATTGTGGATATATTTATGTGGACAATAAATCCTACAATAAGCACCCAGTGTGGAACTTTTAACTGTTTTAGTGGGGTGCTTATTCAATGGAGGGAGCTCAATTGATTTTAATTTTTCCTGCAGATCATATTCAATGAGAAGAAACATAGATTGTTAGAAGGTTTTGAGCAATGAACTTAAAAAGAGAAAATTCAAATGTGCACACTTTAGATTTACATTTGAAAATGCATAGACAGGTTGAGATTTGCACTTATTGTAAAAGATAAGTGTTAGACTACAGATATATTTCTCTTCAGGCCTTACCTTATGGCTGAGCCTGTGGGAGCTGATTTGAGGGATGGGGTCTTCATCAAAACAGGATGCTCTTTCAAAGAGAAGGGGGGCACTCATGCAAGGATTTAGATTGAGTTTATTTAACAACAATATTTGGCCTTGGCATACAAGTTGAAAGTAACATATTGTGCAAAATAAAAAAAAACAAAATCTAATGCTTTTACCTTTCTTCCATTGTGTTTTGTTTTGAATAAACAGTTTGGGTATTGATAAATAGCATGAGCTCGCATTGCTTCTTTGAATTCTTGGGATAATCCTTCTTCTGACCACTTATTGCGACTATGTGGAGTGTTTCTCTACAATTTCATTTAAAAATTTAAAAGATTAATGAAAAGGGCATTGGGCAAATTCAGTGGAAACATTTGAGATACACACACTACTGTAAACTAGAAGACAGGATTCATAAACTTCATATTGATGAAAAAATAGCAATTTCTTAATAAAGTTTATTCTTTAGTTAACTTCTTCTTCAATTAGGTCTAATGGATTAAGTTTTTCCTTAAATTTCGAAAAAGAAAAACTTTCCTATGAGCAAATGTTCTAGTTAGAAGCATCAAGTTGTCGCCCATTGCAGAAAAACATAACTAGAAGCAAAGCTGTAAACATGAAAGTAACAAAAGTACCTACCAGGTCTGCCAATTCATACCAGCATCTCTCAGAATTGTGGAAATCTATGTCTTGTAAAGGTATATGCACATCACCAAGTCTTGTATCTTTTCCAGAAGATTCTTTATTCAATACATTCAAAACTAGCACCCTGTTCAAAGTTCAAACAGTATAGTTTTGAAATGATTTATAACCAATATCATAGTTAATTACACATTTTACATATTATTTGCTTTAATATGCTATTGATACTATCTTGCTACTTTCTAAAGGCAAATTTTCTCTATTGGTCTTTATCATTATCCTTTATCATTGTATGGAGGGCCTATTTTGATATCTGTTCAAGTACATCACTGTGCTGTAATAATTTGTGTAATAACTATGAACTTATAATACTTGTGTAATAATAAGTGCTGAAAGGTCAGATTAAAAGAATAGGAAATAAAATTGAAGTTGCATAAGTTTAAGGTCTAAATTTAAACATTCAAACAAATGTAGCCAGAACAAGTTGTTTAACCTCATTGGCAGATCTTCTGGAGCAATTTCAAATTCAAATGTTTGCTCAAAAACAGGATTCAGATTCTGAGTTGACACCTTTGAGGAAAATGGAATTCATTATTTCAGTTTAAGTAAAAAGGTATGAGACAGATTTAGCATATGTTTAAATCAATTAACTTGAAAAAGTTATCGTGCATTAAAACATATTTCTAGAAATTTTCTGGGGAAGGCTATGGTGAAAAAGAAATTATCTAGCATGTAATTGAGGTTTTGAATGCATCTCTCTGCTTCTGGTCTTTGTTCAATTGTTGTGCTAATGATTATTTTCATAAAATTATGATGGAGGGCCAACATGATTATAATGTAGCAGTATATATTGACGCTTATTGGGCAGTAGCAATGTACTCCAATGTAAAATTAGTTAGAGTATTTGTTAAAATAACTGTTTAATTGGTTTACCTTAAAGAAAAAGCATTGATATATTAATGCTGCTAATAAATTCTAATTAAAATTATTAAAAATGTTAATCATGGTCAACGGCACATGAGTTACAGGATATAATAAAAATAAATGTGTTACCTCTGTTTCCTCTCTTTTTTGTACACCAGTGACATAACTTCTAACATAGGAATTTGAAGAACTTGCTATCTTGTCTGCAATTTTCAAGTCAGCTGCTTGATGGATTGTCACCATTAGCATCTGCTCATCATAATCAATTGAGACTTCAATCCTACCTTTTATATCTAAATCAATCTGCAAGCAGACCAAGAATAAAATTATATTATAGCTTATTAAGCTTCTTTCAACATTACAGCCTTGGTCATATTGTCACTTAGAGTAAAGGTGAATCTTACGACTGAAATATCCAGGCAGAGTGAGCAATTTGTTCTGCCAATGTTAAATTTTATCTATCACTTAAAGGCTATTAATCAAAATCACCCTGCTACATAGGAAGTTTATAACATTGTGTTAGTACTTATCATTATCCTAACTCAGTAACAGAAGAGTAAAAATCAAGTGCAACTGTGATGGAAAAAAGTCACATAAGGTAATTAACATGAAATATACTGCTACAAAGCTACAAGTGAGACTTTATTATACACATGTATTATACACAACAAGACATGATAAAAAGATTTTCACATCATTTCAGCCCAAAATCAGGGATCGTGTTATTGAAACAACCATGTACTTGAAACAAAGATAAATGTAATTTATAAAAACCATTTATCCCACAACTAATAATTTTGTTCTACAAGATGACAAATCATACCACTGTAAACTGGGACTTCTAGCTATTTTGTAAAGTTACCTTTGGTTTCAGCTTATGCCAACCTGGAATCCCTCCATTGACTTCTTCTTTGTAAAGTTCCAAAATTACTTCTCCAAGAAAATCATCCATAGATATTACATCTTTATTCCATACATCAATCACTAATTTTGCATCCACCAAGTCAGCCTGTATCAAATCAAATGTAAGAATCTCTTGAAATAGTGGATTAACAGTGTTTGACTTTGGTCTTGTCTTCTGGACCTGTGCAGCATCATCTCCAAGCCTAAAATGCGTTTAAGGTTTTCTTTATCAAAGGAGAGATTTCTATTTTATTTGGATTATGAACAGTATTGACTTGATAAAACATAGAAATCATCTACATGCTGGAAAGATCTGAAAATGTTTCAAAAAATAGCTGAACTATTCAAATTCTTGGTAGAAAACCTATTTTAGACATTCCTAAATCTTAGTTTTTGTAAAATTTAATAACTTACCTCTTAACGATTAAACAGACTTTGACAAATGGATCAGGAAGTTTGTGAACATCAGGCAGCTGAAGACCCTTTGCACGGCCGATCTTAACAAGAAGTGTTGACTCATTTGACTTGTACTTCATAGAAATTTCGATTTCACCCAGAAATTTACTATATGATTCAGATATTGCTGATGGATCAATTCTGTTAAACATTTCTTTTAACAGTGCATGGTTATCCTGAAATAATAAACTTTATGTCAACATCTGGAACATCTGCTGGTAACTACAATACCAGTCAATCAGGCACCACAAAGGTCTAAAAAAGTGCAGGGCTAAAGCCCCTGCTCTGCGGTGCCTGTCAAAAGTGTTGGAACACCTCAACATATAAATTTTCTGCACTTAATATCTCCTCCCTCTCTCTACAAAATGTTGGATTTGGACAAGAAAATTATGACAAATGAGGGTGGCCACAAAAATAGTTGTTCAAAGGAGGGGAGTGAATCCACTGTTTAACGGGGAGTAAGGGGGATCAGTCTACTTGAAAAAGGAAATGAAGGGAAGAATATGCACTCTATACCAGTGAAATTACCCCATCACACAAATGGCCAATAAATCCTGGTCCATTGGTTTTTGAAGAAATGGGACTGATTTGAGTCTGGAGGAATTTATGTGATGTTCTTTGATGGTTGTTTTCGAAATTATTACAATCAGTTAGACGTTATCTATAATATGATCAATTTAACACTTTTATACCCCCGTGACAAGTACTCACAAAGGTTTTTGTTTCAATTGTATGAAATAAGAAATCCTGTAGGCATTAACTTACTCATATATCCAATATAAAATAAAATTGCGCTTTTAAGATCTACGACTATTTGATTTCAGTTATCATCAGGAGTTTTCCAAACATTACAGGACTACTATAAGACGAAGTAGGAGTTGAAACCTGTTTTTTTATTATGTTTGTGGCATTTCCTGCCCCTTTGCTTCCCGTTTTAATATTTTTCATGAAAGCACTTTTCGCTTTCAGCAAAGCTGGAACCTCTGCCATCCCAATTCCAGCAGGTTCTTCCTCTGGGCGATCCAAAGGCTCTCCGTCATAATAGTCATCATGAAGCCTCTCTCTTAAACTCCCAGCAGTAACAGCCTTTCGAGGGTTAGCTCTCGCGTTTCCCTCTCTCTGCACGCTTGCAGATGCACCCATCTATAATTTCATATAACCAAAAAGACGCAAAAGCACTTCTCCTACAACATGGCTAGCAATATTCAACTCTATAATCCAATATCTTTCTACAAATTGTAAACTTGACCCAGTTACTTCCTTTGTTTCTTCTTCGTCATTAAAACAGAGGTTACTAATAACAACGCAGTCTCGTTTCCATTAGCACTCCCACGCTCTAATTTGCTTTCAGATAAAAACAAACCAGGGCAACGGGACATTTTATCGGAATGGGAGAATAAAACCGTAATAAACACATAACCCCTACCATTAACTATCAGTTCTAATTGTAATAGAAAAACATAAAAAGGGAATGGTTATGTACATTCCAGCCCACCCCATGGTACTGCCCTGCTAGGGCACAAACCCCACTTCCCCGCTGCTGCTGTCCCAGTTCCAAGAAATCGGTTTCAAGAATAAGAATATCAATTGCAATCAAGGAGAGAAATTAAACCACAACACAGAGACCTCTACTGAGTTCTAATCTTTTATGTGTTTCAATGAAACATATTAAATAATAGATTTGGTGCGGTGATAATTGTTGTCAGGACAACAGCGGCACAGCTCACCGAATTCGAAAATCTGTTTCTCTTCTTAAACAAATCAGCATTATAACTTTGCTACATGCAATTTGCGAAAGGGTTTCACAAAAACATTAAACAATGTGAAAAGAAAATAATCCCAACGCTAAGTAAGTGGGTGATTTCTGCAACTTATGTCTTATGTGTCCTAAAATTAAGATGTAAAATCTTCACTTTTCACCAGCTTATAATTAAAATTTCAATTTTTATAGCTGCCAAAAATTAACATGCTAGTGAGAAATGCTATGCTAGTGCTATGCAATCTCCATTTGGCGAAATTGTTTCGCTTTTCGCCGGGGAAAGGTTATGAGCATGCGAATTTGAATTGTTTCGTTTCCTGTGCTGTGCGGGACGTTCGCTTGAAAGCTCAAACTATTTGAACTTTTTTCTCTCTCGCCGGCGAACTTGCCAACTGATACGTGCGAATCACCAGAAACAAGGTGTTTAAGGGTCACACACAGTCTCTCTTTAGCACCTATTGGTTGTGAAACTTCGATTCCTTCACTAAATATGGAACCACCAAAGACAACAATTGCTCACACTTTGCCGGCACAATAGGGAAAAAATGATGGTAGATCTCTAACCAGATTTCTGTAAGCACCTTTGTTTTCTCGCTCTTGGTAGAATTAACGCAACCAAAACCTTTCATTTGTCGTGGTTTCTTTGTTTCTTAAGCTTCGACAAATAAAGCAAATCAAATTTTTTGTTTTTTCGTCCGACATTTTGAAATTCTGCTTTCAATTTGGCACGCCAAGCTACTTGGAGATTGTGCGCCATGCTGTTTTTGCTTTTCGTCAGCGCAAAAGCGACAAAAATTTGTCCAATGGAGATTGGCCTTTAGCGAGCACAAAAACTGGAAATATTCTTTGTTCTCTATTCAAGACAAAACTCGTTAGGTGGATAATATCAGTTAAAACGTGAGTGAAGGATACTTCGCAGATTAAATAAACAACAGGAAACTGGAAAATAAAATATAATTTTCCATTAAAATTAAGCCTTATCTTTAATACAGTGGAGTGGCCGGAAAGAGTTCATTCGCAATTTTTTTTAGAAGTTGATTGAGCTACTTCTCATATTTTTTTGCTATCATCAAGAGTGAAGATTATTACAATAAAATGGTTTATTAGAAACTGTTAATGGTTTTCTTCAACACGATTAGCAACCTCATCTTGACGTGTCCGTACATAATCCTTCTTGGAGTGGCCTTTACCTTTCTGACAGATATGTTCAATATACAGTCATTCTTCTAAAGGTTAGACTGAATTTTCAAACCTCTTCTTCCACTATTTTGTACTCAAAACATCTTGTTAGGCGGTCTAATACCTTTTTCGTTTGACAATATCTGGCCTCCAGCTAACCGGATGGGTTTCTTCGCTCTATAAAGAAATTTGTTGCTCGATTATTTAGAGTTACAAGGAAGAAAACCTTTTCTAAAATCATTTTAAACATATGTAAAGAAAATTATTTGTGGAAATGGTCGTCCTGGGTAAACCAGCTCATAACAGTACTAGTGGACCCCTATAGACATTATCAGCAAATTAAAGTTTTTGCATTTCCATCAATCTTTGGCAGAAGCTCCCAACGGAAGTAACAAGAACACGATCTTACTATTAGGACATTCAAGGACTGATTTTTGAACCGTTTTATGTCTCGAGAGGCTGTAGAGTCAAATTGCTAGAGAGCAAAAATGAATTATTCTGCAAAGCATGTTGCCATATGGCATGTCATATAAGCATGTTTCTGAAGATGGTTTTCAAGAGGCACAATCTGGCTAAATAAGCACTTTCAGTACGCCCTTGGATGTGTCTGGTGTACATATTAATGCAGAACCCAACGCTTCACGTATCAGAATTTGAAATTTGCAAGAGTAAAACAGTGATAGCATTATTGCTCCCCAGAGGTCTGCCATTGGAGCTTCACTCTTTGGGGGGGGGGGGGCGTTGTAGAAAGCATTCGCAGTCACATATGTGGCTAGCTAGCCGAGGTAAAGGAACATTTATTACAGGTTTGTGTATTACTTTGTTTTTTTAAACGAGCATTTATTACTGTTCAAAGGCCAACAATAACTGTATTGCTTAAACATCCCCTAAACGTGAAGCAATTAAATCTTGTACTCACAGCTTCTTCGTCTTCTTTGTATATTTTAATGGTTTTATCAGCCTCGGTAGAAATAAGACGGCATCCACTCATGTCAAATGTCATTGAGAATATTCCTGCCTCGCTATCGAGTGAACCTGGCTGGACAGCTGCTTGGGTTCTCTGGAAATTATAACCAGTCTTCCAATCCCAAAAATGCATACTGCCATTGTCAGCTTAGGAAAAAAGTTGAAAAATCGTTAAGAAGGATCTCGATAAATTTATCTCTTTTTGGTAGACAAGTATACAGCAAGAAAATCTACTTATTTAGAAGCCGAAAGGATTCTATTATTGAAAGCCAAGTTACTACCATATCGCCCTATGAAATCAGTTTGAGTTATTTCTTAATTTTAACCTGCCATTCTTTGGACACATTACCATCAATGAAAATGGTTTACAACCTTCGACTGAAGATAAACAACATGGCCAGCAAAGTTTTTAACATCCTTGATGCAGCCCATTTGAAAGCAGTAATGATTTTGTTTGAGAGAGAAATATATTTGACAAAGTATCGTAAACCACGAATCTGCAATGACTACAGTGAAGCTGACTGGGTTTTATCTGCGATAATAGCGATAATATCTGCATCAAAAAAAATAAAAAACAATTTGTAAAAAATTGAAGGTTAAGTAACTTAGAAAGCCTTAGTAATTCCTTGCAAAAGAGAAGACACTTGCAATAATTCATAAATCTGGATTTGTCACATAGTGCATTGGTGATTAAAAAGCAGCTTCCAATCTAAGATTATCATAATCAAATTATTTTACTCCTTAAAGAGGAATTGACGAGAAATTGTAAGTAAACAGACTCAAACACTTGCAAGCATTTCAAAATGATGAAATAATAATGTGAAAGGAAAATAAGGTACAAACATATCTGCATACATATTTTAGGCACATGAAAACATACCTCCTGAAACCAGGACACCGTCGGAGTTAAGAGCAAGACAGTTTAAGATAGCATTGTGTCCTGTCAAATTTTGAATGAAGTTACCATCCGGGAATTTCCATTGCTTTATGTTATCAGCTGATGCAGAGCCCATGGTATACCTGAAAACAGAACGACATACAGCTAGTGTCACAGAACGTGAGCGCCAACCGAGTATAAAACCTTAACAAAGGGTACTTCATAAGGCACTCCGAGCACTATGATAAATAAGATCTTTTGTAGATTCTGAGATGCGAGAAGTGTCGCTCCTCTTGCTCAGAAGGGCCGCCATCTGCCGTTTCGGCTGTTTGGAATCTGAAAATAGTTTCTCCAAGTGCATAGTGACAAAGTCGATTTCTCATCTCGCCTTTACACTACAACTGCAACTGACTCTCAGTAAAACGATACTTGACGAACAATTTCTCGTATTAAAGGTCTGCTGGATGAATTACATCATTCGAGACAATCAAAGCTATGGCAATAATTGGCAGCCCGTCCTAGCTAGAGTAGCACAATAACAGGAAAATGATTTGTCATATATTTAGTAAGTCTTTCCAATTTTTCTTCACCGTAAGCAAATGTTAATTATTTCTTAAATCAAAGTAAAGTTCCCATACAAATTTGGCCACACAATTCATTATCAAGAAGCCAATGGCCGTTGTGGGGCTCGAACAAAAGTGGCTGCATAAATAAAACCTAAGCAGTACTCACTAAAACGCTAACACTGAGCTAATTTCGTTAAACAAATTTACACATAAAGTGGCTTGTCCTATTGTAACAATACCGGTGGCGAAAAAAATATTACGATGGACAATAATTGTAGTTTGAACAGTTTGTTGATTGTCGGATTAGTTAGAGAGCAGCTTTGCCAGAGCTCTGAATTAACTAAAGTTTTGAACATACACGCTCAATCAACTTAAACTGTTAAAATGAAAACAAGGTTGTGGCGCAAGCAAGGTTTCCAGAGCACAACACAGCCGCTAAAGGTGGATATTTGAGAATACAAATTAAACATCTATGCTTCACAGTAGTTCATAGAATTGGTGAAACGCAATTTGAAAAAACAATATATTCTTTTCTGTTTTTACATTCATGCGTGACGTCACGATACCATCAATCAGTGATAATAAAGACTCCATGTTTGCATATACAAAATTAAGAAGTTTATTATTTCGCAAAGTAATCGGAAGCAATGGATTAAAAATACTTTAGGTTCACGCTCAATATTGACACTATTGCTCCTGAAAATTCGATTTTGGCAAACCACAAGCCTACTATCCGGTAGCTTTTCAAGAACAGCCAAACTCATAATCAATACGCTAGCACCTTAGAAGAGAGCGTTTGTAATAGCAGTAATGAGGAGCAAAGGATATTATGTTCTCTACTCACTGGAGTGGATGTGCCACAACTGCACGAACGCTCTTCTTATGATTTGTTAAAGTAACTCGTGATTTGCCGCTTGCCAAATCCCAATATCGAATAGTGCAATCGTGACTGCCGGAAACGATCTGTTGATGAGACAACGTACAAAATCACCATTTATTTTTAAAGGCATTTTAAAGGCAAGCAGTAAATAGTCTCATGACCAGTGCCTTGAAATTAAGTATCAAAGCCTTGAAATCAAGCATATAAAACAGTTGACATATTAAGGGAAATAGTAATGAAAATATTGTACATGGGTATCAAAAATTACGTGGGTAGGGTAGGGTAAAGTTAGAAGGGGTTGGGTAGCGTATTCTCTAAAGTTGAGATCTATTGTAACTATTTATTTTATTTTATTTTATCTTAGTTTTTCTTATATTGTGATTGCATGACCCGTTGTATACTAGCATTGCGGGTGGGGGTGCCATCCTTAAAAAATTGAAAATTAAATGAAATGAAAGAAGACCTACCTGCGGTTCGGCACTTTGACAGAATAAATCTGCCACCGTGTTCGTGTGTCCCGTCAAGGTGTGAATACAGGATTTTGTACGGATATCCCAGACCTGAAATCAAATCAAAGTATTGAGGTTAGATCAAAACTAGGTAATTAAGTAATTAGATCAACATTAATAATTACGAGACACCGTTTAAAAAAGGGGTAACTGAATCAGAAGGAAAACTTTACACTTCAAAATTGAATTGAAAACGCTGAAATCTACTAGTAGAGACTTGTGTTGATGGTGTGAAAATAAATTATCAGTTCCGTTCTCAAATCATTGAGTGTTTGTAGTAAAAGGTTAAAAAGTGTGAAAACGCTAATTGTTACATCTTCGCGTGGGCACAGATTATAAAGGCGACTTGCTGTGGTTTCGAAGTATATATACAAGAATCAGCTAAGTAGGGAAAATTCAATTTAAATTCCCAAAAATCAATAAACCACAAGGACAACATTTACGGGCATTGCAGAGATTTGTATTTGCAGGTTTTAAGATGCTAATTTACTGTTATTTCAAAAACCATTAAGAAAACTACAAAAAACAAGAATGAAGTTTAAATTATGTCTCGAAAGCCTAAACATTATCTACAAAAGGCAATTGATATAGAAGTGGCTGCAGGAAGAATATTTTTCACCCCTGATAGGCATAGTAAATAAAAAGCATCGTTGATTGCTATCAAAGGTATAAAATAACCTATCAAATTTCAAAAGCTGACGAATAATCGAAAACACGAATGCTACCTGTACGATGCTGTATGATACAGGACCTTATTAAGAAATTGCTATATTGCAATAAATTTCAAGCTTTGAACGTTTTTGAAGTTAAAAATTTTGCACTGATTAAATGCTTAAGATGAGCAGTAATGTTAATGGACATGTCACCAACCCGAACTGTTGCATCTCGCCCTCCGGTGCAGAGAACATCGATGGCGGGGTGCAGTCCAATACAGTAACAAGCACTGAGATGACCGTGATAATGACGTATAACCTTGAAAAGAACGGTAGTAGGGTAAATTGAATACACCGTTAAAAATGGCAGCCTATAAAATACTCTGTATGTTCACCTGAATCCTTTGTAAAGAATTGTGCAGGTACATAGCTTCGAATGGAAATTGAATTCTATCGAAAATATTGAATTGTTTTGATACTTGTTTATACTGTCAAATATCTATCCAAATGATTATATTCTTTGAGGCCTACGATTATATTTGCTACAATGATAAAAGCAGTGTTCATAAGTGCCTCTAATACTTATATACCTTCAATACAGCGCTAGTGTCTTTAGTCAATACAGAATTGTGACTGAATCTGATGTTAAAAAGTTGTTACAATATTTGATTGTGAATTCTAAATTTTACAAGAAATTCACATAGGCCTAGCATGACTAACACAAAACCAACATAGAATGAAAACAAAAAATGGTAGAAAAGATTTCACAAGCATGGATGTCTAAAGGTATGATCAAACTGATATAAAATATGTAATTACTCCTTTGTCAGTTTTAAGCGAGTATATTATTCTTAATCTTTATCATTCTATTAATTAAAAAAAATATCAATTTCAATTTCCCTGTCATCAGACAGGATAAACTCTCGTCCAATTTTTCAATACAGACAACTTTTATTTCTAGGAAACCTAACACTTTCAAGACATCCTAGCAACTCCGATCTATAAATTAATAAATTTTGTTACCTTACAGTTTTCAAGGCAAATGCAAGAAATTCTGGAATGTAAATGAGGATTTCTTTGGCCTAGGAAATTGCTATACCAATCTGGCTCCGTCCTGATTCATCTAAAGTAGCTTAAAAATAAGAAAAAATGATACCTTGTTGTATTCAAGATCCCAGCACTTGACTTGCTTGTCTTCACCGCAGGAAAACAAATAAGGATGCCGTGGACTAACGACAAGCCCCCGAACTGTACTGACATGACCTGTCAATGATAGCTTCAATTTTCCAGTTGCTAAATCCCAGATCTAGAAGGCGAGAGAGTAGCAGGTGAGATCTTACTTGCCTACAAACGTTGTCAAAGCAGACAGGATTATCATTTTAGTGGTACAAAAACACTTGAAAGCAAAAAATGGGACTTATTGACGTGAATAAGCTTAAAACCTTAAAGCTGTGTCTTCAATCCAATCACAGATTTACATTGAAATAGTCAAGAAGGCTTTTTGTTATCATTTCGCTTCAAACTCAGTTATAATCCTTCATTTCTATTGAAAAAACACGATTTTTGTAGAATCTCCTTTAACAATGAGTCCTATGATATAGAAAACGAGGAATTTGATTCTGAGCGTTCTTGATTTAAGCTAGAATACTTCCAACTGGTAATCTGTTCACAAAAATACTTATAAAACAGCTACCACGCTACTCAAATTGATTCCTCGCTTAATTTGTCAAAAAAACAGCCAGTGCGAAGAAAATGAATTAAAATGCAGAGTTTCAAAGCGTGTGAGAAATTCCATAACTTTGTGAGCAAAAAAGAGCATGTTCCTGAAAAAGAATGGACCAGTCCGATTAATTTACTGCATTCCTCTGCCATTTTCTGTCTTAAAATATGTAAAAATAACCTTTATAGTCCTATCCGCAGATCCGGTACAGAACCATTTGTTGCCTGGTTCCACTGCGACACACCTGACCCAACCAGTATGGCCACTGATTACCTTCAAAGATAAAATGGACATTCACTGCCATCATAAAGTAGACCTTCAAAAATTAAAATATACGATATGTGATACTTCGGGTCCGCATATTAAGGTATCAAAGTAAAGAGAATAGGCAAAATGAATAGGCAAAGGTCGATCATTGAAAGATGTTTTAGATAAAGTCAACATCTGCGTATAAGTTGGGTTTTTGGAACAAGAGTTTGGCGCGGAATCTACCATTCAAAGTATAAAAAGGGCCTGGAAAACGACCAAATATCTGCGCTTACTCGGTAGCAAACACTTCTGTTATATTTATGGAAACACATCAGTGACACGACTAAACCAAAATCTGATCAAACATTTCTATGCGACACGACTCAAATAACCCTTAAAATGGTTTTCGACTGATTTTCAGCAGTTTCAGGTAGAAAATGAGAGCGAGAAGTCTAAAGAATAGCTACATTTCCAACTGTTGAATTCAAACGTGTAATATGATTTTGCCGAAAAAGGTTCTGCTTGAAACTAGAGTTGGACACAACAAAGAAGAGACTAAAAAGGCGGACGAACAGCACAGAACGATATCCTAGGAAAACAATACCCAAAAAGGCCACAGGCAGAATAAGGGTGTAAGATATTTGAGCGAATCGCAGAAAGTTACAAGGATAGTGGTTGATAAGATGGAAGGAGAAGGAAAAGGAGGTAACGGAAAACATCAGAAGAATATCAATGAAATGAAACACGATTAAGGAAGCGAACAAGCAGTAAAGGAAGAAGAACAAGAGAAATTGCCATTATAACTAAGTTCAATGATGCTTTGAAGTTTCACGGAATAAACGATCAGCAAATAAACCATTACCCTCATTAATTTCCATGGTGCATGCCATTCCGGTTTGGGCATTGTTTGAGCCTTCCTAGGAACAATGCCTTGAGAAAATGGCGTCTTGCTTTCTCCAGTTGCAACCAATGCTTTTGATGGTGCATCAATTCGTTCAGCACCACCCGATGCCTTCGCTTTGTTCATCATCTCATGTACTCCATGCGACGCTTTGGCAGCATTAATTCTTAATGAAAAAGGAAAGCAACTCGCTACATTGGTTAAGAAAATTTTCTGTGTCTCAATTTCAGATTCATTTGAGATTACTAACAATGTAGCGAAACGGCCTTTGCTGTAGCCTGCGTCACAGACCATAACTTAGGAGGAGTTATAGAGTTATCTCCTCCAGTAAGGTCTGTACCGCAGGCTACAGCAAAGACTTCAGTTGTCTCAGTTAAAGGCACTATGTTCTGGCGAATTTCGATGGCCTTTTCCCATTAATTGGACTATACAATAGACCTATCGCTACGTATTTGATAAAACAGATAAAGATAAACTAGTGTGATTGCGAAACAGTGGCAAAGGTGTACACAAATTAAGAAAAGTATAAAATGCTCACTCGTGATTTGATGGAGGAAGTGAACTAGTTAATTTACTGACAGCTAGAGCAGATGGCCCCGTTCCTGTCTCAGCTGTATCATCTGTAAGTGACACTCCTAGAGGACATATGAGAAATATCTCACAATTTGAGGTCAATTATGTAAGAGTCTACTTTCATAAGCAAAGGAATTCTTTCAGGGATGAAATGTTCAATCTGGCTTTTTCTTCTTCCAAAAAAATAAATACTTACTTAAACAAGAAAAATCCTTGATGTTTCATCAATAAAAAGGTCCATGCATGTTAAATAATCAATTTATATGAAAAATTGTAGTTATATTCTTTCTAGGTTACTTCAATTAATTAAACAGAAAAAATCTATGTCTTATATAATAAATTTGATTTTGTCAGAGAGAATCCAGGTCTAAGGAAACACAAGATTGCCTTAATTAAGGCCTTCACCTAAAATGGACTGATTGCCTCAATGATTGCCTGAGCATTATTCTGATCTCAATGAACAGCTGCCAGGTTAAAATCTGGTCAAACAAAGGTAGTTAGTAATTGTTTGTAATTTTTTATCGTAATATTAGTTCAAGTGAGTTTTGGGAAATGACAAAGTGAGATATACCTGGCAAGCCTGGCAATCCCAAATGAACATGCTCTGGTAGCCACAGTAACTCTACTAGATACTTTCTTCTTATCTAGTAGCAACAATGAGTAATTAGCTAAACGACCAATTGAATTTTGAAATTTTGAAAAAAGATAATACCTGGTGCATTTGGAAATGGATGAGGACCTTTGATTGCTAATGTTTGCTCTTCAGCTATAATAAAACATAATTTCAAATGCAAAAAATGACAAGAGGACATACTAACATTTTGTTGCAAATTAAAACTAATCTAAATTACTGATTTTTTTAACAAATATATATATTCTATAATTAATCTATTCTATTATATTACCATGTTCCATAAATAATATCAAATACCACTAGAGTCTCCAGTTAAAAACATGATCAATTCATGACTGCAAAAAGAAATCACATAGAAGGCCCTAAAACTTTCTTAAAAATCTATTATTTCAAGCTTGCAAAATCTAATTTGAAAACCAAGTGATGCAAAAAACAGAATAGAGATTAACAAGCCCAGATATTCCTGACATATCAAGTATTTACAATTTAGAATTATATCCTGCCTATGAGGGAGCTAATGCATTGGAAGTATCTAAACAATAAATACACAAATTCTGGCCTCAGTTACAGATAGGAAATGTATTGACATGCAAATTCTGTTGATAAGGGGGCAGGGAGTAAAAATATTGATTTCTACAGGGTGCCAACAATTTTTAAACAACAATAGATCAATTAACTGTAGATATTTCAATACTGTATGACTCAAATGACAATTACCATGCTGAATAGCCAAAGGACCTATAACATCTTGATGTCCAAAGTGCTTCTGTCCTGTCTTAGAATTCTTGCTGAGATTTGAGTACTCATCTCTGATTTTACAAGCAATTTTCATCTTGTTGCTTTAAACAAACAAATATACATTAGTTGCAGAAATACTTACAGGACTGTACCATAGTAACATAAATTTTTATTAATGTTTTTTAAGCAAAGTTAGTATGGAAGGAACTGTATGACAGAAAATATTGTTATGCTTCTACCTTAAAATTTAAAAAGCAAATGGAATGACCAATAACTTCATATTGGTGAAACATAACATAACAAAGTGTTGTGTTGCAATGTTGTCATCAGCCCTAACCTTTATTAACTTTCCTTCGAAATTATCCAAAAAATGAATCCTATTTGACTGAATATATTTTCATTTTAAAAACCATGACCTACTAAAAACATAAAAGACTAGTATAATTCATTCAAAATATTATTTGTTATACCTTTGTTCATCTTGAGCTAATGGTACAGAATGGTCAGCAAGGAACATATCATGAGTCCTCTTAATGGAACGAAAAACAAGTGTGTGGACAGAATGCCTTGGAATCTCCTAAAGACAAAGAATGAAGACATTATGATTCACATCCAAAGTGTATAGTTTATGTTCTCTAGAGGTATGCATTCAGCTCAGGTACTATATTTACTTGTTTTATCTGGATATACACAACAAATGAAGCCCACTTCAAAAGTGTGGCATATAATAGGGGTTATGATGAAGCATTGTCACATCCAGAGATTGAGACAAACATTAGACTGGCAAAGTGAGAGAAATTGTAATGCTAGGTCCACCATATTTTAATTGTTTTTTTCACTATTTCAAAGCTATTTCAAAGCTACTTTGAAGGCTCCTCCTTAAGAATTCTGCTTCATTTTGTCTTTTAAATAATGTTATTGTTCTTGTTGCGTTCTTTAGTTGATTTGTTTATAATTTACGTAACAAACTAGTTTTTCGAAATGTAGTAGAATTCGAATTAAATCAAATCAAATCAAATCAGATGTATCCCTTTTAGTATTGCAGCAATATCAATGCAAAGTAAAAATTGATACATTTCAATCTGCTTTCTTCATAGAGGTGGGATGTTTGCTTTTTCAAAAAGGATTTGACTACTGAGTTGGTTGTATAAGGATTCTTGCAAATGGTTGCCAGTTGAGGAGAAAGATAAATTGTTGATTATCCCATAAAATATTGACCAGGGTGGAATTCATGAATGCTATGACAGAGATCTTCATCATGGATATCTCACCAGGCCAACATACTTGCAAGACTTAGTCCTGCCTTCTTCCTTTGAAACAATAATATATATTACAATTTTACCACTTTCAAATTCTTGGCATAAGGTTTCCTATCTACTAGCAAGCCTCTGGCATAGAAGAAACATTGATTCAATTCAGGAGTATTGTCCAGTCTGCAGAGCATGACAGAACTCGACGAGATCTCGCATGTGCATGCGCAAAATTTTGGGGTGCACTTTTAGCTTCCGTAAATCACCTCGCGCGTGCAGCTGCCATGCTCTGCAGACTGGAGTATTGTACAATATACTGACAATTTTTGTCACGTTACCTTTTCAAACAATTTGATACTCTGTCTTTTTATAAAGTATTTTATAGCTATGTGTGCTTACATTTATCAATGGTTTCATCCTTTTATGATTTCTGTTACAAAGTATGACTGCCGTTTTACAAGAATGATGTAACGACAATCTACTTACGGTACTGTCTCTCGGTACTGTACTAAATTAAAGATCACCATATGGATGATGATGATATGGAATATTTCAAATATAACGATGAAGTACTGAGGATCGGCAGGATAATACCTCAAATCTTTAATTTTATCAATCAAAATATTAAAGCTGGGTCTTCTAAAACTACGTCGAGAGTAGAATAGAGCATCAAAAACATAAAGGAAAATACAGAAATCTAACCTCCGTTGCTGCCATTTTCGCTTTCTAGTATCCGCTCTTGATAACGAGGCCTTGTTAGCCTCAGCTGTGTGCTGACGAAGAAGAATGTTTTGGCGCCAAACAACTTGAATTTCTCGCGGTAGTTTTCGTGAAGCATAACTAAATGGATACTTCAACAGAATTAACTGAATCTGAATCAAATTTACAGCTTCATTTGGATACAAGCCATGATGAAAATGATGTATCATTAACAAATGACCCTGAACTCGAGCCGACCCTGGCCAACATAGAAAAGGGAATATCATCGTCACCAAAACAGGAGACTGAATTTAACGAGGCAGATCATGAAAATGATTTGGATACGAGCCATGATGAAAATGATGTATCATTAACAAATAACCCTGAACTCAAGCCGACCCAGGCCAACATAAAAAAGGGAACATCACTAGAGCAGGAGACAGAATCTTGCGAGGCAGATCCAGAAAATCGAGATTCGGCTGATGGCGAAGAAAACCAGGATAACAAAGTAGATGATATTGATAGTGATGAAGATCAAAACCATGACTCGTCTGAGGAAGAACTTGATCGTCCAATAAAGAAAAAACTGGATGTTAAAACCAAAAAACGTAAACGTTCAAATGATAGCATTGAAGATAGCTCATCATCAGACAAAGGAGAGGAAGAAAGAAGAAAAACAAAAGTAACTTTTAATTTCTACTCACATAACAATTGGCAAAACTGAATTGGCGAAGAATAATTGCTTTTTGCTATTAAAAATTATCTATAATATGACATAACAATATTCAGGGGTGTGTGAATGGTATAGTTATTTGAATTATTAATATAGCATGGATCCAGATAGGATCATTTTTTCATTAAATTCTATTTTGGTGTTTGCTCTAAGCAGGAGATTTTCTTATTTTCTTGGTGCTGTAAAATTATCATTAAGTTTAACCAACAAGATTTTTTGTATTAGAAGGCTGAAGATTTATTATTTTAATTTCTAATTTCAGAAAAGTAAAAGTGAGAAGCAGTCAGGCCAGAAATCAACACAAGAGAGCTCAAAGATTTTGAAATTGAAAAAGTATTTGGCTGTTGCTGGAATAAGGATACAGAATTATGCAAAGGTATTTGAAGGATGCAAATCAAAAAAGGCAAAGGAGGCAAAACTGTTGGAGATGCTGGAAGAGCAGGGCCTGAAAGGTAATGGTAACTTTGCAGCAAAAACAGCCAATACAACCTTTGGCTGGAAAAAAACAACCCTTTCCGATGAAATCCTTGATATGGGCTATTGAATATTTTAAGTTTCCTTCGACCATTCAAGGTTTATGGGGCATTGAAGTTCAGAATTACAGTAATGGCTTTTTTGTAACAGGAAACAAATGCAAATACAGTTATTTGAGTGCTAAATGCTATAATGTTAAGTGCTATAATGCTACAATTTTATTAAATCTATTTCTTAATGAAATCAATTATCCCAAGTTTCTGCAACCATAGTTTTTAAAATGAAATATAATTTATCCTTTATAAAAGTAGAACTTCTAATCTCTACAAAGGGAAGCCAACACTTGAAAAATGCAAAAAAATGAGGAAAAAAATTGAAGCAAAAAAAGAAGTTGCTGAACTGGATCTATGCAACATAATTGACTACAATGGTAAGTTTTTTGTTTTTATTTTCACCACAATTTTTCAGAATTTTATGCAGAATGCAATGAGTGAACTCAGCAAAAAACAAATTTGAATGACAACAGTGCAACATTATTTGTTTACAACTGAAGTACTTATTCTTTACCCTTACTGTTTTCATCTAGCTCTCTTCCTTTTGGAATTAATTCAATTACTCTCTTTTAACAATTTTTGAGTTGGTTCAATGCAAGTCTTTTTAGTTGGTTGTTTGAACAGTTTTGCTGAATAAAATGTGGGTGAGTGGCTGATCAATAAACCAATTCAATTCATTGCCCTGTTGTGAAAAACACTTGAAACATTTGTACTAAATTTTAATTTACTATTTTCCCAAGGTTCAAGTCGAGGAAAAACAACTCGAACAACGAGGAACAGATTGAAACCAATTGATACTAATAAACAAGACATAAAAGACCCATTTGGAAATTTGTATGGTATCATTGATTCTGAAGAAGAAAGCGATACTTGCAAAAAGGAGGAAATAAATGCTGGTAAAAGGAAAATTAGAGTCATTGAAAGTGAAGATGAATCCTTTAGGGAAGAAATTGAAAATGAGGCATACTGAAATCTTGTCCAGGTCCAGTTGGACAACATTTATGGCCTTTGAGACATGTATAAATGTTGAATGACATGCAATTAACAAGGACAACATTCTTAAACTAACACACAGGTTAAAAAAGCCACAGTGTTTTAATTTTTATTTTGGTTTTGAAGTTAGTTTCAAGATCTCCCTCTCCTCACCTGTCAAAATCAGACCTGGGTCTTCTTGACAAAACACAATTACTGGATTCAAAAACAAAGAAAGAATCAAAGTTATCAATTGTATATAATTTTAAGTATTCACTTGTATATTCATGATTTATGATGTTTCAGATGCAGTTTTAGATCCTTAAAATAGTCTTCAAAAAATACCTTAATTTTAATTACACATATATGAAAAATTGTTTCTTGAAGTTGTTGTAATACCTTTCTATTGAAGTCAGAAGTATCAATATGTGTTTAAGAAATTTCATACACAATTCTCCCTTTCAAAATTTCTTGCAAGAAAAATCGTAGAAAGTAATATCCAAATTCAGCATCTAAACATACTTTTTTAGAATACACACATAAATCAAACAATGCTTAAATATTCAATTAAATACTATCTAAAACACAGATACAACTTGGGATTGTTTACATTCTATGTGCAACTAGTGCTATTATACACAAACCTATTAAACTTAGTCAAGAACTTACCAATACTTATGTCAAGAACTTAGCAAAACTCTATAAAACGATTTTAGTCTGCAATAGACAATAAAACATTTAATCAAAACACAGCATGGGGCTTTAACATTTATATGTATATCTTATCATAAAATTTAAACAATGATAAACATAAATCATGCTTCTTTGTTTGCAATTGCTAATAATGATCCAGAAAAATTGGTATATATTTCCTGTTTCATGAAATGTGTGATAAAAAGCTCAATTTCTGAACAAAATTACATTAATCTCCATAAAGTATAACTTAAATTAAGGCTGTGCAATTTTTCATAAAACTAGGACACTGTCATAGAGAAAACATCTTTGTATTCTAACCTTACAAAAACGGACTTAAATATAAACATAAATAATATACTACAACATTTGAACAAATTGACTAATCTTAATTTCTCAAAAGAAAAAAAATTGAACAACTCTCATTCCAATTTGGCCAAGGGTAAATGTAAAATTTAGGCATTTTAAAAACATGTATCAGCAAATTAGGAAGGAGAACATAATTACTTTTAAAAGCTGGTACCACAAGACTAAAAAACAGGGAATCAAGTCTGGTGAATTAAATTATCATAGAATCTTCTTGCTGTTTATAAGGATTTACCTATACCTATCAACGTCAAGTGAGAGAACAATCTGCTTTACTCATTTAAATTTACACTTCCTTGCTTTAACAACATTTGGCCTTATACAGAAACTGGGGTTTTTATTTGCTTACATGACAATGCATTTTTCTTAAAAGTCTTCTATTTACAGAAACAGAATTATAGCTTCTGCAAAAACAAAGTACTGTTACATGATGGCTCAGTTTTGAAATCTTATGCATATTTGCTTGCATCATATTAAAAATGTTGCAAGATTACTTTGCTACCCACTGCTAAACAAGGCACAAAATATAACACTTTCTATGCTACCAGCCAAGTGACAAGTTTAATATCTACAGGAACAATTTTATATGGACATCATACATTTCAATTTTTCTATTCAAACCTTCAGAATTTGGTGGATATTGAGCCAACTCAGTACCAAACATTATAATGAACATTAGTTGGAATTATCATGTTATAATGGCTATCAAAGTACATGGCTGAGTGGAGCAACAGTTAGAAAATGTTGATAAAAGGACCTTAACAGCGTTTATTAACAAGTGTGCTGTTTTAATGAATACCAAAATGGTAAACAGACAAACTTTGTAAATATCACAAAAACATACAAATATAATATCTAGCGTTATGTAGCAATGATATTGCAGTGCGGTCCAACTGTGTCAGTTTTAAACATCTAACCAAATAAATAGTTTGTTCCTATGACACAGCAGTTCTTGCATGAATTCCACAATACAGTTTCTCATTTACAACTCGTATAGTGCCAACGTTCATTGTTCTGGAACACATCGAACAACGAGCACAATTTTTATGAATTACCTTTCCATCTACATCACACCTTTCAAACTGGTATGCTGGTTTTGAACAGACGATACAGGTGCTAACTGGTGAACTTACCTTCGATGTGACAGAGTTTCTTGGCTGTAGCTTAGTAGCTGATGCAGTGTTGGAACTAGAGATTTTCATTGATTGTGATTTAAAGGCAGGTTTTGGAATTTTTGATGTTGCAGTGGCTGGTTTGTCCTTTGTTGGGGGTGAGACTATATTCCTTGGCTGGCCAATCTAACAGGAAGAGAATCAGCTCAATATAAGTTTGTTAGTTTGTAAGCAATTTTAGTTCAGTTAGAATCAAGACATGTAATAGGCACATTGTCTCTTCTCTGGTGCCATGTTCTCCACACGTTAAATATGACTTTCTGGGTTGGAAACAACATATTAGTCAATGATGGTTTATGTAGTGGCTACATTGATTATTGTTCTGATGTACATTTAAAGTCCTTGTTGAATTATGTTTGACTGAAAAAAAATGCTTAGCATATCATGAAACTTTTCCAATCTTTTAAGTGAAGTTCAATATATACAGCCCTGAATGAAAATGAATGCAATCTGCTTGCTGAGAGCTATTGAAAAATATCCTTGGAAACAAGCTGCATAATACAACAAAAAGCAACACAAACCTGAGCTGCAATGTCTTTAATTTCTTCCATCGTTTCTTCTAATGTACCATCATCTTCATCTTCCTCATCCATAGATGAATGTCGCATATGCTTCTCTCTAGCAATAGATACCCACTGTGGCACCTCACCATTGGCTGGGTGTGGTGCTTCATCTTTTTTATCTCTTTCTTCTTGAGTCATTGAATCATCCATGCTTTTCCATTTGATTAATTCTGGCTTACTGTCTTCTGCTCGACTGTCAACATCATGATTTTTTGAGGGTGAAGACAAAGAGTGGCTACGTTTAAAGATCATGGGTTGCACATCATTACTTCGCATGTCATCTGACTCTTGCAGGTCAAAGCTCCAGTTAAGCTGGGTTGTCTTAGCAAGCTCATTGTTTTTAGGAATATCTTTCAGTTCTTGTTTGCTGTTCATGTCTTTTGTCTGCTGTTCCTCATTTACTCGCTGTGTTCTGGAGATTAAGGCATCAAATGCTGTTGACATTTCTTGCTCATTCCTACAAGCAACTTTACCATCGCCCTCTGTTTTGGCCACAACAACAGAATTTTTAGGAGATTTGTTCTTTCCTGACTTAGCGTTTTCATCTACATCCTTTGATACCTCTGTTTTTCCTTCTATCAAGTCTAATATAAGCTGACCTTTGTTTTCTTCAGAAGCTTTCTTTTCATCCACAGCCTTCAGTCCTTCTTTCCTATCAAAAGATTCAACAGTTCTAGTCTTTGATTCTTCCTTAACTGGTTTTTCTTCACTGGTTACAAGTACTTCAGAGGAATCACTTTTGTTTGAACTTTTGTCACTTCTTGCACCAAAAAGGTGTTCCCAAGAACCAAAATCCTGATTAACAGGTGTACTAGTTTTTTTGACATCCTCTTTTGTTCTTGGTTCCGTGGGTGTTTTTATTATGACGGTGTCACTCAGATCAAGTGTTTGACAATCATCACCTAGAGAGAGATCCAAAGCTGGTAATTTCTCTGTCTGGTTGCCAGTGGTTTGTTCCTCAACCAATACTTTAGGCAGACTCCCCTCATTTTTGTCTGATTTAACCTCAATCTGTACCCCATCAGTTTTAGTTATCCCTTCAGCCTTCGGTGAACTGCTTCCTTTCACTGACTTTTGAGGTTTCTGTGGTACCAGTGGCTTTTTCGTCTTTTCCATTTTTTCTGTAACAACTGCCTTATCTGGTCTTTCTGCTGTTTTTGGCTTTTCTACTGTCTTAGGTTTTTCAACACTCTCCTTCCGTCCTGTTTTATCTGCCTTTGAGGTTTCCTCAGTTTTATCTTTCTTTGCTGCATTATTCTCTGAGGTATCCGTTTTTGAGTTGAATCTTGTTGGCTTTCGTCTTCCTTTAGGTGCCAAACGAATTCTATCTTGGGCCACATTTTGTTGCCCTATTCCAGGGCTTGCTTCAGACACTACGCCAAAATCATCCAATGTTGTTGACATACCTAAAAACGCAAGGCTTAATTATTCCTCATACTTAGTGAAAATTAAACAGTTGTTACCAAGTACAAAAAGCATGAAGACAGTTTGCAACATTAAGAAAATCATATAACAATATCAATATAGGCTTGTATGGTAAACTTTGAAGACACTGTGGTCTAGAGCACAGGGCGGTACACAGCAAAAGCATATTTGGATCACATACATGGAACCATAGGAATCAATTGTAGAAAATGCATAGCTCGAATTCAACCCACATCACGAACATCTTCTACGAAATTATTGGAAGGCAATGCTTATCCTATCCCACTCTTCACTGTATGCAAGTCACTTGATCAGAGTAGCCCTGATGATTCGGCTTCATTTTGCTACCTGTGCTAAATAATCTGCCCATTTAGATCCGATTTATCTTGATCCCATATGCATGCAGAATTTCTTAACTAGGCTGAAAATGGTAGGAGAAGAAAGCCAATGTTTATAAATATCTTATGTTACTGCCTCGAGCTAACTGTTTCAAACATGAGCAGAGCCTTAATACAGATGCATCAATCACAGCAGTGCTGTCGGAACGAAATTCATATTGGGGGGGGGGGGGCTGCCCATTGTATTCCTTCTCATTCAGTACACTGTTATAAAGGAAACATACTACAGTTTGACAATTATTGGGGGGCTCCAGACCCCCCAGCCCCCCTCCCCCGGTTCCGACAGGCCTGCACAGGGAGAGTTCCAAAACATAGAATCATACTCTAGCCCATCCATTCACCCGATAATCGATTTGCCTTCGTAAATAAGAACTGAGTATAAGATACATCACTGAACATCACTGTATATTGCAACGCTACACTTGAGATGCAGCTTGCATTCATATTCAGTAAATTTAACATTCAAGACGTTTCCATTTCAAGAAGGATCCGGGTTAATGTAAGGGAGAAAATGTGAGTAATAGAACAAAACCAGGGAAGGACTCAAATCTGCGACCGAAGGGCGAAAAAATTCTAGATCTAGCAGCACCCTGGGCAGGCCCGCGTCTAGCTATGGTGCACAAGGGGAGTCTCCTGGTCCCATATCCTGACGATGAGGTGAGTCATCCTTTATTCACCCACAAGTTTGAAAATTTGCCAACAAAGCACCTCAAGATGACAAAAAAATCCTCGTTTTGTAAGGGAATTCTTTTTTCGAGTGGGGTGTCACACCCCTCACGCCCCCTAGAGCAATGACCCTGACTCTGGAATGGGGATTGGGAAAGGTAGAGGAACACTATCTAAGGGGGTTATTAGAGTTGCCTTAAATAAGCACTTCTCACTGGGTAAATAGGCCGGCTTTTCGAGGAATATGACTTTCTAAACATCAAACTAAGCTAACAGAACCAAAAATTACAAAAACTGTGAAGTTCCAGAACTTTGAAGGTTTCCATTTAAGGGTGCTAATAAGCAAATAAAATGCGTAAGCAAAAATAAGACTTAACAATGGATCTAAAAATTTCACGAATACTAACCACTTAAAACAGAAGTTTCGGGACCTTGGCTTGTGAGCGAAACTTGAAAGAAAGAGTCATCGGCTATTTTTTTATTGATTGTTTCGAGTTCCTCTCTCTCCTTTTTCTCCATCGTGCGTACTGGGCTCGTGTACGCTCGTGCTTTGTTTTCAGGGGAAACAGGCTCACTGCGGGACTCATCCTTCTTAGCTTTGCTTTTCAATGATGAACGGCCTTTTATCTTTCGCTCGAAAAACAGCGAGATGCCATGCTGAAACGAGATAGATCAATAGAGTTCTTTGGGGACTTGTCACAAAATTTTTTTTAGAATTGTTGAATTTGAACCAAATAACCTGAAAGAGCATCAAAAAATATCAAATGTTCAAAATAAATAAAAAATATTATAAAATTGGCGGGGAAATGGCCACATAAACACTTGATGTACAGTTAACTTTAATGAACCAAGTTAAAAATTACAATAATCCCGTGGCAAACTTAAACCTTCCACTGGCTATATATCACCCAATACTTTACATATTTAACTGATTTTGAACTTTCAGAAGAATTTTATGGTGTTCCTTCAGATAATGCGGCCAAGAGTTAATAACTTTGAAAGTGACGTAATGACTTCAAACTTGATTAAGGTGATACATTCAATCACAACAGTGGGATAGTTTCTAGGTAAGATATTATGAAGAAAACGATATCAGGAATCAGTCTTGGAAAGTAAATAAACTGGGCTTCAAAAACTTAACCAGTTTGACAAATGACAAAAAAAATTGAGAAATCCATTCTCAGACAAGCAATTGACTCGTGGAGGCTGCTTCAGGAGACTAAAAGAACTCCCCACTACCCCAGATACAAAGTTTGGAAGATACATTATCAGATGATGTTGTATAGTATCAACTGACCCAGAGAAGATTTGCAAAGTAATTTCTAAGCTAAGTTCGAAGGCAGGACTATTTTTTTTAACATCAAGACTGTTGATTTTCTCGGGGATGATTTAAATTGAGAAACAAAAATATTACTACAAAACAACTCTATATCATTCGAAGGGTACTGTTTGGAACTTTCGATTACAACAATTGATTAACGTACCAAACAGGTCCTTCTGATAGATAAATTAATTAGTGAAAAATCTCTTTTTGGAATTTCGTCAATTAAATGAACAAAAAGGTGGGATAAAGCCCCAGCAAAAACATTCCTTTTGACAGATCGACCGCTGAAGCAACAATATAATTGGGGTATTTTGTTGTTGTAACATTGGAGTACCCATAGATCGTGTTGAAATATCGATTTGTAAACTAATACATTTTCGCATTTTCAGATCAACAGTGCTGATAAACGAGTTTTGGGAGAAACCAGAAAAAGAATACATAAATACAAAGATAAGTAGCTGATTGTAAGTCGTAGCGAGCATCCTACGAGGGAAGTAACTACATGGGGTTTGGGGTGAGGGTATGATAGCCTACAAAAATAGACAGATTTCTGATAGTCATGACATTTGCTTGGTCAGCAATCAGCAGCGTCGAGAAGTTGGGTAGATGGGGTGAATAAACAAGAGCCAAGGCCTAAATGGAAGTTCCATGCTGGCCGAATGGATTTCCATGGAAGTTCTGGAAGTATATAGCAATAGGAACATAGTGTTGATGTCCTACTGAAGTTCCTTGGCTGGCTTTGGAGGGCATTGCTTGAAATATCATTGTTAGATACATGGATGTTTATTTTTCAATATAATCTGTGAACAGAATACAATACAAGGTATTTCGACGAACTGCGGTCAGTGGAGAGGGACGTCATCACGAGAGTGAAAGTGAAAAAGCTTTCCATCCTCATCCTTACACCACAAACATTACAAAAAGGGAGGGTCATAACCAATACATTATAATCGTTATTGGGTTATTGAGTTATTGGGCAAAGTTCAATGTGGCTTACAAGCAAAAGCTCGGTAGGCGTTAACTAGGCCGCTAGCTACAATATTTTCCCAGACTGATTCTCAATATCTGCCAATTTTCCAGCAAGCAATTGGGAACCAAAGATAACGTTTTTGCAATTAGATCGGAGGATGTAGGCAAAATCGGAGCTTGTAGGCAAAACATAAAAGGACTTGATAGGACAGACAAAAACAGTATTTCAAACAACTTTCAGTTAAGGTTACGGTAAACGTTTTCTTGATGAAAACATCATTTTTTCGATTTTTTCACATTCAAGTAGCTGAACTTTCAAGGCACACAATGATACCAAATTTGAAACAAACAGAAATTTTGAAAGTGGAAAAAATCCCATGTAAACGAAGGTTTCCATAATTTCTTTATCAAAACTTTTAGTTGAGGCCTGAAAATCTCTTGACCTGTTAAGCCGATTATCGTTGCTTTGCGGTCGTGGTCGCATGTCTCATTTACAATATCGCATGGCACATCCATATATCCAATGTACGGCCGTGTTTATTTAAACAGGCTTATTGATCTTAAATCTTCAAGTGACTTGACCCGGATTACACTGTGGTTTACGAGTGTATCTTGCAAATGCGATCAGTAAAATCCCGTTTTCTCCGGACTCGAAATTCCTCTACATGCAGGTACGAAAAAGCTATTATGTACCCAAGGAACCAATCGAATGGCTCGAAAATTTGCACAAGGCCAGGGCAGACGTTGGGCAAACAAAGTGTGTCTCAAAATTTTTTTATTTTCTCTGGTCCGTCTTTAATACCCAAATACAGCTGCGGGAGGGTGGACAAATTATTTGCCAATTTTTGACAGGGTATAGTTTAAAGAAGAGGAGGAATTTAAAAAATCTGAGACACACTTTGGTAGCTTAGGACCTGCACTTCCTGCTGGTCTAAGTCAGATTTTGTTACCTCAAACGCAAGGGTACATAATAGCTTTTGAAGGTGGTACACTTTTTGACCAGTAAATTCGCATGGAAAATAACATTTAACATTATTTGCCAATAATTCTTATCTGGCTAGATACGCCATAATCTTGTGCATCGAATGATATAAAGTTTATCCAGATTCCTTGAGCCGTTTGGCCTTTAGGAAGGAAAAACCAATTTTCGTGTTCAAAACGTTTACCGTAACCTTAATTGGAAGGATAAAATGAATAAGTCTGGCAGTGGAATGAATCCATTTCGAACGATGGAAATAATGAAACTTCGGTAGGTAGGACTGAGGTCATCCTAGCTGCGTAGGCGAAAATTTTTGGTTTTTAAACTATAAAGCGACCGCTAAAGAACAATAAAATTGTAGATCATCAACATGTAAATTAAGTGTTAGTTCCGCATTGTTGGAAAGAGTTGGCCTACCTCGGAACTAAAAAATTTTAGAGCGAAGGATCAGGATAAAAATGTGCATTATGAAAATTCAAAAGGAACAGATATACCCTAGAATATTCAAATTTTGATCCGGAAACGGGGAATACAAGAGGATGCAAAAATATTCTTTATAAATCTATCAAATTGAAGAAATACAAAATATTAGCACGATCCAAGCTTGTGAGTGAACCTCGAAAACTTTGCCTCAAGCGATGCTTATCTTGTTTGCTCAAAAAGTTCAGATTGTCCTAGATAAATTTTCTAGTTATTATTCTTTATTTACTCATACAATTTCAATGATTGAAAGCCTAGATAATCTTATAAAGGTGCATAGCTTTATCAGCTCTAAATATCTCAACCAAATATTTAGGAAGCTCCTAACTTTATCACCAAAAGTATTAAAGTAGTTTATAGATCTATAATATTAAAAAAAGAGCACCCAATCAATAGAGAAAAATATCTGTAACTATGAAACTGATATAAACTCCTTATGGAAACAGAATTTGCAACACATTTTCTCACAGGGATTAACATTGGGGAAGAAGTTGAGTCCATTTTTGATCAAATTAGTGGCCTTAAGTGGATTTGTGTCTGGTTCTTGCTTCATGTTTCCAAGAAAAACCTCAAGCAAACCTTTTGCTTTCATAAACTGAAACTGTTGAATGAAATTTGTTTACACCCAGAGTGAGGAGAGTCGCCAGCTCTCTGTAATTTCAGGCGAAAGAACACAAGGTGTGGTCACATCAAGAGGAAGGACCAGGACACTGCTTGATAAGCTTTTTTAAGTGTCCTAAAAACTACCTCCGGATACAAATACACAGTGATAAAGTTGAAATTGCTTCACAATGTTAGCTTGTGAAGATAACTAAAAAAGCAAGTGATATATATAGTTTCACTTTATTTTTTCTCAAAATTAAGATAGGTGGTCAAAGGATAATCATAATTGCATAGATTTGTAATTCTTTTATTCTTTTAGGTACTGGCATGTCAAAATAGAATTTAAAGGTACCTTTTGCTTTGAGCCATGACTTGGACTTGAAGCTTTATTTTCCTCCACAGACTCTGTCAAATCTGAAGTTGACTTAGTCCGACGCTTGTCTTGTATTTGGCCATTTTCCTTTGAGCCTTTGTCAACATTTTGCTTCTTTTGTCCAGGTTTTTTTACTAGCCTTTTAAATTTACCAAAAATACCCCCTTTTGATTTCTTCTTTGAAGCACCTTCAATCCCCTCCTCATTTTTCACTTCAGTATGGTTTTCCTCTACACTAATAACTGCTGGATCAGAAGAGATTGTCTTACTCCTTTTCTCGAGGTGTGCATTTAGTTCACCAACAATGCCAGCTGAAGCCATCAGTGCAATAACAAAGTCTTATTTCAATGTCGATTCTAGGGGGTCTTTCAGGGCAACTTGTTTTTTCTTTGCTTGAAGGTAGGGCAATAAAGCCCACAGCTAGTCCTGTTCAAATTAACAGATGCAGTAGATCAGTTTTTCTTTGCAAGTGGATATTAATTAATTCAAAAATGGTGGCTGCAAATAACAACAAAAAGCACCAAGTACCTTAAATGAACAAAACAAAGTCATGAAACAAAGAATTAGCAAAAACATAGCTTCAACATGAGAATGATTAAATGGTTTAAACATTCAGCAAGCAATTTAAGTTCTGAAAGGTTTCTTTCCACACATTCTTAATCTATGGTTCACCTTGCACAAAAAGATAATTTGTAAACAAAACATTCATAGGACATTACAAAAATAAATAGTACCTGCAAATGAGTATCGTGTTGATAAATTTTAAACTAAATAAAAAGTGCATTATACACAAATAAGGATATATAGACAACATTAATTTGTCTTCCACAAAAATGTACTTTTTTGTGAACAAACTCAATAAAATATCAAATCACCAGACTTAAAGAAAAGCTAATGAATGAAATAAAACTCAACTTTATAAGTTGAACTTTAGAAGTTATTGTAATAAATATAGAATAATACAGTGAATAGATTGTTTCTCTAAAGGAAGTTGATTGTGGCACCTCTGTCACAAAGTTGACTAAATCACACATAGTTGTTATAGTTAGATTTCAATCATTTAATTTGGTTCAAATATGGAAGGTTCAGAAAGAAAATGCTTCCCAAAGTTTCTTGTAATGGTCGATGTTTCTAATTACTTACTGCTTTATATTTCCTTGTCGACTTTGCTAAGTGTCTAGAATACCCAGTTGACAACTGAACTAACAATTAACAACACTGGCTGGTGTGCCTTTACCTTCTACATCAAGTAAAGAAAACAATGGTCCTGAGTTTCTTTGGGATAGACGCTTCGCATGAAACTTCAGGACGTTTTATCAAATTTCTAGTCAGTATGTGGCGCTCCATATTTGCCCACAAGAGAAAAACTTTGCCCACAACAATAAGAGTTTGTCGGACACACGTGCACGATCATCGTCCCGTTATAAGACAAGGTAACTTAATTGTTGACAAAACGTTCATGTTCAATAGAACGAAATTATTCTAACAGCCTGTAAACGTCAAGTTTAATTTTTACTAAGCAACACTATCTCAAACTAACACGCTAAGTGATAACAACAAAAAAGATACACACCCAAAAGAGGAGGCCGAGTTATATCCGCTTACATGCATTCCTAACATTGAAATGATATATCAAGAAAAACAATAGGCCACATCCTAATAATCGATATCTCGCAGGTATATTTACTAAATGGCTGTTTCAGCAGTCTCCGGCACAAAGATTAACGTTTGAAAAGTAACAGAATAAAAACATGAAACCGTACAGGATACAAGCTCTTACCTTAAATAAAAGTATATCTGTTTAGCAGGATGTGATACAGACTTGAGCGACGCTCCCTCCATTCAACATTTCTACGCAACAAGACAGATTCAAACACATAGACAACTTGGTTCCCTGTTGTTGTCGATCTGCAAGTGACGTCACACTTAAATAAGTTTTGGTTTTCCAAAATAATCAACTGTAAACAAAATGGATGCCAATGTCGTATTTGAAATACAAGCAGTATTTCTCACTGATAATATTCATTTGAAACTTGTGCGAATTTGATACAAAATGTGATGAAAAGTTGCTTCAATTTTTGCAGTTATCGACAGCATAGGTCTTATTATGATATTGATAGAAAATTGTAGCCTTTCCTATTCGACTGCGGCAAGGGGGAAGGGAGAGGGTATTACATCGCTTTGTTTCTATAGATTAGTGCAGTACGTATCAGGATGCATTTTTTAGGTGTAACAATTTCAATGATGAAGTTAGTTTCAATGTTAAAATTTGCTTTTCAAACTCAATAGCTATTACCTGTTAGCGAAAGCGAGCTCACCTCAGTATTGTAGATTAGACTGGATGCTCAAAAGAAGGTTAACAACTACCAGGAAATGCCGCATTTTTAATCTACACTAAGCAAAAAGTTTTTTATGCAGACAAGTCAACGGATGTAGTTGTTCTTCTAAATAATTCTGGTTGGGGCAATAGTGCTTGATTGGCCGAGTACAGAACAGAATCGTAACGAGGTTGTCATTTTGTGCTTCTTTCTGGTATATCACGTTGCTGGTTTTTGTGCAAAATTGCCGATTGGTTGGCATCTGGGCTATTTGCACTTACCCCTAGTAACCGCATTGGGCTCAGTGGCAGAGGTATCAAGCCAGTCTGCTCTCAATAAGTTCTAGTGCCAAACAGCAACAATGCTCCTCTTATTCCAATCAAGAGCTGCCTAAGTGCGTAACATTGGGAAGTGAAACTATTATGTTTCACGTTAGATAGACATAAATCACGTTTAACCATAATTCAAGGGTGTTTAAAGAGCCAGTCGAGACAGCAGTTCACACTTCGCGTATTTAGCGGTACCAGCACATTGACACTGAAAGAAAACGATTAGAAATAAAGCGATTAGAGTAAAGTAAGTAATTGTTATGTCCTGTCTGAAAAACATGTGAACGCGTGGGTTTTCATGAATAAATTTGAATAATTATGATTTCAACTTTCTTTCTTATACCTGAAATAACATTCATCCTCATGGCAAATACTTAACTGACTATTGCCTCTCATTACCCCAACCTAGAGACGTACTAAGATTATCATATGATTATCATATTTTAGGTATATTATGAATCAATGTTATAATTTATTAGATTTAACGGGTTTTTTGCACAAGCATTGCAAAATATAAACAAACCTTGAGCAATTAATAGCTTGATGAATAAAAATTGCTAAGAAAATAAATCTATTTGGGTTATCTATATTCGGCCTCAGCAACCAAATGATATTTAAGTCTATCAGTAAAGGTAGCAAATTCTCCCAGTAGCATCATAGCCGTTACAAATTCTCTTTGATTTGCTATGCTTTGCCCTTTTCCTTGGCACTTGGCCCCTTGCCCTACTAGAGTGCAGGCTTCCCTGAATGTTACATAGCCCAACCCGTTTGATGATAATTCATTAGTTTGTGACATGATGCAGAATCACACACAATGAGCCATGCATAGGTAAGATTATAATTATTTGAACATTTTTACGGCATTTGAAATTGCATTGCAGGAGCATTATATCCATTGAAAATCTTAAAAGGAAAAGTGGAAAAGAAGGATCTGCAGCTAAGGGTGATCAGCCCCCTGAGACCCCTGGCTCTACAACACTTGAGAAAAGGTCATGTGATAATCTACTACAAACATCATAGCTCTAAGATGAAAAATTGCAGTACCAAAATAATCTAATGAATCTCGTAAAAATCTGGCACAAACATTAGAAAACGATGTTAAAAGTGATGGGCCTAGGAAAATTCCGGCACATAAAAAAGAAGGTTTAAAATAGGGGAGATAAAATTTGGAGGCAAAATCGAAGCACTTCAGGAAGCCAAAACCCTTGTCTGCACGAATTTCTTCATAGTATTCAAAACGATTAAGTTATTGAGATTCAAAATTATATTTAATTCTACTTTGTAAGAATGTCCTCAAATCCCGAGTGTTCAAATTTACGTTAAATCGAATGTCGTGGACACACTATCTTGTTACTCCATAGAAATTTAAATTGGATGAAACGATTCTCTTGAATTTAGTCAGCATTCTCGTCAAAATCGTCGTCGCTCCATTCAATAATCTAAGAAAAAGAACAATGAATTATAATAGTCTTTGTTTGTCACATCCTCAGTAAGGTTTCATTTTCAAAATGAAAGTCTGCTACAACTGAAAATAGTCGATATTGCTGGGGAAAAAATCCAAAAGCAATATCCTTTCGACATCTACGTGTCCCTTCATATTGATAAAACATACTGGCTTTGCGATTGAATTGTAATTTCAATTCATTTGTAGAGTTCTACTTAAAAGGAAAAAACATCTAGTTCTGACATGAGGGAAACCGAAATACCTTTTTGATATCTCTAAAAAGAGCATTGGCCATCAGTGATAAGGAGAATAACAATAATAGACTGTAACATTGATGAAATGGTTTCTTAAAGAAAGGGAGACGTGACGGCTTAAGGTAGCTAAGGTACATAAGAATGGATCTTGGAACTCTGATACTCTTTACATGGACCTTGCTGTGATCGGGACGCGAAGCAGCATTCCTCGTATATTCATCCTAGAGCATCACCCTCGATCTAACAGGTACATTGAAGAGATTTACTTAAATGGGCAGGAACCAGATTTTAAGAAACGACTTAACCTAATAATTCCAGGAAATTTAGACTTTCTGTAACCTACGATGAAATATAATGACCCAGACACCCTCCCAACAATCCCATCTCCGTTACGTCCTAAGATGTTCAAGTCCATATAGGCAACAACCATTAGATAAAGCTTTGTTTACTTGCATGTAGAAAATGAAAATGTCGATCTACGTGGCTTTTTCAGCCTGAAGAAAGTTTCATTTTCATGGGGAAAAGCCACATGTAGGAAATCACATGGCTTGAAAATATTGTAACAAAATGCTGTGTTAATCATCTTTCGTTTTCATCTCTGCTTTCATTCTCTCACATCTCACGTTTTCATACTTTCAATCCCACTACTTCGAAGAATTCTGAAACTTACCAAAAGGAAAACCTAACAGCTTTGGAATACTTAAGTGAATTTCAATGTAACTGTTTGTAAGAAAAAAATCAAAATTTCCTTTAAAACTTTTTATTGATAATCATCACAACTGATTTTCTTAACAAGTATAAAATACCAGAGAATCGCATTTGAAAGCTTTCGTTGAATGAATTGACCTTCTAAATAAAATTTACGTAGCAACCCTTTGTTTAACGGACAAAATTAGTATTCAAACAAGCACCTGCGTTGAACTCCTTAAAGCAGAAGACCTCGAGCAGCGTGACCCGGTTGAAACTAATTCAATTCAATGAGCTTAAGTTGTGATGACCTGTATAGCAAAGCGGTCAAATCTCGATTGGCTTAGATATCACACCACTTCTATTTTCTCCCGATGGCACTGACCAATCAGAAAACAGGATTCAAACAACAAACCAGCTTCACGTCCTGCGTAATTGAAAATTCGATATAAGTAAGAGTGGTCAGTTCTTGTAAGAGAGGCCTATTTCAAAATGGCTGCATGTTCCCGGCTTTACCAGAACAAATATTGTCGTATATACAGCTTTTACCTCAGTTTCTAATGTGCTTTCCTGCAATTTCGTTAGGCCTGTGCAATCCTCCAAATATTTTGGAACGTTGAACACTTTCAGCAAAAATTCAAACCCATTTTCATTGTATGCCTTTACAACCTAAAGAAAAAACTTATATTAAATATAGAAAATAATTCTAACATTCTATATTTTTTTCATGCAATTTTTCCTTCTAAAAAACGGCTGACATTGATGTAAGTTTCTACTGCTTTGTAAAGAACAAAATTTTCACTCCTTTGGGAGCTTGCTCCTTTGAATGTAATAGTTTCCGCTACACCAAGCTTCTTCAATGAGGCTTAAGCTTTGGACTCAAAGTGGCATTGAACTGTTGAGTAAATGTAGTCATAAAAGAAGTCCTGGCGACTTTTAGCCCACAATCTCGTGCAAAAGTGTTGCTGTAGTTGTGCATAATAGTCACAATTATTGTTACTGCTATGTGCAGGTTTTTTCTGTCTGCTATTAATCAAATTCAACAGTGAGAAATCTTCTACGTCGGGCAGCATAGCAGTCACGGTTTTTGAATAAGAAAAAGTCTTATTAGAACTTACTATATCTGAACAGGCAGTGCAGCAATTAAAGGCCAAGCTAACAGGCGTCAGCAGCTGGAATCGAGACATAAAAGCACGGATCTAAAATGAAGAAAAGGTTCTTTGTACAGCAATGGTAACGTGGATTACCTTATTACGAGGGACCATTGCGCTATAAACTGCATAGCAGATGGCAACAGTCATTCGACAATAGTGAAGTAGATAGGCAGATGCCTTCAGAAGAAACGAACCTGATGTGGAACCATGCCAAGGGGGGTTGCAAAATCGTTGTCAAAGTAATCTTCGGAACCAGAAGTGTCTGCTGCAGCGTACCCTCTGCAAAATAGAATTAAAATTACTGTAATAGCTATTACTTCGAAAAATTCACGATCCTTCAAAAAGCACTGGAATAAAGACATTGTAATATAGCACACCTAAAAGTAAACAAGGATTTTTACTTACAGATTCAGACAGCTGAAAAGTATCATTAAGATGATATCTCTAACTCATGGACAAGTGAACATAACATTTACAACTGAAACTTGGGCACCGGAAAAATATGAAAAAACCCTGAACACTGCAGGTTCTCGGAATTGAGATGAATCTTAGAACTGATTACAATTAACTTCCCAAATTCAAAACTATTTTTATAAAGATCTATTTGAACCTGATATCCAGTTACAACGGCAATGCGAACCTTAGAAGAGACTTACCCTTCTTTATGCTGCAAGACTGAAACCAATAACTCAACAGCAAGTGCACTCGCCATCATTGATATACCTGGCCTCGAAACAGTGCATTGCTGATCAAGGGTTCGATCTCTAGTTGACTTTAAGAAAAAGAAAAACTACATCATCAAAGAACCACAGTATAAATTATTTAATGACTGTTCCTTGTCTTTAAGATGGAACTTTGCACGGTAATTAATATCAACTTGATACTTTATTAGGTGTTATTATATTATATAAGATATTACCATATTATCTACATAAAATTCTTAAAGCAGCTACAACGAGTTTTTAGAAAATTATATGATTAAGCCAAAATATTTTCCTTGATGCGAATTTTTGTGAAATAAAATACATGAACCAGAGTACGCAGACGATTTTGTTTCCTATTAATCACAATTTCTTTTCAGACTATTGTATATTAAAATTTTCTTTTACATGCTGACAGCGCCGTAGCTATTTGAAGGGCAATGGAATTTTTTTCGAAAAACTCCCTTTCAAAAAAGAGGAATTGTTTCTCATCTAAGTGTGCTTCTTCGGCGAATTTTCAGATTTGTCGGCAAATAAAGGCAGGCTCACACACTTGCTCTCATATGGGGCCTGGATACCCCCTTCAGCAAAATAGCTAGGAATTGCTCTGCACACAGACAAAATAAATCATTTTTTGGCTGCAAAACGCTTCTCACTCGCAGCCTACCTTACTTACATCACCAGGTGCAACGACATCGCTGCAAAAGTAACATCCGAGACGATCACCAGGTATCTCCAACTTCTTCTGGCTGACCTCCAATGCACTAGATTCAGTGTCACTGCTTTCTCTCTTTAGCCCATGCCTCATAACCATGAATGTATCGAAACCCAATGCTGCATTGATGATAATCTGGAAGAGAGGTTAGAAAAATATAAACCTAAATGCGACATGAGGCTGCTACCAATTGCCTCCATGGCAACAGAATCCCCGGGTCACTCAACGAAAACGGACAAAATATAAACACTTTATTTTGTGTAAAATTAAAAACAGCAGAGTTACTTTTCGCTGTGTATTCAATAACCAGATTGTGATGTCAAAGTTTTGGTTCTTTAAGAAGAGTTTTGAATGTTTATTGAATGTAATTTGAATGTGAATTAAAGAAAAGGCTTATTGTTGAATGTGTAAACCATGTGACGTTGATTAAGTTCACGAACTCTGCCCATAACGAGGTAAGGAGGAATTTTTAGAAACCATTTCTTCTGCACATTCACAAAAGGAAATTATGAACTTAAATTTTTATGAGACCACAAGCATAAAAATATTTGAATTTACACTTAAAAAAGTTTTTGGCAAATGACGATTGTTTTGAAACTTCAGATTAGTGTCCCCATTGCTCAGTTAACCAAAATTACCTTTCGCTTTGCTGCTCCAAGAAGAGTAGGCAGCCATCTACTCTCTCTAGTGTCCATCAGTAGAAAAATAACATCGTGTTCATCAAACAGCGTCTCCAATGCCTCGACATCTTTTCTTATACGATTTATTTCATCTTCTAAATGTTAAATGCCAAAAGTTAAATGTAAAAATGCAGTGAAGGAAAATATAGTCGGTTGGTTAGTTCGATTTGGTAAAAAGATTTTGCTGACACATGGTTTGCAAACCAAGGATAACAACTCCACGAGTAGCTGCCAAATTTGACTCTGTTCCCATGATAAAAATGGTATATATAACTCCTCTAAAATTAAAGTGCTAGTTTAATATGAAAAGAAATACATGTATCTTTAGACTTATTAACATTTCCAATCCCACATATATCTATAAATAAAATTAGATTTTATTGTAATGGAATCTTGGAAGGAATTGGGGGGGGGGACAAAATGAACTGCTAAACCCTGGGGGGAAATTACTTGTCCAGCCTGGTTTTCAACCAGCAGCTACAATCGAACGCTCCAACCTTATGACCACTTCATCATCTTCATCATCTTCAAGAATGTACGTTTTATAACTAAAGAAAGGATCAAGCCAGTGTAGCATTATATCTGAAAAAATCGTAAAAACTCACCAGAGCTCCCGACTGAGTGACCAGGCATAGGAATAGTCAATTCGATACCACGGGTGTCCTATAGAAATAAAATCAATGCAATCACGTTTGCCAAAAGCTAGAAAACATGCTATATGAAAATAGAGCCTACACAAAGGCTCGAAAATATTTTCACCCTAGCTGTTGTTAATCAGCATTGGGAGAAAACAGCTAGTCTAAGCGCCTGGTTTTACAGATGAAAGATTCATGCAGCAAACACCCTAAAGGAAATGGGCTTGGTGCAAGAGGGTGGGGGGGGGGCTGACGGTCCCAAGTATATCTGGAGCAGACGATATGGCCAAGGGCGCATCTGGCCAAGGGTGAGCTTCTTCTCAACATATATACCCTTTGAAAGAAAACTAGTATCACTTCACCCCACCCCACCCCACCCCACCCCATCCCACCTCAACCCATCCCATGACGTAAAAATTTACCCTCAATTCCATGCTTTGTACTAAACAAAACAGATATTTGTATTGCATTAGCCAATCATGCTCACGGCACATGCCCTTTAATATCTACGCTATTTGCAGACACTTTCCCAAGCGGTTAATAAAAGCTAACCCTGTCAGACTGATTATAACAGAAAAGATCTCGTCTACCTATTCGAATACATCTTTGCTATAGCAAAGTCAAGATATAAAATTCCACATTACTACACGATATTGCTTTGATGAAACTGAACTTTGAACTTACGATGCCGGGGAATATTCTCTTCAGAGATTCGGCAGCAGCCTTTGCCTTCTTTTTGCCCCCGTTCTTGCAGTCTTCAAACTCGAACAGCGTTTGACGAACAGGATTTGAATATGAAATTCTCGAATTGTCTACAAACGTTATCTTTCTCACTCCCCATCCCTGAAATGTATAATGTTTTTAAGTAAATATTCACATTAAAAGGCACCACTGTAAATCCTCGAATGAGCCCCCTTGGGGCTTATTTATTTTTTATATTTTTGGATGAGGGCTTATTCGTGGGGGGCTATACAAGGGGGGCGCAATTTCTCTATGAGCATTTAATTAATACTACCAAAAGTATGACTTTTTTGTGGTAATTCAATAAAACGCCATAGGCTACCTCAGATGGCAAAATTCATCAAATGGAGGGGTCCAATTCGGGAATTTACGGTAGCAGTGGGGGCTTATCTGAGGGGGGACTTATTGACAATTTGTAGTTCTAGGGTGGGGGCTTATTCGAGGGGAGGAGCTCTTTCGACGGGGGGGGGGCAATTCGAGGATTTATGGTATGTCTCGACGCATTTCGTCGCTGGCCAATCGGCAATGCCAGGTTAATTCTCAATGTCTTCTCAATCATAAACGCGCTGCAAAGCCTTTTGTTAACTCTGGACGGTTGATTGATGGGGCATATACCTTTACAGACACAGACAGGATACAGACAATTTAAAAAATTGAAATATGAAAAGCAAAGATTAGTAGATGTTAAACAATGCATAAACACGAAATAATGATTCCAAAGGTTTCTTTCTACATTAATCTAGATTAACGATTTCAATAAGAACTTCATATGATTAAGGAAAAAATTTTGGACAATTTCTTTTTATGCGGAATTCTTACAAAACCTGTATCGTTGTGCTAAAAGCATTTTCGAAAAGGTTTTCCTATTACATCTAAAATTCAAGCTTGAAGATAATGTGGCAAGATTGATTTTGTTTGATCTCGTACACGCCATTCAATGAACCTATCATGTAGTCTTGTAGTTGTTGAATATATATGAACGTGACAAAGAGTACGTGATAATTGTATCGTTTGCAGCAGAACAGAATAATCAAAATCATCCCAAGGAAGTAAAATAGACGCAACAGCTGAGTAATATCTCGGTCAAAAAAACATATTTCAAGCTTGTTCTTGAAGTTACATGAAGTGTAAAAAGCTGTCTGTTTACACAAAATATAAAAATCTGTCTGTATATCAAATAAAAGGCCAGTAAATAAAACGAGCATGTAGACTTTGACTCATATTTCAGCTGAATTTGCCCGATATAGATGCAAAAGCCCAATATCGGTCACGTCAGCAAACAAACTTAACTTTGGCGCGCAAACGATTTTTCTCGGATGCCTACAGTAATGTTGTCTGTGTTGGATACACGGCTTATAATACATCCCATTTTGCCAAACTGTAGAAAGCAAGGCTTATCAACATGATAGACAATAAATAACAAATCACCATAAGATTTCTTGCTACGTTGCATCCCAGAGTGCCGCTACCAAGAAGCAAGCAGCGTGTCGTTGAGATTAACTCGAGGTCGATTTCAGGAACCAGTCGCCATCTCATCAGCTTGAGATTAAGGTCGACAGCAGATTCAGCAAGCCTGAAAATTAAAAAACCAATAGAGTGTGATCATTTTTTAAAAAAACAATGATACCTGAAAAATAGCGGTATCTCAACGTATAAAAACCTGGCACTGTTTGGACATGTCGAAAACTTGAGGGTAATCTTACATGTGCCCTGCAACTGACATATCTAGTACAAATTCTATGGCTAGTGAACGTTTTGGCATAAGTAAGACCATTCATTAAGTATTCAGTATCAACTTTTTTAACTCTACATGATATAATATGTCACAAACTGCAAACACAAGTATAATTTGAAGGCAATGAACAAATAATACGAAAGAAATTGCTAGCAAAGGATTCTCTAACGAAGAAAATGCACTCTGTATGATTAAATAAAATTGCGTCGGTAACTCTTGAAGTAAATAACTTGGTTGAGAAATTTTATATTTATTCAAAAACCTACTTCACTGGATCCATCGTTGCACTTAAATTGACCATTCGTGGAATCATTTTTTGCTTTTCATTTTTCTCCCAGCCAACTACTCTTGGTAGATCTACATAAGTGGAGAAATGTTAAAAGGCAAAAAACGCTTAATTAGCTTTGATAATAATCAAAATTGAATTATTCGCTATAAAATTATATGAAACCTTATAAAACCTTCAAGTTTAAAAACATGCAAATGTTTTTTGATAGACATTTTTCATGAACAAAGTCATTTATACAATAACTCTCTTTTTAGCAAAATATTCTCCCATGTTACATATTGTAACAATGCGATAAAACAATGCTAGAAAAATCCTCACCCTTGAAAATATTTTAAATAATTTGTACACAATTTAGATACTTTTCAATAAGCCTATAAAAAACAAACAAAACATAATGCTTGGAGTGAACCAATGGAAACCAGTGCTAGAAAAATTAAAGTACTGGTATTTTTTCAATAATAATATTTCTTTTCAGAGCAACACAACTGGAAAATTTGATACATATATTATTGCTGTCAGGCAATATTCATCATGACATTATCTCGGTAAAGAAGCTTCTTACAACGTAATGATATTAAATACTTTGGATAACACCCTACAAAGACTGAATGAAATATAAATGCCATACCTGTGCAGGACCTAAAGTCGGGCAATGCTTCAATATCAAGCAACAAACTATGTCCAACATCTCTTTTGCCATCTCTAACTCTATCTCTGTAGCACAAGACTTCAAGTTTCTTTATTTTTGCACCCCTTTAAAAAAGCAGCGCTTTTCGTACAAAGAATCTGCAGCATGGTTGAAACTTTGAAAATTGTGCATATCAATAATGTCGCTTTAAGTTAGGATTTGCAGTTTGCTTATTTGATTACATAATGCTAAGGTCTTCTTAAAAGAGGTTAAAAATGATCCTAACACCTTGCTGTGCATATTACGAAGCCAGTTGCCAATTTGCCAATTGATTTTACCATGCAATACATTACTGACATACTTTGCAACTACTTACACGCTAAAATATAAACAAAAATGCTAACTAGAGTTGATGAATTAAAGTATTAGAGCGATAATGTCATATTTGTGATGAAATATGAAATAACATAAACAGTAAAAAATAACTGAAATAAAAATAAACAAACCAGTGGAATGATATGAGCGCGAGGAAATTTCGAAGAGGCCATCCAGGATATTCATCAAGATTACTCGGATCTGAGAATCCAACAGTTACCTGTAAAAGAATTACATTGTCTGCCTAAGAAAATGTGCAGCACAATATAATGGTAAAACATCATGCGAAAAAAGGTTGGAAAACTAAATGAAAATGTGAATGTCGCTGGTTCAAAATCGAGCCATATGCAATACTATATCAGATGTTTTAACGCTTTCCCTTTTGAAGAACTTCTAGTCCCTGGTCACTGGAAATCTGGATCAGATAGGATCCAAGATGTACATTTCAAAAATTGGCGCGCAAGACACTGTTCAGCGGAAACCCCCGAGGTAACAACGCAAATGGATCCGACCTGGGCCTGATCCAGATTCACAAGCATGCGGATCCAGGCAGGTCTCATAAATATACCTTTTAGGTAAAAGCTTTTGACCCTAAACTTCTAACATGCACCCATTAAACAAGACCCAAGAACAGCCTGACCTGTGACAATGAATGTTTCCCTTTGCAGGATGTACTGTATTTTTGTCGATTCAAAGAAATTTTTCAGGGCGATTTTATTTATCAAGTTAACTCTAAACTCAAGTATTATTCGTATAATTGGGTATCTGTTGCTTAAAGAAAAGCACGGTTTGATAAGACCATTCGTCGGGTTCTAAGAATCTTGCGATGAAGAAGGTTAAGGAATGACGTTGAGCAGAAATAACCAGAGAACAATCCAATATCATAAAAATGATACTGTTACCCGAAGACTTCAAACTAAAATATAAATCAAATGCATTAATATTTTGCTCCAGTATACCGGGCATCCTCAGAGCAAAGGTCTTCCTTGTTCTGGCTTGAATAGAGGCATCCATTGAAACTTCGGCCAACACTCCATTGGTCTCCATTGGCCAAGTGCTGGTACGGAACGAATGCCTCTAGTACCGTTACGCAGTGCATGAAAACCCACCTGACCACCCTTAACTTGATTTTCCTACCTGAGAATGTTTTTGAAAATACAGTCTTTTATCTGGCTTAAGAATATTCTCACCAGTTAGGAAATTAATATCAAAGCTAAGCCCTTATTCCAGTTCAATTTATACATTCATGGATAAAGAATAATTTTCAGTCACCAAAACAGAAATTGTCTTTGTAGTGGTAGTAAAAATACTCAAACCTTTATAATATAGGCTCTCCTTTATTTATAAAAAACTGATGACACATCATTACGGTTTTTGGAACCTTACCCTTTTTTCGTTTATCTTCCCATTCTTGCAGGAAATTTATGCATGATTTTCCTCCAGTTGCAGGGAGAAAAACAAATTTTCATGCCCTGCCGTTACGTTTCCATCTAGTTCAAATGTCTCTAGTACTGTTGAAAAATTAAATTTCCAATTTTTTTACAGCAATCTTACCTCATCGGTATCTTTGAAAAATACGTCAAAATCTGCTAACTCAGCTAAGGATATAGAATCGTCAATTCTCTGCACCAGAAAATACCCAGGATCTGAGAAAAAATTCAAAGTTTTCTATGAAAAACACTGCCACAGAGGGTGCTGAAAAGGTAAAACTTGCAAAATAAAAACGTTTCAAGCATAAATTCTTCATAAAATCAGTTAGAGCTGAACTAATTCGGAAGCTACAAAAGATCATATTTTGTCCCAAAAAAATCAAATCGGTTAATTCATACGGAGAAATTGGACTTAATGAATATGCAGCTTGCCCAAAAAAGTGTCATAATTCTGGACGAGGCTGTATGGTTTTCCATAATATTACAGATTTTTCATGAAGAAAATCATTTAGTTTTATTTACAAAACTTAACTATTTTTTGAAATAATAAAGCGGGTAAAAGAGCCTCTACGAAATGTTTACCTTCACAAAATTAAATTTCTACGCTGCGTAAAAGGTGGCTTATGAACGGATTTCTATTAAAATAAAATGGTCTACCTACGTTTTTAAACTTTGATGATATAACAAGTGGTTTCTATCATTTAATCAAATTTCATGCAAACAGTACAGGTAAATAATTAACTATTATTAGACGCAGAAATGGCGACATAATAGAGCCACCAGCAGTATGACGTTAATAAACCAAGCTGAAAGAATTTTCTAAAATAAAGCATTTCAGAAAGCGTTTTATTCTGCTTTCGTGTCATATTTCCCAAATCTTTTCTTGGCTGGGTTCTACCAGCAAACTGTTTAACAAACCATCATAGTTATGGTTGATTGTTTGACGGCTTAAAAAATACACGAATGAAAAACGGAAAATGCAAACTATCTCAAATTAGCAATAAAGGTTCAGGAATGAGAGGAACAGGACCATGCAATTTGCATGTTGTCATTATGAAAACACATTCAAATAGCGTTATCTAAAAATTTGGGAGCTCCATAAAAAGCATTTTTTTGATCAGATATTTATCTTGATATGTTATCCAAAAATGACACCACATAAAACAAAGTTTTGACGATTCAGATTTTTCGACTGATTTTTTACAGCCTATACAGAATATATTTGCCACGTGACCCAGACAGAAACTTTCCAATGACAAATCATTCAATGATACAGGTTAGAAAAACACCATGAAAATAGCTGCCGGCCTAATGCGATGCCTTACAAATTTGCCAACTCAGCTTCTGTGTGTTGTGTTCTTCGTAACAATTTCAAAATGTTACAGGAATTTCGAATAAAAAAGACCAAAACTCACCATGCCCAATACGTTTTGCTAAATCGTCATAGGAATTTTGTAGCATTTGAATCTGCCATAAAATCGAAAACAGATCATCTTACTGATTAAAAAATGCATCAAGAATAAACAAATTTTATTGAATTCATTACTTTGTTAAACCTTGCATTCCAAAATATCGAAATAGAAGTTGATAGCCATTTAAAGGCAGTGAAAGTCAACAACTAAGAGGGAGAAATGAAAACTGTTGATTGTGCCGTTTACCAAACCACTGAAATGAAAAAAAGTTATTGAAAGAGGCTTCAGTGGTATATGACTGCAAAAGTTACTTAAATTGGACATCTGGATCCTATATGGGATAAAGTATACTGAAATCAATGCCAATAAAAGCTGGCTTAAGGACGGTCCAGCAGAACAAGCAACTTTTTAAGGCACATTTAAACGGTAAGGTTTATTGATATCATGTGCTCGCGTTTCTGATTGGCCTATTTCGATCCACAACTGGGTGTATATATTGCGAATCCTTCAAAAACTATTAAAGTCTTATTTCCATAAAACCTGGCATTGGAATGCCAAACACTGTTTTCTGATTGAAATCTTTCCTTGAGCTTCAATTTTAAGATGCAAAAATATTTGAAATCTATATAGATTACTTGAATAACGTATCTAAAGGGTGTTGCAAATGATGTATGAAAATAAAGGAACCTTGTCAATCTGATGAGGGTGATCTTCAAAATATCCCCTTAGACGGAGCCCCCAATCTCTCCTACCCCTATTCCAGTGGCATTTTCCTCCATGTTCACGCCTTAAAAATGTAATTTTATTCTTTTTCAGTCAACATCTTCGGTATCGTATACTTATTATGCCTATTTTCTTCACAATCCTTTATACTTTCATGCGTTAAATTTCAAGGCTTTTTTACAATGCCCTTCACCCCCCCCCCCCCCCCTCCCCGCCATTTAAGCAGGCCCAGATTTGTCTTTTGACCATTATGTAAACTAATTTTCTAATGTTTTAGATTATTATACGCAGTATATTTTAGACATTATATGCAGTATGTTTTTTCAAATTTTTTTTGTTTCCAATTTCAGTTGTCTATCCATGAAGAGCCCGACCAAGTTACATTCTCCCTTGTAATCTACCACTTAGGCAGCGATTTCAACCACTAGTGATTTGTACAATCACTGGCCAAAGAACTTTTTGCTTTGTACAATCACTGGCTTTTGCTTTGTACAATCATCGCTTCTGTCATCTTTGTGCTATAATACTACAATGAATTTTCAACAGCTTAACTTCGCTTGGCTAGACAGGGACGCCTGCACCAGCTTAGGGCAGGAGGGGCAGTGTTGGTGCCGAGGGCAAATCGTGGAATTTTTCTACTAACATAATCGAGTATTCCTAGGTGGGAGGGGGGCAAGGGTGGGGCAACATAACAAAATATCAACTTGAATATGTGCCACCCATGGCTTTACCATCAAAGATTCTAAACATAAAGAAAATGTTGACAAAATTATCCATACATAAAAAAGGGTATCAAATGGCCTTGTCACTATACACAATATTTGGTTTTCTAAAAATCATGGCTGTTATAAATGGGCTGGTTGTAAAATTTTGATTGCCCGCCAAGTTTTTATACCGATTTATCCTCCTTAGGTTTCTGGAGTACTTCGGAGGGAACACGTCTTTTGTTTATCATCTATTATCTTTGTCGCTCTCCCTCTTGTGGCCGACCTTGTCACAGACAAACTTTTCATTCTCTGCGTTTTTGTGCTGGTGTTATCATTTTTCTAATATTTTCTAATACAGTAAATAATAACATAACGAGTGTAGTCAAAGTGGTCATCGATTATCGATAAGATTCTATAGTATTTTCTTATATTTCAGGGCACTTCTTGCCCCCTCTGCCCCTCTTCGAAGAGGGCATGAGGGGCAGCTGCCCCTCCAGCCCCCCCTGTGTAGGCGCCCCTGTGGCTAGATACATAAATAAGAATCAAAGACTTACCTGTTCAGTTGAGAATTTATCACTAACTTTGACAGGTTTCTTTGCTGTAGCATTTTGCTCTATGATCAATGCAGGAAATGCAAACCAATAATAATAATGATACTTTTTCAAATCCTAGGAAGAGAAAGATAACACCTTTGGAGATGAAAAAGGTACATTTTTAGCAACATTAATTTGATGTATGTTTAAAGCTTCTTCAGGAAAACTTTAAAAAATATGAAGGATTGCTTTTAAAACCCATTCACTCTTCCTACTAAAATGTGCAGCACTGTTACAGATGTCACAAAAGGCAGTGACTCAAATATTGGCTAAGCAAAAAATTGTAGGGTAAGTGGAAGACAAAAGAAAGCATTGTCTTTGGTTGGTGCTTGACTCGCTTGGACAAAATGTTTATAGGTTTGATAGTTATGCTTACAATTTCAGTTAAAAACAAATCAAACTTACCGCAAATGTCAACAATAGGAACCTTCCAATTAGTGATGGGTTCTTTATGGCTTCACCTGACTGGATACTTTGCCATATCTGAAAGACATCAGCAAAAATGTAGCCCCATATTTATGATGCAAAGAATTTATCAGCGTTTATCGTCCAAACTGACTAAAGAAATAACTGGTATTTACTTTACAATTTGTTAGCCAAACGTTTAAAGTCAGCTCTCTGCACCTTCATACAGTTCTGTTTGGCATAAGAAAGCTCATTTGTCATCTATTCAAGGATTCATTAAAACAAAAAAACAAGTTTCAAGATGTTAGTTCAATTTGCTTTAATTTTGATTTGGTATTCAAATTCTACTACAATATTAATTCACTATCAAAATAAAAAAGCAACATAATTTGACTAGATGTGATAGAAGTTATAATGAGTAGCTCTCAAAGTAGATAGATTTAGAGATAAAAAGTTTAAGAAAAATCATAAAGCATAATATTGCAAATGAAAATTCTAGTCTTTGATAATATTTTCGATAAATTTAGGTGTTAATTCATAACAAAATGTCATTTAGAAGACAACATGATAATAAAAAACCACCCATCTGTTAAGTGCAAAAACTGATTCTTCAGAGAATTTTTATTCATTTGCTGGAAATTTCCATGCCGATTGCCTTTGGAACACAATGACTAGCAGTATTTGGATGTAAAGAGATAATTTGCATTCTTACTTGATTTGAAACTTCTTTTATAATTTCTTTCTTGTCACATGTTTTGAAATCATCCATTGTATTTTTGTTTAGTAATGAACCTTCAACAAGAAAGTTCCTTGGAGCCATAACACTTGCACTGAAAAAGATATCTTTCAAAATCAGAATGGTTAGTAGCCCTTAAAATTTAAAAAGGGTATCATTCTGAGCTTAATTGTTCTGAATTGCATTACCAGCATTACCCAAAAAAAAATTTTGTGCCTGATTTGCACCCCTGATGTATCAATTAAAAGGTGGATATCTTCTTATAAAGGGCAAACAGGGAATATTACTATTTTTGTCATATTTTACGAAATAAAAAGAAATGTGTCTAATGGCCAATTCACTAACAACCAATCCCTAACAACTCATTCATTACTCTCTCTGTCATTTTTATGCCTCATATAAGAATCTAAGTGCAAGGTCACAGTAGTGGACAATTGGTCTCCCATCACCCCCGGAGGATCGGTTTTAAATCATGGGAGGCTGCTTATCATTGCACAGGGTAACTACCAGGTGTCAGAAATTTTTAAAGGAATTCTATATCTCCTATCAATGATAAACAGGGATTTCAAAACAATTCAAGTTGAAATAGCATATCACATCAACATGGATTCTAGTCATAGAACTGTATTATGACAAACAGACTTCAAAGCTACTGAGAACAATCAACAGTGATGCATCGTTTTGAAACAAGAAAATGATTTAATCTTAGATTACAATAGATAACCAAAACAGCAAGCAACAAAACTGACAACCAAAGGCAACAGACTTAACGTGGGAGCCTGCCAGGAGACCATTGATAAATTTCCAAAACAAAATCTAAATGACTATGAAACAAATGTTAAATTTCTTTACAAATCTCCATAACTACTTACCTGTGCTCGAAAGAATCATAGTCAACAGACAAATGAGATGGAAGCCCATTAAAGCCATCTGTAAGTAAATTACAGTAACTGTAACATTGGAAATTCTTTATTTCAAAGATCAAAAACAACACATTCGTAACCAGAGAGAATTCTCATTTTTGTTCATAGCATAAACATGTTTCTTAAGAATAATGAAATGTTTACATTTGGTATGCTAGAGATACTAGAGTTCATTTTTCATACACAAGAATACATATTTTTGCTTTTTCAAACAAAATGTGTTGTCAGCTTGGTTTTCTTTTAATTCTAAGCCTTGCAAGGACAAGCAATGGACCAGAATAAAAGCATCGATAACAAAATATTTGATTATCTATAGAATTCAACTTTCTGGAACTATTGCGCATAACAAGCTTATTAATTTCAAGCATCTCCAAGGTTAACAGTAATCTCATTTTTTGGTAGTACAGAACTTGAAGATGGCTTTGAAAAAAGCAAACATTTTACAATATATTGGCTACAACATTTTGGTCTGACACTCCTCAGGGCATAAAATGTCAGGATAAGGGTCTGAAAGAACACAAAAAAAAATAAACACCCAGTTGTAGATCAAAATAGGCCAATCAGAAAAATGCAAGCACAAGACCAGTATAGTTGACTAACTAGTGGTGTGTGCCTAGAGAAAAATTACCATTGGAGTCCAAGAGAGAAAACAAACAAACAAACGTTTTTAACAGTGTTTCTTGACCTACAAGGTCAAGGAGGCTGTTCTGTTTGAGGGACAGTTTTGTTTCTTATGTTGGAAGGAACATGCTGTTTTATCCTATCCCTCAATCTTTGGGTTGTGCATCCTATGTAGCCAGAATCACACTAACAAATAAATTCATAAATAACAGAACTTTTTTGATTGGCAGAAATGCAATCCTTTTGAATGGATGGAAGGGCTCTCCTATTGCTGTAAACAATACAAGGATTGACAGCAAAGAAACATTTTTTGATAACTTGCCTGATGATTTCTTACCAGTGTATATAGCAAGCCTACTTTTACCGGTCAGTGCATACGCTGGAATTCATTTTGCCCAAAACAACGCAAAGACAACCTTGTCAAAACTTTAGTACATAGGGCACTGATGATCTGCTCGAAATTTGAACTGCACGCTGAACTGGAAAAACGCTATCCAAAAGATGTCATTTTATCTTATACTATTTCGAACCTTCAAAACCTACAAGAAAATTAAAAGCACACAATACTATAAAATTCCCTGCTGTGCCTGTACACCAGTATGGGTTCCACAGCAGCTGCAGTCCCAAGAAATTTTTTTGAATACAGGAATGCACTCTTGCACACCTGACATGTTTTTTCTAGGATGATTAAATGCCTTTTCTAAATTTGTTTGCAACATGGAGGGATGGAAAAAAGTGTCGTTCTAAATTGACCCTCTCAAGATTGGGGCGGTCCTGGGACAACCCTGAAAGAGAAGGTTCTGTCAAAGCAAAGCTTTTATACATATTATATATATCGAGAAAACATTTTAATTCTAGGCTAAGTTTGCCAAGCAAGTGCAGCGTCTGATATTTTCTTTGCACCCACAGATCAAGCAAGTGAGAAGGAGTTATTTTTCTCCTCCTAAAAAGTGCGCTTAAAAATAAAATTGCACACCTATAAGAACTGCGTGCGATATATATCATACGCTCAGCAGCACAGTCAGAAACTTTCAGTGAAAGGGAGATAGAAAACCTTTACTTAACTGTTTGAATATGATCCAATTATGTTCCTTGCTGAATCATCAAGTTTAAATTCTTCAAGCTTTTTCCTTGTTAGCTTGTGCCAGAAACCAACTTCTATGGCGCTTGCAAATGGAACAAATTGCAATATCTGACCTTCTTCCGTCATCGCCATCTTGTTTACATCCATCTGGATTGGAGATGAGGCTGGTTGAAACTGAGGTCAGTCACTCGTACACCGTAAAAGCCTTATGAAGCCCCCTCTCTTAAACCCCCCTCTCTGTTAAGCCCCTTAAATAATGTTAAAAAATTTAAAATAAGCCCCCTCTTTATCAAGCCGCTGAGATGACAAACACAGGAAAAATTTGCATTGAGTGGGTCGCTTGACGGGCTGGATGACGATAACATTGTGTGCATTAAATATGGCCCATGTAAATATTACTTGTGCATCTTTGAAATCAATCGAAATTTGCATAGAATATGTCTTAGGGGATATCAATTGATCCTGGTGACTCTGATAGTTGGCAATGTTAATTACTGTAAAATTGTGGTTAGATGGGAAAACAATTGAAATTTTAGGACATAATTGATTGATTCCAAGAAACTTTCGAAGCTGCTAGACTTGAGAACATTTGCATGGCATCTTCATAACAAAAAATGCATAAGGGCGTTTTTATGACATTTTTGCATTTAATTATTAATAAGCCCACACTCTCTAATAAGCCTCCCTCTCTTTTAAACCTCCCTCTCTTTTAAACCCCCCTCTAGGACTGAAAAAATGTTAAGCCTCCGGGTGCTTAATAGAGCTTTTACGCTAAATTGCAAATTTTGCTATTACCAACTCGAAAGAACTCGAAACCGGTAATCAAAATTTCTCTGCCCCAAAGTGGAACTCACCGCCAATTCTGTCGTATCTGCAAGCATGATTCCTGAGGTAACCAAAGTTCGAAATCATGTCAAACTCAAGGTTGTTTACCCATGAGGCTTTACCTATCAAAAAAGTAGGGCTCAAGGCCTACGCCACAAATCTGAAAGTGGGGGGGGGACCAAGGCTAGCAAAAGTAGGGGGTCAAGGCTTTCCCCCTTTTCTGCAGCTTAAAAACTACTTGCTCCGCAAAAAAGTGAGGGGGCATGGCCCCTACGGTACCGTGTGCCCTGTCAGACCAGAATAGCTTGTTCTTTTATCGTCACACCACAGTACCATAGTTTTCAGTAATATGATATCAAGTAACCTCTTCATCAGGACATTTGTAAGGAGTAATGATGTAGTGTTCTGTGTCCAACCAAGGCAAACTAGATTGCTTAGAGGTTCTCATTCAAGTGGTAATACAACTGCTCTGTTATTTTTAAACACATTGAGATAACTAGCAAAGCAAAACTTAACAAGTCTTATCATTTCTCCAATTCTCTCCGCAACCTCTCTGCATATAATTAAAATCCCTGGGAGTTTAAGTAAGTACAAAGACTTGCTTTTCAATGAAAAGCAAAAAGAAAGGCAAAAACATAAACATTTCTAAAGATACAGCAGCTTTAGACAGGACCTTAGCCATCTTTTTTCCATCAAGGCATGCAAACATGACAATAAATAGCATTAGCAGTAAGAATTTTAAGGCAAATATTTGACACTTTTTTCAAACAATTTTGACCTGATTAAAAGCAAACAAATTACAATATCCCTGTTTTTAGCTACCTTAAATAATATTCACAAGCAATTGGCAATCTCTCTTCTCTCTATTAAGCACTAACTGTCAAATAACTAGGATCAAATTAAAATATCAAGCTTGTTGAAATCCTAAACCAAAAATTTAAGTACAGAACTATATGAACATGTCTGAAAATAACTTTGGCCTAAAGGTCATTCAGATGCAATGTCTAAAACTGCAAACAGCCATAAAGTGAAACACTGGATTAACAAATAACCTGTTTGCAATTTTTTGGCATTGGGGGTAATTCTACTAGCATAAGAGACTGGTAAACTAAACAATTTCTTAATTTATCACCTGCTAAATCTTTTGAATGGTTTCAGGATAGCATCAACAAGATTCCTTGTTTAAAAGATCCGAGTTTTCAAAATGTATTCTACTAAATAAAAGGAATCTTTTTTAGTATCTATTCATTTTTGACAATTTTTGATCTTATTGATGAATCTAAGAATAATGTCATAGCAAACAAAACATTTTCTTAGCAAAAAATTCCACATAGTGAAACTCCCATAAACCCGGAATAAATCTGTGCTTATAAAACTAACTTGCAACAAACTCTGGACAAACAAAACATTTCCATAAGATCCCTCAAACTGAGAAAATCAGTGAAATTTATCTGGTGTCAGTTACCAAATTGAGTGATTTATGGGAATTAAGACTAATGTCCAAAAGTTAATTGTGTTTTACTTATACAACCCTTTTCTTTGTTGCTTCCCTATCAGTGCTAACTACAAATCTTACTGTTTGAAGAACACTATCTTTCTAGTTTTGTTTTAAGCTTGTGCATGGTGTTTCTAAATTGTATGTATCCTGAATATGTACATTGAAACATCATCAACTAATTTAATGTCAACTTTCCATCAAACTTCACTTGAAATATATCCATCTTCATATCTTGTGTCAACATAAGGTGGAGCTTCAACATAGTCATGTCCATCATAATCATAATCATCATATGACTGATTCCGATCATCAGGATAACGCTCTACATTTTCTCTGCTACCATATCTTGGTCTTTCCTGGTAATTATACCCATTTCTTTCTGCTGCTTGATGTGGATCAGGATCAATTCTGAGAGGTGCTTCATATCTTCTTTCTAAATGATCCTTTGGGTCATGATATCCTGGTTCAGGATAACTGGGGGGTCTTCTTCTTGGAGAATCATCATACCTCATTTGGTCTTGAACTGGCCTCTCTTGACTATCATCTGACTGACTTTGACGTGGTGCATACTTTGGTGGGGATCTTACTCTTCCTACACTTTCTAGACTTCCCTCAGAATCTCTCTGAATCCGCTGATTTTTTGGAGGACGATGTCTTCCTCTTTCTTGACTATCTATTTCATCATCATTATCCCTTGGAGGTGACTCATATTGACTTTTATTCTTGGTTTTATAATAATATCTTTGCTTTCCTCCACCTTCCCCATCCCTTTCAGAAACACGATATTTCTTTCCATCGGGACCAACACGCCGTATATTCTCTTCACTCTTTTGCTTTTCTTTCTTTAGTCTTTGGTTGCTGTCATATCTTTCATCATCACCTTTTTTAGCCTGACCTTGATTCCATGTGGATTTATTCAAAAGCTTTCTATATTGTTCTTCTCTTTCCTCTGCCTCTCTTTCATAGGTTTTTGCTCTTAGTGCTTCTTTGCTACCAGACTTTTGATCATCTAAACCATCCCTGCTACTCCGTAGAGCCCTTTCATTTCTTATATGAGCTTTTGCCTCCTTTTCTCTCAACCTTTGTTTCTCTTCACCATCTTCTTTGTCATATTCATTTAGCTTTCTTTTGGAGCTTTTATGTGGCTCTTCCTCACCATATGGGTGCCTGGTCTCAGCGAAATTTCCATTGTCTTGAGAACCAAGTGGAACAATTTCGTCACTATTAGCAAGTTCTGCTCTTTGGTAACTTATTTGTGTCTGCTGCGACCCCATTTTACTGTTGTTTTTTGATGAGCTAAGCTTGTGAAATGTTCTTCTCATGCCAAGCTCAAGAAAATATGAGATAACAACAACAATTACATACCAACCAAGAAGAACATAAAGTGCAAGGGCCAAAAGTAAACCAATTATCTCCGGGCAATCATAATAAAACTTCCAAGAAATCCAAACGATTGCAGCAATTCCATGAAGAATGCATAGTATTTTAACAATAATACAGGGTATAAGAATCTTCCTAACACTGTTCCGTTTTTTCCATGGTGTCGAGACATCTGTCATTGCAGCTGGAAACAACATCAGTAATGTCAAAAGTATATCACTTGCTAAAACCCAGATTGCTATTTTGGTATTCAGTTCAAGCAGGTTGAGTTGCGAATCGTTATAAATTGTAACGTTTCTCCAGTCCTTTATCTGCACGGGAATTTTGAAGTGGTGATTGCAAATCAAACCGCCAGACACCAAAATACTGGCAATGCACAGGCAAACAACGCCAGTTTCTAAACTGTAGAAAACGCAGAAACGTGTCATCAATGGCCTCATTTTTTCTGCTAGGTGTTTCTCAAGTAATTTGGAAGGTTGTGATGTGATTTGCAACCAGGCAGTTAAATTTGTGTACAGGTCTTTACAATTTGGTAGATACCGCGTTGCACGAACTTACCGCAATAAAACAAACTCCAAGCAAATCAGGGTTGAACTTGGTCCGGATCCAGCTTTCACAAATTCAAGATACGACTGTGTTCGTTTCTCATGACAACGAGCTTTCTTTTCACTTACAACGGACATGCAATTGCTCTTGGTGGGCATTGAACAGCACGTACTAGGCCGCTAGAATGACATTAGACCGTTTAGATCTCAAATTACGTTTGCTTTGAACGAGACAACGCGGAAACGATCCGTGACCAACTTGAATAACTTCACAATGGTCGACCATTCTAATTGTTATCAAAGGGTTGTTTACTAAATCGGATTGCTGTTGCTGTTGTTTATAGGGCAATTTCTACCTTGCCCCTCCCAAGCATTTGCAAAGATACTGAAATTAAAAACAGCTATTCAAAAATTTGATTCTTTACTGAAACAGAAGCAAGTACAAAAACAAGGAACAACTTGTACAGCCAAGTAGGCGGGGGAGAACAATGAAGACCTGCAATTGATAAATGGAATGCCTTTGTTTTGTTATTCATTACATGCAGCATGATGTAATATGTTGATGATTCGTCCTTGATGTAAGTTCGAAAGTACAAAAACTAACCCTGGGATTATAAGCAAGGGAGCCAGACCAAAATCTTACCAACTTTTATGTTTCTGTGTAAGATGAAGTGGATGCGATTGTTTTGAGAATATTGTATTGTGTACGCTTTGTTGCCTATGGAATTTCAATTCGAAAAAACCACTCAAGCAAGTATACATATTCATATTTTGTAAGAAGCTCTCTATAAGAAACGAGTACTGGACACAGAGGCGAAGCCAAGAAAATTGTTTGGAGGGGTGAAAAGGTGATTTTTGCTGACAAAAAAGGACGTGTCTCACTCTTTAAGGATGTGGTCAAAAGTTAAATGTTCTTACATGCTCCTTTTTGCGTTTCTGTTTCAAAGTTTACACTCTAGTGCCATACTTTGATAGTTCAACTACACAGAAATGTTAACATGTTACAACTGTATGAAAAAGGTTACAGGGTGAGTACAAAAATTCCATCTTTTGCCCGGCAAAAATCCTTAATGTGCAAAAATCCTTAATGGGGGCAGGGCCGTAAATCTGTCATGTCAATTGGGGGGTCAGCAGATCAAATGAATATAAAGTGTGCAGTGGGTCATGGCACCACCAAGCAATTTACGGTATGTGTTATGGAAACAGTTTGAGCGGCAAACGACTTAAATAACAAAAAGAAAGATTATTAGATTTTGTAAGGTTTTTTCAGCTCTATAGAAGGTATTTACAGATATTTTTTAGAAAGTTGACTTTTTTATAATTGAGTTGATAACATTTTTTCAAAGACAGCTTGAGGAAATTAAACCTGATGGGCAGAGAATCGCGCTTAGTGATATAGGAGGACCCACAGGTTGGGGCCGACGCGAAAGAAAATTTTTAAATCATACCTTCTAAATAGCTAGAAAAGCATCTCCCAGACCAAGTTCAACAAAATACTATATCGTTCAGGATAGACAATCGACGTTTCTCAGAAGAACACTGATTATTGTTCTGGGAGAAATTGGGAAGGGGCAGATTCATGCTTAAACTCTAGTGACAGACGTCGGGGAAAGAGAGAGAAGGTGTTTTCTATTCGAGAGCAAGCGATTTTTTCCTGAAATCATATCGGATTAAAGAAAGTAAGGATGTATCTAAGAACATATTAGGGCTCAAAACGAAAATTTTCTTAAAAAAATGGAGGCTGAGCAAAAATTATTGCATTCTAATAATATAAAGTGTAGTCATTGCTTCTCTCTATATTACATCCAAAAGTACTTCTTTATTGACTTGGTACTTTTACGCAAATTAATTTTACCTCTTTCCCTTTTTGTCTTTTGGCCTTGTTCCTAGCTACAGTTAAAAGCAAAACTCAGAATTTCATTTTTTGTGTCTATGCTATTATCATGTCACTAAATGTGCAGTTAAAATTAAGGAGCTATTATGGAGGTCTTGGTACCGCAATTTGACTAATAGAGGTTAAAAAATTCGGAACTTTAGGACCTAGGCTTTGAGTTAGGATTTTTATAAAAAGGCGAGTGTAAATATATGTAATGTGGGTTTGTGAAAAAATGTATAAACGATTCTTTTCGTACATGTTTTTGAGATTTATTCAAGGGGTGATATTTGGGGCTAATCCCCCACATGGGCATCGTCATTGACTCGATACCACTCTGCAAACATAAATATCTGCCATCAACAATAGTCAACTTGCGCTTAACACCATGACATAGAGTGGCTGTGGTTTGTTGCAAGAACACATAAAAACTTAGTTTGGTTCTAACCCAGTTACCAGGGATTCCAGGGATAGAAAATGACAATAATTTCTCAAAAAAATCGTTTTGCTAAAGATTTTTTGGGGGGGGTCCAGTCCCCCCCGTCTCCCCGGGGATTTACGGCCCTGGTTGGGGGGGCCGCCCTTTTTCTCTGACCCCATAACCTCCTTGGGCGACGTCCCTGATTTGGGAATCAGATGAAATTTAGAAACTTTAATATTCAAAGCAAATAGGTTTAGAAACAATTTATTTAAAGAAGAAAAAAACTCATAACTCCAAGAGTTTTCAAAAATAAATATTTAGTTCTGAGTGTTAAAGATTATGGCATCATAAATAATAAACACTTAAGAAACAATGAGCATTAAAATTTCCAAAAGCTTTATGAAACTAAACTTTTCAATATTGACCTTTGTTTCTTAAAAATGAGTGTATTGCACCAAATAAGGATCTGTTCTCAGCAGGATCAGTTTGTCAATTCGTCCAAGGGGCCGCAAACATATAGATTTTTTCCCCAACAACTTCATTTGGACGTTTTCGTTTAGACCCTCCCTACCTCCCCGTAAAGCGTCCAGGACCTAACTATCGATATAAATGAAGTTTGTGCATGTTACTGGCCGGGATTTTGCATTGCTTACTGCTTAGTGTGTGGGAGACTGCAGTACTGACCCTGTATTCACATCAAATTTCACTGCTAAGAATGATTCTGACAACAAAATTATCTGCAAAGAGTGAAAAATACACTGACTCGCAACCGTTTTCGATTTTAAATTTCTGCTTATAAAAAATTACAGCTTTCTAAAGAATTTCCATCCAAATGATGAAGAGATGCAGGCTTGCACGAGTATTCCCCAATTTAATGTGAATAACTTTGTTTCCTTTGGATAAGACAATTTCTAAAGGGTACGAACTACCTTTGAAAGTGACTGTTGCGAGTCGTTGTGTTCCCTTGTGTCTTAAAATAGAGAAGTTATATCATTACTCTAGTGTCTCTAATAGATGGACCCCCCGTTTATTAATTTCAGGAGACTTTTTCCTCCCCCCGTTGCTTATTAACATCCCCCTTCTATTCAATTTTCAAGTTCAGTTTGACAAATTTTGCTAGTCAATAAGTTATTTTTTGTAATTTTCATCATTTCTCTTGTTATGCTTGGTTATTTCATTGTATAACGTGCAAATGCTCTTACTTTATCTATATCTCCATCCATCCATCCACTATCAAGTAACCAGTATCCCCACCCTTCTAATTGCATCACAATTTAAACAAAAAACCAGCCATGTTCACTATTGCTTGGTCTGTGTTTCTGATTCCTTGTACTTCTCAATTACACCTTTTCCACATATTTTTTCGGTTAATTGGCTGATAGGTGCAACGAAAATTGAGCAGTAGCTAGCAGAGAGTAATCAATAAAGAATAAAAGTGTAAACAATATTAAAATTGTATTGATTATTCTTGATTTAATCATATGAAATTACAACAACTAAGTTGCTACTTACTTTAAATATTTTCACCCCGACAATTTCTTCAAATTACGTCTACTGTTTTACTTGAATTATAATCTTTTCTTAAGGTCTTGCTAATTTTGTTACATGTAAACATGTTAACTAGCATTTTTTTTGCCTTTTGACTTAATAAGAGATTGCTTCAAACCGAAGTTAAATCATTTGAGGGAAGTTTATATCTACTAAACGAGCATGACTAACTTGTTCTAATATCTGCAATATACTTTACACGAGAAACTAATCTCTTAAGGAAGAGAGGTACGTCGTGTCCCCAAGAAACGCAAGTCTAGCTTGGCAAAACTTAAGTTTGAATAAGTGAATTGATGTTTTTAATATTAGGACAACGACTTCTGTTAACGCTGGAAGGTTTGATGTCCAACTATACTAAAGAAAAACAGGAAGCTGCTTAATTAATATAGGGGGATCACACCAAGGGGGTGTAAATAGTGTTACACCCTTTCTAGTACTCAGCCAAATTACACATTTTTGCCTTCTAGACTTGGGAGGATGGAATGGGGATGGATTGTCATGAAAAGTAAAGTTTACCGACAAAGACAAAGATGATTAAAGATTTTTTTAAAAATCTTACTCGCCTGTTATCCTTATTATTTACCTGCAATCAAAAAATTGGATTTCACTATCCTTTCTTTTCACAGGATGGAAAATTTTGTTGCTGAAATTTTACTGTTACGATAATTACTCATAAAATGAAATGACTTTCAACGTGAACAATAAAATTTAGCTCCACTGGAAATCGTAAAATTAACAGTCAGGGGGGGGGGGCTTTAAAATCAGATCGGAAGGGGATGGAAAATATTCATAAGGGTCTTAGCTCGGGCCCGGCAACCATAAAAACCTGACGAGTCAAAAACTTTGTTTATTCTGTAAAAGAACAGTTTTGGTGCTTTATTTTGTCCCTTTTTCTTGTTTTATCGCTGTTACTAAACTCTCCAAGGAAAAGCCAGATCAAATCAAATCAACTAAAAAATAACACGACCCCAGCGAAACACATCACCAGATATATGCAGCCTTAGTAAAACATTACCAAACCTAAGAGAGTTATCGAAAGGTATCGCACAAGAACCCGATCACAATAATGACAGGCAAAAAGAGAAAAAATCCCTTGGCAAAGTGAAATAATTCCGTCGAGAAAGTTAGCTAAAATAAAATTTCCATTGGTCAGAATATTGCCTCTGTCATGGCAGTAGTAATGATGGTCATCGTTGTCGATCATGAATACAATTATGACCATTAAAATCGCAGTGACCAGACCAATGGCAACCATGATTTGAAGATGACGTCACTGAGCTACGAGTTGCATTCTGGACATGATACTACACCATTTGAGCATGCAGAACACTTGAGACTGTTGATTTCGCGACTGATTCTAGTTCGTCTAGACTTGCCACTGCCAGAGCATTTATTACAGCTGATGAACTTGTACCCACCACAAACCGGACACGATTGAGCATGGGACACACGCTAGATGAAACAAAATTGCAATAAATCAACATGCGAAACAGAAGTTAATAAACAGATGTGAAATTTTTCAATGGCAAACTAGTTTCTCAAAAAGAGATTTATGCAGGGCCACCGAGGTTATTCGAAGGCCCTGGGGCAAACCGAGAAAAAATCTTTGCGACCACGCCCTTTAGATTACCTTAAAGATTGCCCTTTAGATAGAATATTTTTTACAGTCATTTTCTTGCAATTGTTTAAAATGTTGTACTTTTTTGGGAAAACGTTTGTCATGTCTAACTTGCTTATTCAGGAAAACCTGCACTGAAAGAGGGTAAGGGGGTAAAGCGAAAAAAAAGACAAAACAGTTGTAAAATTAAAAAGGTCATAAATGAAATCAAAGATTAGAATTACATTTATAGGTACTCTAGTGGAAAATAAATTGAAAAGAAATTGCAATAAATGGACTTTTTCATCTGGTTGAAAAAATGGAGGGCGACTTACTTGAGAAGGGGGGCTTATTCTACCCTGGGTACCAGACTCACTATATAAAATAATATTTTATTTTATATATAGTGAGTCTGGTACCCAGGGTAGGCTTATTCGAAACTCAATCTAAAGAGTAAGGGATTATTCGAAGGGAGTGTTATGGAATTTGGACTCTAGTATAATAAAGTATTTTAATCTCTCGGTTATGTTGCGAAATGGACGCGTTATTAAAATTTATTATTCCGCTGACAGCGCTTGTGTATGTAGCAACGTGTTAGATTAGATTAGGTAGAGTTCGGAACGAAGGGTAGAGAACGGACGTGCGTAACAGCACGAGAGGAATACGGTCTTATCAGCATTAGGAAATACAGAACGAGGGCCTAGCCCTACATGAAAATAGGAATTATATTCTATCTTTATACATATTTGATATAAAGTGGTCCACCGAGCCGGATAATTGACACTGAACCAATCTGTCGGATATGGCCATGGAAGTAGATATACAAAAGTTAAAGAAAATTCGCGGAACAACCAGAAGATACGCCTCAAAAATCCAGAAGGAAGCGATAGAACTGATGAAAGACTTTGATCCGGATTCAAAAACGAATAAACTGAAAAGCTTGAAAGAGTCGATCTTGGAAAGACTAGACACGCTGAAAGATTTGGACGAAAAAAATTTTACTAGAAGCGCACGACGAAGAAATCGACAATGAGGTGACGGAAGCCGCTGCATTTAGAGACGGTATGAAAGAAACTGTAATCGAAATCGACTACATTTTAGCAGAAGATAACGATGGGACAAGCACAAAATCTAGTACAGCGAGCAAAAGAAACAACAGGGCACAAGTAAAACTACAGCCTATAAAGCTTAGAGAATTTTCGGGAAACCCAAAGGAATGGCAACAATTTTGGGATGGATTCAGCTCTGCCGTTCATGAGAACGATGACGTTGCAACAATCAACAAATTTCACTATTTAGTCGGATTGTTGAAGGGAGAGGCTGCCGAGGCCCTGACTGGATTGCCTGTGGTAATGTCGAACTATTTGGAAGCAATTTCCATATTGAAAGCAAGATACGGACAAAAGCAAATCATTATAAACAGCCACATGGAAGCACTGATGAAGTTACCATCTTGCTCGGATTCAACTGATGTACATGGATTACGCAAACTATATGATTCGATAGAGGCAAATATTAGAGGGCTACAAAGCCTTGGGATTAATAGTGCACAGTATGGAGCTCTTCTTATTCCCGTATTACAACAGAAACTGCCGTCAGATTTGCAAGTGGAAATAAGCCGTAAAATCGGAAATGAGGAATGGAATCTCGCAATACTACTTGACATTTTAAAAGTAGAATTAGAGGCACGCGAGAGATGCAAAAACCTGGCAGGTTACGATGGAAGTACTGCACTAAGCATCAAGAAGAAGGCGTCCAAATGGATACCCACGGCTAGTGCTCTGGTAAACGAAACACAAAGTGGAACAGTTCAGTGTACGTTTTGCAAAGGAAGGCATAAAACCAACGACTGTAAAGTCATTACAAATCGTACAGCAAGAATGAGCATTCTACGCAAAGAAGGGAGATGTTTCATTTGCCTGAGGAAGGGTCACTTGGCATTTAATTGTGTGTCAAAAAACCTTTGCTATAATTGTAATGGAAGACACCACATTAGTCTTTGCCAAAAAGGGAGACAGCAAACAAAACCGATGAAATCGCAAGAAACGGAATCCGGAACTCATAGAGAAGAAACAACCAACTGTTTTGTGGAATCAAAGCCTTCGATATTGCTGCAAACTGCTCAAGCGGAAGTTTACAATCCTGCAAACCCGGGAAGGAAAATTATTGCAAGAATCATCTTTGATTCTGGAAGTCATCGAAGTTATATAACGGAAAGGCTTCGAAATTACTTGAAGCTGCCAGCTGTTGCGGAGGAGCATGTTTGCTTGAAAACCTTTGGAAAAAGCGTTGGAAAATCTGAAACTTTGGATGTCGCACAACTCGTTGTTCAGGACACGTTCAAACCTGAGGAGAATAAGCAGCCGGAGCTAATTAGCACATTGGTTGTGCCATACATTTGCTCACCAGTTCAGCGCCACGAAATCGCAATGACCCAGAAAGCATTTCCTCACCTCGATGGCCTGCAGATATCTGAGGATCCCGACGTTGATGCAGGAAAAGATGTCGACATACTGATTGGGTGCGACGAGAGCATCAAGTTTTTCACTGGGGAGGTGAGAACTGACGAATACCAGAAAGGCCCCACAGCGATGAATACATCTTTGGGTTGGGTGCTTTACGGGCCTGGTGCAACTATCCGGGATAAGCAAATTAACGGACAGTCAACGGAGACATACTTGCTCAAAGTGGAATGTACAAGTGAAGATTTGGATTCGCAGCTAAATAAATTCTGGGACTTTGAGACCATAGGGATAAGAGACAAGGAAACTGTCGCTGAATCATTTGAAAAGAATGTTTCATTTACGGATGGAAAATATTCTGTGGTTCTGCCGTTCAAAGAAAACTCGCCTGTATTGCCGGACAATTTTGAGAATTCTGTGAATCGTTTGAATTCTACCTTGAAACGACTGAAGAAAACTCCAGATGTTGTGCAAGAATGTGATTCAATAATCAACGAGCAACTGGAAAAGGGGATTATTGAAAAGGTTGATTTGACCAGCCCAGTTGAAGTCGGGGAGGTGCATTACTTGCCAAGCCAAGTTGTCATAAGAGAAGAAGCTCTCACCACAAAAATTCGAATCGTTTACGATGCTTCTAGCAAATCAAACGGCGTTTGTTTAAACGACACACTCCATACAGGACCTTCATTGACGGAACAATTGTATGCTATTTTGCTCAGATTCAGAGGGAAGAAAATTGGACTCATTGCAGACATCGAAAAGGCTTTTCTTTCAATTGCAGTCGACGAAAGCCAAAGAGATTTTTTGAGGTTCTTATGGGTTAAGGACATCAATGACGAAGATCCTCAAATTGTTTGTTATCGGTTTTGTGCAGTAGTATTTGGCCTTTGTTGCAGTCCATTCATTATGAATGCCACCTTGCAACATCACATAAAGAAGTACGAACAGCTCAACCCAGAACTCGTCAAATTAATGCTAAATTCGTTTTATTGCGACGATTTATCGACATCTGTGAATACAGTGGAGGAGGCGACCAGTGTATGCTTGAACGCCAAACAAATTTATGGCGAAGGAAACTTTAATCTACGGAAATGGAATAGCAATTCAAAGGAACTTGCGGAAATTTTGCTTTCATGTGATGTCAACTCAAATGGCGTTCCCTTAGGAGGAGTAAGAAGAGAGGATGAATCGTATACTAAATTGTCATTCGGAAAATTTGAAGAGCTGGAAAGACCTGTCGAACAGAAAGTATTGGGATTAAACTGGAACACAGATCTAGATTTAATAACATTGAAATTTGGAGGTGTTGTTGGATGCGGAAATTCTTTGGAGCCTACTAAAAGATCTGTTTTGATTACAGCTGCAAAAATGTTTGACCCCTTAGGATTGATCTCGCCTATAACTTTAAAAGCAAAGCTACTGTTTCAAGAATTGTGCTTGTTGAAAACAAATTGGGATGATGAGCTCAACCAAGAACACACTCGGATTTGGAAAAGATGGTTACTGGATCTCGACAAAACAAATTCTATCGCTGTACAAAGATATATGTTTGCTGAAGGAAAGGAGATCATTTACAATATAGATTTGCATGGTTTTGCTGACGCATCTACGAAAGCTCTTGGTGCTTGCGTATACGCAGTTTATACAACAGAAAGCGGAGTCAAATTGAGTACACTTGTCACAGGAAAATCAAGAGTTGCTCCGGTGAAAGGGATTTCAATACCTCGGTTGGAGTTAACTGCAGCAGAAATACTGGCCAAACTTATGTTTAGGGTCAAGGAATCTCTTGAAGGAAGTCTTGTTATTGGAAAGAAATATTATTGGACTGACAGTCTAAATGCATTGTACTGGATAAACACAACTAAGGATTTAAAGCAGTTTGTTGATAACAGAGTCAACAAGATCAAATGCTGTAGTTTGCCTAGAGAGTGGAGATTTACACCAGGTGTTGACAATCCTGCTGATATTGCATCTAGAGGAGCATATGCTTCCTCTTTAGAAGGGAATGAGAAGTGGTTTCAGGGACCTGCATGGCTCAGGCTACCTGAGCATACCTGGCCACCCTCTCCGGAAAAATTTGAACCTGGCAAGGATGCGTTAATTGAAACGAAGCCTAACTGTGAGTTTACTTTGCTGACCAAACTGGAAACTAACGGAAATTTATCTACTGTTATCGATGTTAGGAATTTCAGTAATTACAATAAATTGCTGAGAGTAACAGCCCTTGTAATGCGATTCATTGACAATCTAAAGGCTAAAGTTCGCGGATCAGAAGTCACAGTTAACGGTTCAAATGACTACGAGGGAATCATAACAGTTGGAGACGTCGATAACACACGGAAATTATGGATTTTGGAAATTCAACGTTATATCACATCGGACAAGCGTTACGGTGACTGGGAAAAGAATCTTGGTTTGTTTGTTGATGCAGAAGGAATTGTCAGATGCAAGGGACGATTCAGAAATTCTGAAATGGCCTACGGAGAGAAATATCCTGCGATTTTGCCAAAGGATCATGATGTTACAAAGTTAGTTGTTATGGATTGTCACAGAGGTGTTTTGCATGGTGGTGTAAATGACACGTTGGCAGAGGCAGAGGGAATATTTGCGTGGCCTACGTGAACAGCATCGAGTATCTACGAGAAAGGTAGGATCTTTCCATATTTCTTTGGGAGATATTGTCACGATTCGAGAAGATCACATCCCACGATCGCAATGGAGATTAGGGAAAGTAACCAAGCTTATTTGTGGTAAAGATGAACACATAAGGGGTGCACGCTTGAAGGTTATTTCGAAACAAGGGAAAATTTCTGAAATCGAACGCCCCCTACAGGCACTGTTTCCACTCGAACTTTGCGACAAAAATAGGGTACCGGATGTTGACATTTCTAACTCAAGTCCCACTGGGGGAGAACAATGGAAAGCTGGACAGTCTAGACCTATTGAACCCGGTAGACCTGTTAGACCGAGAAGACAAGCAGCCTTGAACGCAGATACTATTCGTAGAATTTTAGACTCTAAATGATTACATATTATTCGTTGTTGATCCCCATCTGGATCAAGGTGGGGAGTGTGTTATGGAATTTGGACTCTAGTATAATAAAGTATTTTAATCTCTCGGTTATGTTGCGAAATGGACGCGTTATTAAAATTTATTATTCCGCTGACAGCGCTTGTGTATGTAGCAACGTGTTAGATTAGATTAGGTAGAGTTCGGAACGAAGGGTAGAGAACGGACGTGCGTAACAGCACGAGAGGAATACGGTCTTATCAGCATTAGGAAATACAGAACGAGGGCCTAGCCCTACATGAAAATAGGAATTATATTCTATCTTTATACATATTTGATATAGGGAGTGCGGATGGGCTTAAACGAGCTGTTGCATTAATTAAAAAATGTTTACATGACTGTAAATTATCGTCAGTTGTTTCCTATCCATTGAAAATACAACGGGAGTGATTTTCAATTACTTATCAAATACAAATACACTGTAAAGTAATTGAGAAACCGGGTGCCCTCAAGAAGTGCAAGAATTTAATCTTTTTTCAAAAGTCGAAAATAATTTGATTGAGAGTAATATTTTGGCTGTATCTTATATTTGTTTAAGAAAGTGATCATTTTTTAATGATATCGCAATGTCTTTTGGTATATGAGTCATTCTCATTAAAAATTACAGGTGAAAACACTGAGTGTGATAATCATTCGGTAAATTTAAGCTGGTACCTTGTCTATTGTAGGAATGCAGCCACCATGAATTGACTTGAAACTTTGCAATAAATGTTTGATACAATCATACAGACAAGGGTAAGGAAAATGTCGACCATGACTAAACTGAGTGTGAAAACGACAACATGCAAATTAAGGGAGGTTTGCTTGGATGCTTGACCTATAGCAGCGACAAAGGAAAACCATATTTGACAAGTTTCACTCCCTTTACATTGAGGAACATGACACAAGTGTGCTGTTTTTTATCAAAACACTTCATTGAACTCGGGACCGACTTGAGTTCTATAAGTCAAGCATACGACAAAATAAAGACAGCTTCGTACTAGACAACATGTTTTTACTTGCTTATATCAATCTTCCAAGTCTCCTGCTCAAGAGTTTCTTCATTAAATACCTGTATCATTGCATACGAGTTATTTCACGAGAATGTTGGAGTCATGTAAGTGACAAATTGATAAAACGTGTTTTAAGGCACCATCCAATACAGTTTCTCATCTTAAGGGCAAATAAATAGAAAGAGAAGATCCAAATTGCAGAAAAAAGAGAGGGGTGGATTTGCTAGTTCTTGCTGCATCCTTAATACAATACCCCACTCAACGATTGTAACTTAGGTCCGTACTGTCACCGACTGTTTTTAGAAAAGTTAGAGCCTAAAAGCAGCCCTATGAACTGAGAGCATTGGTACTTCCACGCAGAGTTGCCAGATTGGCTAATTTCAGGCTAAATTTTCCAGATTTAAATTGCCTGGAAAGTTTGTTTTTGGCCTACTACTCAAAATTGGCCTTTTTAGTCTTTTCAGCCGAGATTTTACTGACATTCCATTATTTTAAAAAAGTTAGCAAAACTAAACAGTGAAGATCAAAACATTAAAAGTTTTATCACCAAATTTAACGATACAAAGGAAGTTTTTGAAGGAGAAAGTTTATTTGAGTTTCGAAAAGAATTTGAAAGGCACATGCTTGGAAATATTTACTGCGCCTGCGCAATGTTTTATGGGGGGACTTTTTTGTTTGGCCTTTTTCTGCACATTTTGGCCTGCGTTTGTTACCCGTATGGCCTTCTTCTGTAAACCCCATGTGGCAACCCTGCTTCCACGAATGGTTAACAGGTAGGCTGGAAACCTATGCCCTTATGCGTAGGAGTTGAAATCGCTGACCACGATACCAAACTACTATGTGAATGTTTAAGCCGGTGCTGGAGACCTTGACAAGGATCTAATGAAGGTTACGGCAATCCGAGGTTGCTTTTGTTTTCTGAAGGGATGTAGTGGTTACTGGAGATGCTAGAGGGAATAGAAAATGGAACAGAGAGATGCTGTGATGCTGTCAAATGTTATGCAAAAAAAGATACGGTATACTGACTAATTAGAGGTATACGTCGTAATGAGAAAAATCTTGCTTACCTTCACATTTACTAAGAAATCTTTCATTGTGCCTGTCTCAATCATCTTTTCCACATCCTTAGCCCCCTATGATAAAAGCAACATATTAATCCAAGAAACGCTTTTTGTTGAGACAGTTTTCAGGTGAAGAGTATGACCTTTTTTACAAGGAAAATTACTGACGCGGTTTAGATGCTTTATTAATGATTAATCGCCTAACTGGCAAGGGTCTTCTATATTCCTGAACAACATAAACCTACATTTTGGTGATCATTGATTAAGGCCAACTGATATATAAATAAATTGAATGGGATCTTTCATACTTGCTTTCTCTGCATAGAGATAAATTTTACTAGGGTGCAGCGACAAAGAAAAAATTGTTTTATAGGTCAAAATTCTGCAATCGTTATCAACACTGTTAAAATGCTTTCATTCCTACCAACACCACAGTGAACCAAACTTGGCTTGGAGGATAGAAATGACCATTGTTTTATATCAACCTTGTTTCTTTGTAGGCAAAACAGGCTAAAGAATGGAATGAGCTTTGCATTTTTCAAGCATTAATTTAGGCCTTATGGTAGAAAAATTGGTTTGGTTTACACCGCGGGTATGTCTTTATTGAGCTTTTTACGTCACACAATCGTCTTTTACATCCAAAACATTATAAAGGCTTACAATAAGCAGCATGCATCAATTGACCAAGCATTCTGAAATGGTTTGTACCATTCTTGACAATGTAGTCCTTTGATTTTGAAACAATTATTAAGCAAGCTAGAATTACCCCTATTGACTGTCCATTGATGAACACTTGAGGTAGTGTAAGGATCTCTGTTCCAAGCTTTCTTTGCAATTCCTTTTTGAAATTAGGATGTACGAATAGATCCTTCTCGTCGAACCTCACCAAGAGATTGTAAAAGATTTGCTTCACATATTTGCATTCATATTGTGTTTTTCGAACAAGGCCCAGACTTGTCGTGTAAATTATCACTTTTCCGTAGTCAGGATCTTCCTGTTTAAAAGAATGTCTTAAATTTAACAAAACTTGTTAATTATCATTTAGTTTTGACAGTCATTCGTATACCGAACTTTCAACCAGAAATATTTGCTAATAACACGGGAAGGCTTCAGTGGCGGCTCCAGCCTAGGATAAGGGGGGGGGGACAAAAGGTGTGTCAGGGACAACGCCCTTTTGGACCATGCCCTTTTCCCATGTTTGAAACTTTCTCTTTCGGGGGAAACACCTGTTGTCTCCCAAGAAATGTCATTTACATGTGACGATCTTCATAACGTACATACCCCCCCCCCTAAAGTTTTCTCGTCAGGTTTGCAAGAATCTCAAGGACCAACTTTCTGGAAAAGTGGGGGACTAGTCCCCCCCCAATTCCCTCCCATGGCTCCGCCACTGGAAGGCGTACCCTGGGTACCAGAGACATAAAGTCGTAAACGTCGGATAATGTCCAAAGGTAAAGAGCAGATTAACATTCTCTGCTTACTTTAGGAAATTATCCGATGTTTATACTCTGACGAGTGTCGGAAGAAAAGTACTTTAGCATGCCATATTTCCGCTTTTCCTTTTTATTTCTAAATTTTGCTGTACCCCAAAGGCTTATTTGGTTATTTCCTAATACTGATTTTGGGCACGTACGAATTGCTGAAAACACCTTAATAAAAGAGTGGTAAGGCCTAAAATAGATACTTGTTACAAAACTATCTGCGTTATAAGACGGGACACGTACAGCATTGAATTTTGCATTGTAAAATAAAGTAGCCCATCAAATAGAAAACGTGGAGTTGAATATTGTCAAGGCATACAGACCTAAAGAATCCAAATCTATATCCCTTTGCAGACTCTCATGACAACGGGAAGCAATTAACTGGTAGAGATTGATACAAGGATGTGTTTTCGGTCTATTGCTTTTGTAACGAAAACTTTTCACTATTTAAAGTTCTGTTTAAAATCAAGAATTTCTTGCTTTCTACTTTAATAAGTTACGTCATACGAAATGCATGCATTCTTCACCACAGTATACTGACAATACCCTTTTCGAAATCCTTTTGGTGAATTTACACGGCTTTGCAATGCAGTGGTCAATGAAATAGATATTTCATGAAAAATTAATTATGATAAACTTCTTTCTTGCAGTTATTCTCAGAACAATTGTGTTTCTAGAGGATACCTTCTTATTAAAGTTAGCCTGAGAGCAAAAGAAAAGCATTACGAAAATGTTAAGCGAGCATTTCAGAACGATTAGCTTTTTCGAGTGAGCAAAAGAGAGGAAAAAGCCATAAAACATTCTTACTTCACAGGAGAGCTCAACGTTCCTTTTCGCTTTTGCTGCGGCATTACTTTTTGTTCCAGAAAAGAAATGCATGATATTATCCCTGACCCGATTTTTGACTCCACGAACAGTTCCCTTGGAGCTCAAAATTTGTGCAGAGGCAACATTGGAGTTTGCGTCTAATTCACTCATAACTCCAGTTGAAATGCTAACTGGCTGAAATTTTTCATTTACATCTTGGGTTGAATCATCATCATCTTCTCCGTCCGAAAAACTTACGGTTGACTGCTCCGGCGAAGATAATTCACTGAATACGCTGACAGTCTCACAATAACCCGATTCGGTTTCGAATTCTCCACTTTTTACGCTTGAGTCGAATTCTCCACTCTGCTCCACTTTGTAGTACTTTTCATTGCCGTGTAAATAATGATTTGTAATGCATTCTTTGTCCCTATTTCCAGCCTTCTCTTCGTGAGTCGGGAATAACGGATTCTCTGTCCAAATAACCTGCCCATCAAAACTAAGGTTATTCTCTTCAGCAAATTCTTCGTTTTCATTCAAAGTTGTTTCCATAGCCAGCTGGAAAAACAGCTGCTCTTGAAAAACAGTTGGTGGAAAAAGTCTTGGTGTTATCCAGTAAAGAAGGAAATCTCTTCAGCAAGTATCTTCTTTGTATATTATCCCGAAATTGACGCTTTTCTATGCCATGACGTTAAGTCTTGGAGACAACTTTAAACAAATACGGTGTTTGAGATGAGGCATAGCAGTGAAATCTTTTAGACACAAGCCTGAATCGGACCACAAGTTGAAAAAATCCTCTTATTTATTGACTCAAGCTGTAAATAGCTATACTTAGATAATGCTGACACCAGCAGTTGTGATTTCTACCTTGTATTGAATCTATTGCAGGAACCGCAGAGCTTTTGCAGAGCTTCTCATTTTCATCAAATTTATCCAAATCACGGACAGCTATAAAGTAGAGACAAAAAACAGGTATTCAAGCACAAGAAAAAGATAAAAGATTAAATATTTAGGATAGGAGCTCCAAATATACTATTATCTCTCTGCCATTCATTTTATAAAACTGTTTGAATGTTGTTTAAGTCAGAATTATTTATCGAATTAAGGAGCAAAATATTTAGCAGCATTTCACTGCATTATAATTGCATGTAATATTCCTTAAAGATTCTTTACAATGACAAGAAAATCACACCTACCTTTATTTACTTGTAGGCCAACAACTTCTGTTCTGAAATTTGAATGATGATATTGTCTATAAAATCCCAGTTACACTGCGACAACTAAAAGAATTGAATCTCTGATGCGGTTTCTTTAGTATGCTATCTTCATTCACCAAAAGTATGCTATCTTTAAAGTATTTTCAAGTAGCTTGGGAACAGATAACATGGATCTTTTTCATCCATATACATAAGGAAGCCTTCAAAAAACGTACATCTACCACAACGAGACCAAAGATTGAAATTAGATTCTTGCATTACACAAGCTATCTGCTTTCTAAAAATTTTTTTCCGAACAATGCTTTGACGTTTTTTTGGCGAAGGCTGTTTTCAAGCGATTGTTTCGATCCAGATCACTGTAGCAATCAGTAGTGGTTTTATGTAAAATTTTAAAAGTTGAAAGTAGACGTGAAAATCAAGACTAGTTAAATGAAATTTTTATCTATACACTGTTGCAGGTAGTTGGCAACAAGCTTTTTAAACAGAACTTAGATAATAGGCAAGAGAGAAATAGGACAGTAGTTGAATTGGTCTGAGGGTATTGCTGACGTATTCCAAAAGTCCAGACACCGACTTGTTTCTACGGCTGTTCTAAGGACCAAAAATCAGGGACGTCTGAATAAAAGACAAGTTTAGCTTTACCCATTGTCAAAACAATTCTCTATTTTAATGCCAGTCGTCTTGAACTGCCAGTCCACCTAGTTATCTTCCTTCAAGTAGGGTCACGTCACCCTGATACCTGGACACACGTTTTCCAAACAGAACTAAAGGCAGGTTTCCACTTTATTCGCTCTGGTCGCGTGACTGAGCGAATGCACATTGGGACATGCGCAAATTGAGCTTCATCATTCGCTGCGAACGCGCGACCATTCGCTGAGTACAGTAGAAACCCGCATAAAAGAACCTGTTTTTATAAGAACCTTGAGGCTAAGATTTAATCTTTTAAACCTCATAATTAAGAACCCCCAGGAGTCTGTAATTTGGAAAGGTTCTTATATGTATTTTTGAAAAGGTATTTTTACACCCTATTCACACTGGCAAATTAAACGAGCTTAGAGTAAATCAGGTTATGGTATGTTACATTCTAATTGGACAATCTAACAACACAAATTCATTTGATTGGCTTGAAATTTAACGTGAAAAATATGGCTGGTTTCAGTTTGTCTGTTAGAATTCTTGCGGTGGAAAACATTGTTAATGTGTGCAGGGCCTGGACGTATATAAGATCATTGTTAAGAACCTTTTAGACTGGAATTTAGAAAAGCAGCCTGTTAATTAAGAACCTATTCAGGCTGCCAGAAAAAAACCTAGGTTCTTTGATGCGGGTTTCTACTGCACTTCAACTCAGTTGAACTACTGGGCGACTGGTCGCGTTCGCCGATTCGCTGACTTGTTGATTCGATTTCGCCAAGTCGCGCGACCAGAGCGACTCAAGTGGAAACCGACAGGACGGAAGTTGCATTTGTCTGAAGGAATCCCTGACTATATACCAATTAAAAAATTATCTTTTTTGCGTAGACTTACATATAAAATTGGTAGCAACTAAAGCAATGTAAATGTCACACTTCTAGCTTTGATCCTAGCTCATTTTAATATGCCAAATAACTAAATCAAGTTTTCTTTATATTTCAAAGATGTATCTTCTGAAATGCAGTCTATTCATATCCATTTCATGGACAAATTTTCGTCATCCTTGTCAACTTTAGTCACCTTATTAGAATCCCTTACCTCTTGGCAAATATTGGCGTAAATTGTAAAAAATGTCCATCTTACCAAAATCGCCAAAGATGCCATTAGCCATAGGGATGCCATTGCCATGCCTTTCTGGAATCCTAGATGTTTATTGCACTGGCATTTTCTTACTTGAAATACATCTATAGTCCATCTGCTTTTTGAGACGGCCTGTGGGTGTGTTGTTGTTGAATTGATTAGTGTTTATTCAATTTTTAACGTACATTTAAATATTATTGTGACTGGTTGTCGTAGTTGAAACTCGTTTACATCATGTCCTTAGCAGCTACGGCAGCGATAGAATATTTAAATGTAGGTCAAATTGTTTTGAAGTGTGTTACAAAAAGGCATCGAGTCTTACGTTTCATCTTCCATTCCCTCAAACCATCCAGCATGCTGTACCCCACGATAACAACTGATCTTTTCATCCAGTCACGGAGCTCCTTAACTTCCATTCATAAGTTGAACTCAGAGATTGTAGAGTTCTTCTTTGCATACAAGTCATACGAATTTGAACGATCAGTTTTTTTGGAGCATAAAGTCTCAAACATTGTATTAAGACCCTAGTCAATCAGGCCTGATCTCTCGTTGTCTTATGAAGGATTTGAATTTGATGGGCTTAAATTTGAATATTGTTTAAATATTTTCAGATTCCCAAGATACTATGGTGCACAACTTTTTTTGTTCTTTATTCTTAACAAACGTCCCAGGGCGCTTGGATCTTATCAGTGACACTCTGCTCCTTGGTCCCTTCGGGTATTGTGAAATCATCAACTTCTTATTGTGGGATTTTAAATTATTTAAATGGGTATTTCTGCTGAAATTATAATTCAGCTTTGAAAACTCAGCTTTATTTTCTGCATTTACCACATAGCTGGGAATTTAAAGTTTAATGACTTCTCGCACTAAGATATTATAATCTATAGAATACATTAAGCCATATTTCGGCTATCTTGATAGATTCATCTTTATTTCAATAAGCATTATTTTTCATCCACTTAAAGTGCTGCACCCAATACATCTTACTTTGCTGTTAACGTGTCATCAAAATGGATGTTCCCATTTGACATCAATCCACCATTGATTTTAATGCCCCCCCCCCATAACCCTCCTGTCAATTTTTGGCAAGTTATAGCCACTCTCCTTCGAGTTTATGTAATTTTTCATTATTGTTTCGAAAAAACAAACGAGCTTACATGTCTATACTTTCACTTTCATGAAGTATAAAACAACAACAAAAATATTGTGGGCTGCCTTCGGGGGTGGAGGGCCTGCCAACCCATTCGCTAGATAATGTAACAGAGAAAAGGGCTGCGTGGAGGGGGGGGGGTCTTAAATTTGCTTCCATTTTAGCTACTAATTGCATACTTGCATTCTAAGCACTTTAAAAAAACTGAAAATTAACACCAGAAAAATTCACCAAGTCAATATCATTGAGAAAAGTAATTTCATCATATAATATTCATCGACATTACAATCAAAATTATTGTCTATCAAGTCTAAAATTAAGAAAAGGATACAAACATTTACTTGCAATGTGCTCTACCAAAAAGAGAGAAAAAGCGAAGCTAGGTTGATCGTAAACTCGAGCTGACATGAATATCAGACCCCGTTTACACTGTCCCGTGCAAGTTTGGAACCGAGACAAAACTGTCAAGGTTCACTCTTCCGTTTACACTAGCACTGTGGAACCAAGACGATTTTGGTCTGTTATCCGGAACAGTTTTGACCCTGCTTTGAAAGCGAACGAATTTTGTACCGTCACGGTTCCGTTTTTGAACGGGACAGTGTATACGCCTATCCGAGATGATTCTGTCACAGTTTTACAAAGAGGTCTTTTGCATGGCTGTTTCAGGTAATCGAGGCCTTGATTTTGGCGCCTTGTTAAATTTAGTGGCAGCAATCGCTGGGCTGAATATATATTTAGCAGCCATTTACGATGGTTAACACCGTCTTCGCCAAAGCCATTTACAATTCATTCTCGATGGTAGTACATCAAATCTCCTAAGGATAAAGAAATTCTGAAGAAAAGATGACGTCAGAAAAGGCTTGTATTATTTCCCAGTCCAAGCCTTGATTTGACTTGGCAGTTTTGTAGTCCAAAACATATTGACTATGTCTGAAATAACACTGAGAATTAAAGCCACCCCGTCGTCCGTCCAAGTGAAGTTTTTATCGGCTTTTTTGGCGGCAAAATAAAAGCCTCGGTTGACGAAATACAGCCTCCTGTATACAATATTCTACCATTGAATTAAGGTCGTGCCGGTACAGTGTAAACGGAACGGTTAAACGGAACAATTTGGAACCGCGACAATGTAAACACTTGCGAACCGTAATGGTACAAAATTGTCCCAGGACAGTGTGAAAGGGGTCTAAGCATTCGACATGACTCTATCGAGTAACCTGGGGTTAGTTAATGGGAATGGTGGGTGTTTATTAGGAGCCAGGGAACAGAGAAGGGCTAAAACTATCTAAATGATTTAAAAACAGAACATAAATTATCCAGTCTAGTTTGAAAGCAAACCTGAGTAAACGCAAACACAGGTAACCAAAATTTTAGCTCGATTTACGTGAAGCAACGACCATTCGAAGCGATGGTCTACCTCCAATAACGATGGTAGGGATGGATGATAGAGAAAGACGGCGGGTTTTGCAAGCGTGATCTTATGGTGTGAGCCAGACGAAGAACGGGGGCCATGGGAGGAAAAAGTTATATATAAGGGCACCAAAATATATTTAAAGTAGTAATACGGGAGACGATTTCATGATCATCTTGTACAGGGAATAAAATATTAACATGATGGAATACATAAAACACTTTCAAAGAAACCTACCGAAATTCGCTTTGAGTAAAAACCGACTATATCACAAAAGGAGTATTTTAATACGTACGATACAACATAACTAAAGCCTTTGCTTCCACAAACGAAACAAACCCCCAATTAAACTATTCATACGGCACAGGTGCAAAAATACACAAAAAATTCAAATGGATTGACAAGCGAGACACGACGCTGAAAATCATTCAAAATGCACAATGTAAAATTACCATATCGAAAGTTAAAAGCAATGATTAAAGGTGAAAGGAATACATGATAACATAGATGACGAAATAAAAAAATAACGTCGATAATAAGAAACGTTTATGCAACAGGTATTGAAAACTATATTTCTAGTATTCGGCAAAGGATGTTTTCTGCGGCACAGGAGACATAATTGTCTCACGGATAAGGCGGACTGTGGGAGAAAGTTTATTTCGGTGGCAAAAAATTGCGAAAAATTTATGATGCTCGGAAAAGAAACCCTGGTAAATATGCCTTTTGCAATTTTTAAACAATACATTCCAGCCATTAACCTTCAAACAAATGTCCTAAAACGTGACCTTTCCGTTTTAGAGTCAGATGCAGAGATCACAGAAGCATTTTATTTAAAGATTGACTAGTGGAGGTATGAAGTGCACGGAAAGGCAAAACAGTGGAATGAAAAGATGCAAAAAGATGTAGTTTATAAGGTAATATTGTAGACAATAGATTGCAACATTTCTAAAAAAGAAAGAAATATGGATCACCATTTTCTACTGTAGGATAAAACATATGGGTGGTTGGCTCAGAAAAATGGGAACCACTAATTTACAAAACAAAATTCTCTTAAAGATTTAGCCAGGAAGGGTTCACGAGCAACACATCCCTTATTTCCTAACTCATGCACAGAATCTATTAAATAAGAAAATATATTAAATACTTTTATGCACGAAATATACATATACTAAGGGATGGTTCATCCACAGTTCGCTATCATCTTCCAAATTCGGATTATCACGGCCTGTTCCGATTATTAGTCTGAAATGTAAATCAGCATGATTTGCAAATGAGAAACAAAAAACCTTATCAGAGATTTTAAAAGCATCATATTAGAAAATCTGGCTGGTTTTGACGTGTTGCCTGATATATATTTAATGAGTCATTTGAATGTTGCAACATAATGAGCAAGCACTTTAAGAGAATCGACAGATATGCTTCCCAGTGTTCTTGAGATATTTCAAATTCTATTTGAATTGGCATTTAGCTGTATGGTAAACAAAAAAGAATTCTATCATCATTCGTTGCATATCAATTGGTTTAGGTTAGCCACTTTTATAATTGTTCATTTAAAATCAAGTTAGGACCTAAATCAGTTTATTTCTAACCCGACTCGGGTCACCTTGAACAATCCATACCGGTCAACCAAAAGGGAAATTTTAACAGACTGAACAAAACTGACTTAGCATTCATTCAAACCAACACGGCTTCGGGTCAGTTACGTCTCGCCGGGCTTATTTGGTCGAACTCTATTCTTTTCGGTGTAAACTTTTTGGCTGCTATTCTATGTAGCCCGGTTTAAATCAGACAAAGTCCAGTTTGAGAGATAGAGATTCTATTTGAATTGATAACGTCTGCTAGAAATGGTCCGAGTCTTTTTTACCTGCAGGAAAGTGCTATGTACCCCTTCAGGATGAGAAGTCAAAAGAGCCTAACAAGGCAATCAGCTAATGAAGTAGCCTAACGAGGCAATCAGCCTGTTGTTCGTTAACACATTAATACATCAATTTGGAACATGAACAAGTTTAAAATTACATCGTACAGAGCCTTAAGACCATGATTTCGAAAAGCTGAGACCTTATACAGCTCGTCAAGATGTTAGACTCTCGTGATATTGATTTGAAAGAAATGACAAAAACACCAATTTTGTGATGTCAATTGAAAGATTTCAGCAGCTGGATCACCCCAGGCTTCAAACTTTAAATCTACACAAAATCAAAATCAACAGCAGTAATGCAGCACGAATTCAATATCATAAAATAGGTTTGTATCCCAAAAATTTAGATTTTGATTCTTGCGCGAAGGAGGTTTAACAGATTTCTTGCGTCAAGCCAAAATCGATTTTAACATCAATCTTGCCTCAAACATGAACAAGAAAAGGTTAGTTTACTAAACCGTTAAATGCATTATATTTTCGTATGAGTTCACACGAGCAAACAGTCAGAAAAATAAACTTACTTGTTTTTTCATTAGTATCTTCGTAATCCTTTGCGAGACGCTCCCATTCTTCTTTGTTATTCAGACAGCCAGCTTCCAGAGCTTTAAGTGAAGGGAAGCGTGTTGCAAGGTTCTAAAAAATTAACATCAAAATCAAAAATGTGTTTTCTCAAAATGCTAAGAAACATCATCCAGCATATCCCAAAAATCGGCAAAACACATCGCTGGATGAAGTTCTTGATAACTCTAAGAGGAACCTCATGTCTTTGATATTTCTTTTGTATACGCACAAACTTGGAGTCTTGTGTCCCTAGAAACTTCTTAGAGAGGCTTAAAAACCCTTAATAACATTTAATGCAAATTAAAAAGATGCTGCTCTCGATCTAAAAGACCATCTCTCGATAAATGCAATAATTGAAAAAGACCATGTCAAATGCAATAATTGAAAAAAACACATTTATCAAGAAATGCTCTCGATAAATGTGTTTTTATCAATTATTGCATTTGACATGCATAATAAACACTAATAATATTTCTATAGCAATAATTTCATTTTAAATCTTGAGCCAATTCCATCAAACTTGAGAGTCAGCGATTGAATAAGTTCGTAGATATAAAAAATATCCAATCCTGAAAACAGTTGGATGTCACCGACCAAGACGGTGTTGATACAAAGGAAAGAAGTGAATAGAAGTTTGATGTATAAGAAGCAGTAAACAGACAACGCTCCTAGAAATTCAAAGCTCCAAAGAAGGGAAGCCAACTCACCTGATAAATTGGTAAGCATATGTTAACTATGAAGCCACATTGCATTTTTGGTAGTTTGTCTTTTTTCTGCCGGTCCATCATTTCCTGTTTATCAGGCAAATATAACATTAGCAAAATTCTTAAACTAAAACGAATATAAGTTTGTAGATAACGGAAGTAAAATCTTTGAAAACCCTGGCAGATTTTAAGATAACATGCTCCAACAATTTATGAGTTGAAAAATGGAAGACATTTAAGAGTTGATATTCATTTAAATAGACGATACTATAGAAACCAAAATAATAAAGCTTAGTTTGAAAAATATGATTTCTGTATCTTTACTTATAAATACCGAGAGTTCTAAGTCAGTGAGCATACTAAACATAACAGTGGCTTTAACTTGGTAATAGTTAATATTTCTAATGACAAGTCTAGGGTGAATCAATTCTGAAGAATATTTCCAGAATGAAACAAAAATACGGAATACATAGACTGGGGTATCAGTTACCTTGGTATAATAATATGAACCAAAGGTGTCTCCGTAAAAGAAGGTGCAAATGTAGGACTGTTAGAGAATGAAAGGGAATCTTAATTCACCAACAGCGAGCTTACCATGGGTGTCATATTGAGTTCCTTGGCTTCTCTATCACCTTGTTGGAAAAACTCTTCGGCAACAAGTTGTGCTACCTATAAAGTGACCAAAAATGTTACTTAACAACAATAGTGTTACTTAGTAACAACAATGTTACTTAGCAACAATAAGTAACCTGGTGGTTTCTTAAGTCTCGTTGACAAGGTTATTATCAATGGAACAAAAATGCTTACCACCCCCCCCCCCACCCGAATTTTGATACGTTCCAGAATTGAATGACAGTCAATACTACCAGCAACCCTTCTAAGCGAAAATGAAACGTGAAGGAGTGAGAGAGGGGAAGGCTAAAGCGGGAACTAGAGATGGGGTTAGAGAGAAGAGGGCAGAGAGGAGAAGAGAAAACCTCAATAGTTGACTAAGCAACCACTTACTGCAGAGAGCAAGTTATTAGTGACAAAAGTGGCCTATTCGTATGACGTAAACAAAGAAATACAGTCGTACCCTATGTTGAACCGTCCACGGTTTGGTTATTGCAGAGATGTCAGATGCAGTCATAAGCATTGAGCTGAAAAATAATCGAAACCCTTACTTGCAACAAACAGACAATCAGCGTCAAAAAATAGAAAAACCTACATCAATTCACAATATAGATTTTCCCTTAAAACGATGTTAGTTGACTAGAAAACGGCAATTATGTGACATATGTGACATCCAGTTGAGCATTGAACGCAATTTAACGGGTGAAAAGTCCTCGATTATAGACGAATAGAAAGAAATTGTCAGAATTTATAAACCAGTTTGATAGCTAGGAAAATAAAGAGTCTAACAAAAAAATTAAATAAATGTTTTGCTCTGCCATCCCTCTTTAAACATATTTAGCACAATTATTTTTATTTATTGTTTCTTGCAGTTGGGTGGACAGAATTAAACGCAAATCAGTGTGACAGAAACGACTATTTCGAAGACTATTCATAGGATTTCTTTTCGAAGGACTATTTCGCTACTAGGAGTTTTATTAGTTTAATGCCATCTGGCATGTCCTTTCAAACCCAGCTGCTTTTGGCAATAATTTTAAGAAAGCATAATCACCCTCCAGATAATAAATTGTTTAAACCAGTTCCTCACTCGGTTGCTAGAGTGAAAATGATGTTGCACATTACTGGTGCTTTTGACTCTATCATCAGATAAACAAGGTAATTATGTATTTAAAAGAATAAGATATGATAATTTTAGAAATTTATGCATAAATAACATACCGTAAAAGAGATCGATGGTGTTCAGACATCCAATCAAAGTGGTCACTTTTAATAAGTTCGAAAAAAGTTCCTCTTTTCCTACGGTAAAAGAAAAACGCTAGAGCGACATTCCCTGAGTAGAAATAAAAACATGTTTAGCTTATCTATAAAGACAACTGCAGGCATAATTTTGACGTCATAATAGTGATGACCATTTATAGCTTGATAGCAATGAATGATTATAGGCAATGGCCTGTAAAATGCTGAATCATACAGCAAGCAGTTTGCTTTTCTCCAATCACCACCGGTGACGTTTTCTGGGAAACGCACTAGGCCTGTTTTCAGTCTAAGGAGAATTCGGTGTGCATGCTTCTTTGGATGATTATTTCAAATTCAGCCAAAGCCTATGACGGCATTTCCATTAAAGCTTTCATCGTTTTATGACCCAATCTGTTAGCATTTTCATATTGATCAATATAGAAGAGGTTTAAAGCTAAACTTACTTGAAATACAGAGCTAAATCAGTGGCTAGAATGGCCTGTTCCAATATCTGGATAGCTTCACCGTATTCCTCGGTGGACAAACTTTGGAATATTTCATTCCCCTGAAAGAGAACAAACGGTTGGTCAAAGATATTACAAAGAAATTCTACCACTTACATTTTTCATTCTCTCGGGTTCTTATGCAACATTTGTAATCAAAAGACGGTACTACAAATCTCAATCTAATCAGTGAGTGTACTTGCTTACATACTTGCTATACTATATTAGCAACATACTATACTATATTATACTATAAGATACTTGAATCCGGGTTACCGCAGGTACCTGTAGGGAGTGTATATAATCCCCTCCCCCCTCATTTACAAGTATCTGCATTATAAAGGCAATTGAATTATAGATGGTCAGAACATCTGAACAAATAAAAGTCTTCCTTGAAACATGATCTTCTTTGACTATCTGCAAGTATCCTATGGTCAGACAAATTTATTGTCATGAAGAGCACAATTGCTAACACACATCAATGTGGGACAAATAATGATGTAAACATGTTGACAAAAAAACGGATAAAGGTTTTGAATACAAAACTGGCCAAAGAAGAAAACTAAGCCCGGATTCAACCTGGCCATAATGGAGCCACATGCACCAGTTTTTGATTGCATACGGCCCATGTCAAACTGCACAGACTCTGGTTCTTTACGGTAAATTCAGGTACTTACAGGGCTGTTTAGGATCATTATGCAATGGTCGAAATGATGGTGCTCCATGACTGAAGTTCCATATAACTGTGCTAAAGCTGATTCAGTTCTGAAGGAAGATGAAAGTTATGTCATTTGGAGTAGCCACAATATAAGGCCAAAGCAAAACAAACTGTAAGGAACTTCAAAACACTTTTCAGCACTAAAGCACTTACTTCACTTGAAACGTGTTATTTGTTCCTCTGTGGTCAAGGTCATGACATAAACAGGCGACTATCAGACACAGTTTCTCGACGTCTGTAAATGCATTATCCAGCTCCGAGGTGTGCTAGAAATAAGATCAAATTTCAATAATTGTCCTT